CAAAATCTCACCCGAAACTTGGTAAACAGAGAGCATCGAATAGATATACCTGATGCAAAATATGAAATGCAGTCGAAAGGACAATGCGAGATAGTAAGATGATCCAATAGCTGTGGCTCTGAATATGCCAAAGACTATTGTAAATTCTCATACTGCTTCTATATATATTAGTAGTAGGCTCTCTTTGTTTCGAGAAACGATTTGCAAGCACTCGTAATACAGACCTACTGGATGGTCTCCAGTGGTGGCAAGCCTCGAGCGGCTCTTTGGCGCTCACTGATTATTACTAAACGCGTTTCCATCGATTCCCCAGATTCTCTCGTCGGAGGCGTAGAGCGGGGATTTGGTGACTCGGAAGCGTTCCGAACAGCATATTGATACCTACTAGTAACTAGCAAATACTATCCGTAGCTCACAAAAGAGCAGCTATTTTACAACAAATGACCCCACAATGACCTCGGTATTTGAAGTAGTAATCATGAGTTATAAGTCAACGACTTTGATATAACGAATGTCTTCTCAACGCAAATATCAGATTTTAAATTGGAAAATGAAGAGGAACCAAGTTACCATCAAATAAGGATTCAAGAAACATTAACCTTAATAATAAAGATTCTGCAGAATACTAATCACCTGTATATCCTCAGGCGCTAAGCAGCTTGACGCAGAGAAGCAAGTCTTAGCAAGAGTAAGTATTACCTCGGTAAAAGCCCACTCTAACTCTTCAGTTACAAATCCGCAGTCCTATTCTATAAGCATTACATAATTTATTGTTATGATAGCATTGTAGGAAGATTTATAGCCTGATTATTAAATCGCACCTGCTTTTTAATACTATATGTTACTAAAGGAGAGGTCATATAGATCGAAGATTAGATACATGTACTTGATCACCCCAACAAAAGACTGTCTCCGTATTCTTGCTAAGACTCTAAGGATCAGCTTGGCTAGGCATATTATACAGCGTTGGGTTCACAGGACAGTGGTTAAAATATATTACCTTTGACTGTGGTGGAAAACCCTGACTCATAGTCATACAGCATCACCATCTTAAAACTCAATATATTTGTAGTGTCGTAGTATACATCAAGGTACTGAGAAACACAGTTGTGGCGAGATGCATAGGCTTTTCAACGGGTATAAACGAAGTGATACTGTACATTTCCACAAACATAAACTTGACTTACATAGTGCACACATATCCCAAGCTACATCGTATAGGGCGCCAAGATAACCACATATCGACTCCAAGTGTTCCTCTTCAAAGGAACACTTAGAAACCTTTCTTTTTGAGGTGCTTATTCCATCGACTGATGACCCTGTCTCGCTCTCGGGGAGTTGCATTCCGAAAGGCTTCAATGCCTTGTCGTAACCTGATTAGAATGACTTCGGCCTTACAATTGGTGAGATGATGCTTTTGCAGCTCCCTTTCCACGCCTTTGAGGGTATAACCAGGTAAACCAAAGGTTGCTACGCCAAGATTAGTAACTTGTTGTCAAGTCCCTTTGAAACAATACTATAGCCTAATTCATGATTACTGAACAAAAGGATTGGCAGGAAAGATTACTCACAGGCACCCAAGTTGGAGAAAAAGCCCTTTGAGCCTCGCCATACGCCTTTTCCAATTCCTTTAGCACCCTCTTCATGAATGCTTTTGTAAGGCCAGACAACCACCCCGCTAAAGGCCTCCCACATTCCCAGCGTAAATTCTTTGCCGGCTGCCGCAAGACCGCTTTCAAGATCGTTAATCTGGTCTCGGCGACGAACTTCAACCCCAGCAAAGCCAACCGAGGGGTAGTTGTGAAATCCGTTTGCAATGTTGTAAAAGAAAGCTACGGGAACTTTTAGGGTCACTTTGGTTAACTCGGAAGCATATCGGCCCGTCGCACGAGTTAGATAGAAGATGCGGCCATTTCGACCTCTCTCTCGAGCAAGCCAAGCCGCTTTTTGTTTATCATATAGGGTTGGCGCTCGAATAAGGGTGTCGATGTCGGCGTTGTTGGTCTTTATGGATTTCCTCGCCACTCTCGAGGCGTACAGCTCCATTTCTCTGCGAGAAAAGGTGGTGGGATTGATTCGACGACTCGGAGATGTCCCGTTGCTTGCTATGGATCCATTCTCAGTCTTCTCCGCCCATGGATCAAGCCATGACTGCCTTCTGCCTTCTGGAGGCGCAGGAGCATGTTTGGGTCGAGATTTTAGAGCATGAGTGTAGTCGAACGTTGCCGTGGTGTAGTCCATCATGGGGCCAGTGAGTGCGGATACAAAGCCCACGAGAGGATGCTCAACGCCTTCGTCGACGTACCAGTTTTTGCGTCGTATAAGCTCCAGCTCAGGGGGCTGTATTAGCCCGCGATCAACTAGACATGCAACAGCAAAGCCACTCAAGCGTGTCCTCGTCTTCTTGTGCCAATGAGTAGCCAAGCGCCCGGGGCAAATCTCGCATTCGTACTTGTCCAGTCCGATGCGGTCCTGGAACCTCTTGGCAGTATCTTCTGCACCATTTTCTTGCGAAATTTCCTCCGCCATTCGTTTTGCGGCCTCTTGAGCCTCGGGCGTCAACGCAAAAGTTATGCTCTCGGCCAAGATTTCCTTTGTCAATGCTTTGAACGCCACTGGTTCTGGTCCAGCCCCAGAGCGCGCAATCATCTTCCCCCAGAAAGGCTGGTCGCCAAAGAAAGGGACAATGACGGTAGGTCGCCCAGCTGCGATTCCAGCGGCAGTGGTTCCGGCGCCTCCGTGATGGACTACCGCTGAGACACGCTGGAACAGCCAGTCGTGTGGACAGTTGTCAATCAAGTAGATTTCTTTTGGGACTTCGCACTTGTCTCCCACGCCACTCCACCCTCTGCTGATAATGGCACGAACCCCAGCCAGCTTCACGGCTCCGAAGATGAGCTCCGAAAGAGCATCGGGATCCTCAACGACAATAGACCCGAAACCAATATATATGGGAGCGGGACCGTCCTCGAGAAAAGCTAATAGATCGGGCGGAGGTGTGTAAGAGCTGGCGAGGGGCAGGAATGAATATCCGGCGATGTCGATGTGCGAGCCCCAGTCAGGTGGCTTAGGTATCAGAGACTGGGGCCAGAGATAGGTAAATGGTACGCGGAGTCTGGACAAGAGTTGGTATCCCCACATGACGCTGATGGGATCCAACGCAAGCTTGCGGCGAAACTTGTTGATCAAGTCTCCGAGACTAGCAACGAGAGGAGAGTTAGCAAAGGAGGATGCTGTTATAGCTCATATATACGACAAAGACTTACCCTTGCCACATCAACAACTCCATCACGACAAAAGAAAGATAGTTGGCTGTCTTGGCATCTGCACCTGCGTAGTTCATCGAGGCCAGTGGATGCGGAAAAGCCGAAGTGGGAGAAAACGGCATTGTGAAGACCATGTGCAGCGGGATCCCTAGCTTTTCGGCGCAGTGTATATGTGCAATGGATGGCGGGTTGGCGATGATGGCGTCTGCGAGAAAGAGATCCTCCACGTTCTCGACATCTGTAGCCCGGATAGGTTCTCCCATTCCGTTGCCTGCTTCGGTGCAGCCTCGCCACGCTCCGTTTATAATCTCCCACATCTCTGCCCTTCGTTTCCCAATGTCACCCGCCCTGACGCTTTTTCGATTCGGAAACAGCCCCGGGTTCCTCACCATGTAGGACATGAGGGCCTCGGGATCGCCGCCAATGGAAAAGAACTCGACGCCCTGAGCCTCGACAAAGTCTTTGAAGGCGGGATGGGTGCAGATGCGCACTCGATGCTCATACGGGGGCTTGGAAAGGATCTGGGCGATTGGGATGAAGGGCTGGACGTCGCCGCGGGAACCGACTATGAGTATTGCAATGTTCAACGGCGGGCGGAGGCCCCCTGTTGACTTGCGTCTCTCGCATACGGGATCAGAGCAGACATCGTTCTTCACGCGTTGTGATGCCTTTTGGAGGTCCTTGCACCAGCTCACCAGGCCCCCAGTATCTGTTTCGAAGCATACTTTGAATCTTCCGTCGCATCCGTAACATCCTTTTTCTTCTGGTGCCACGGGTGCCACGTCTTTTTTGAGTCCTTGATCAGCTCCGACATGGGGAGCTGTGGCCGATCGAGTCCGACTGAGCAGCATTGCGAATTCACTTGCAGGTCCAAACAGGGAGGTCAGGCCGCAATCTGCTGTCGTCTGGGCGTTTTGTTAGAGGGACCATGGTCAGCTTAGAAGACTGTCGAGGTAATGGAGGGAAGATATGTAGGGCCATGGCTAGATCCCGGAGCTGTATCGCGCCCGATCAGCGCTGTGCATGACAGCTTTGTCTATCCGGTAGATCCGTCAGCCACTGGGAAGGTCTTGCTTGCGTTTGGTCCAGCTATATGACGGTCTGATGCAGCTTCACCGATGCAAATCGCCACCTTGGACCTAAAACGGTTTGGGCTTAGACGCCACGGGCAGTAATATACTTCATTTAGCAGCTTGACGCAGCTTTATTGGGCGCTTCTCCATATGTACGGGAGCTGAATTACAGAGCAATAACAGGCCTGTCTTGAAGGCAAAACTTCATCTTTATAGCTGCCGATTGGTCTTTGCAAAGTTGCGAGTCTCATATTGGGTGCGCAACATACAGGCTACGGTATAATAATTAAATGCGACAATGGCATTGCATAGGTGAATCACCTGAAGTGGGAACAAAAACAAGAGATGTGCCTTGTTAAGAACGAGTGTTATAAACTGAATCCAAGGCAGAACCTAGTTTGGTCTTCGGTTTGCCTGAAGAAGAAGAAAAACCCTATTTCATATCCGCCTTCATGTATTATATCCTTCTTTCAGTAGCTGTATTCATCTGAAAGAATTCCGTACCTTTTCCTCCATTCGTATGATGTTGGTGGCTGCAATAGCCCGTTGCCCTGGTAGTAAGAGCAAATGATGTTAGACATCTGCTTCATATAAGCTAACTGTAAGCTCTGGAAAGAGCCAAGTAACAGCGGCATCGCAAAAAGCTCTCTGAAGAAACCTTTCACATCTTCCACTTCCTGACAAGCTTTCCATCAGGTCCTACCATTGCCTCTACTCTCACCCATATGACTGCGACAGATGCAACAAAGAGGCAGGCCATTGTAAGCAGCGTCATGCCTTCGTACGACCTCGCAGGGCTACCCGTAGAATGGCTACGGATCAATACGCCGCCAACCGGGGTGCCAACAAGAGAAGCCATGCCTCGTACCATGTAGAGCACGCCGTTAACAGAGGCAAAGTTCTGGATGCCAAAGAGCTCCACCAAACTTGCAGGAAACAGAGCCACGTACGCACTGGCAAAGATGCCGTAAAGAACCGTGAATGTGATGAACAGGCCTTGAGATGTTTCCAAATCGCCAGCTATCGTCGAAGGGAGCCAAAAACAAACAGTCGCAATGGCACTGATGATGGTGGTAATCACAAGAGCATTCAACCGTCCCATATGATCTGCCGCGTAGCCGATGGCGATCTTTCCAATGGCATTGCACGCGTTGCTCAAGGCAATGAAGTTTGCGCCGGCTGTGTCGCTGTAGCCCAGAGTTCTCGCGTAGGTGGCGAAGAAGAAGAGCGGAAGATAGTAGACGGCAGACTGAAAGACGGCGCCCAGTGCTTGAGCAGCAAACCGGCGTGTTCGTGCTACGCGCCAGTCGACAATCGGCACCTTGAGGATGCCATCCATGTGGCTCGTCCTTGCATTGTTTTCCATCTGGATACGAGCCTTCGTCTCAGGCTCCCAGTCCAGGGCAAAGCTCGCCGCAACGTTGAGTCCAAAGGCGATTCCTCCAGCAAGACGCATGGCGTTTCGATAGCCCATAGAGTCGATAGCTGCTTTCAGCGCAGGAGCCCAAACAAGGCCTCCAATGCCGGTGCCGGATGTGATTATTCCTAGAGCAAGGCCACGGCGCTTAGTGTACCATGTGGGAGCAATTGTCACGGCAGTCATGTAGCTCATGCAGGTGCCCAATCCCAGCAGAACCCCTTGCGTGACTTCGAAATGCCACAGAGACTTTCCGAAGCTCGCGAAAATGAGCGAAGCCGAGAATATGACGGTACCAATAAGAGATATCAACCACGGCGAGAAGCGCTTGGCCCAGGCGACCACAAACGGAGCGCCGATGGTCATGAGCGAGATGGACAATGTGCCAATAAGATCGATCAGCGCGGGCGATGCTCCGGTAAAGGGAGTATCCGGCTGCTGCGAAAGGGTTTCAAACACGGCTTGGAAGATGCCAAAAGCAAAATTAATACCGCAGCAGGTGAAGACAATCGTAAACGAGGCGACGGTGATGATAACCGCTTGCCTATAGGAAGGATTAGTACCTGCTGGGAAGAAATGGGGAAGACTCATCGTGCCGGAAAGTTATGGCCAATTATACTACTCATGAAGCGTACCGGTTCGAAGGAGATGGCGTTTCGGAGGTCTCTGCGGTAGCGATTGATGGCGGGCGTGCAGATTCGACTTCTTCGTTGGACGGTCCATGCCGGTTACGCTGAGTCAATGAGATGGCATCTTGAGAAAATCGGCCATGGGACGAGATCGTCTTATCCGTCGTCTGAGTGATTGTCGACATGTTTTCAAGCGTATAGTGCTAGTAAGTGCAATTGCATAGACTGGTAAAATACGATGAGAGTTTGATCAAGGAAATACCAGGCGGAAGATGTGTGGATGGGCTGGAGAGTATATATACTAGAATTAAAACAGCGAAGACCGGACAGATTATTAGCTAATAGTGAGAGTGTCAAGCTATGAGTCAGGATTACTAGCTTCATGCGGCAAAGAGAGTCGGACAATCCCCTTTCCTTAAACTTTTGCTTTGTGTATCATCCGAAATAGGTGTTTATTTAGCATTCCGCGGAGATGTTCTATCAGGATGGATGTGCATATTACAGGAAAGAGATGCAGGGAGTGGTAAATCGGAGTCCGAAGCGTTATCCTAGCGCCGATGGAACACGTATGACAACAACGCGTTATCAATCTAACGCTTATTGACGGGAATATGGCATCCGGATTTTGCGGAATTTGGACCGCTGTCGGAAGTCTTTTTATTGTGTCTTTCTGTCATTGCAAGGCGTGGCTATCTCACTTGGGTCGTGAATCCTGTAATCGTTTCCTCGGGTAGTAAGATTCTACCGAGGTAATTGTCGTCATGATATATATCTCTTTCAATTTATCCAACTGTGAGCAATTATTATTCCTTTGATACTGCAGCCAAATGGGAAAATACTACATCTCTTCATAGTTGCTCTCTGCAAGCTGAATTTGACCCACCTAGAGAATGAAATATGAAGAGAGTTGTGTTCGTCAAGACCGCTATCAAGAGCTCTGCTTTCTTTCTCAAGAAGAGGCCATTAAAACTGCTGTGAATTAACGCATGATTAATTGTGAGCCCAGTAACAGCTATTAATCATATTCCGACTCCTGCAACATATAAAAGCTGGGACTACACCTTCGGGCGTACGGTATCACTTATGCTCGTATTCGTTAAGAGCTTCGTTTAACTCCACTTATCCTATTGCAAAATATTCATCGACTGGAAGAAGATACTCCTTTTGGTTCACAAGGCGAGAAAAAAGACTGAAGGTTTCGTGAAAGCTTACAGAGTCTACATTTTGACAATTTGTCTGACTGGTAGGAATGCTGAATGGTCATGTAAACATATGAGCATCAGGCAATTCATATCAAACATGGCTCGTAAGAATAGTTTCCCAAATCGTGTAGCTGGTATGACCTAATATGATGCTGTATCAGTACTAATTTGGGTATTTTGCGACGATATGGGGTGCTAGTATGGCTTTATATCGTTCGTTGGCATAGTGAAACGAGCAAAGAGCAAACATCCTGCCTTTAAAAGTCTTTTGATACAACCAGCCTGCCAGTAGCTAGCATGTTATGAAAGCACAACTGGATTCGGCAAATTATTGCGGGTAATTCAGTCCAGTCGGAGTTCCGACCTACCTTTGAGCTGGTTGTTGGCATTGCCCTTATCGAAGACAAATTATGAATGCTTAGGTCCGATATGTGAGAATCGCTGCGTTGTCACGTAAAAGCAATTATTTTACCAAGGTGTTCTTAATCTCTTCTCCACGAGACTGATATTTTAATTCATTGAGATAACAAAACTTACTGACTTGATATTGAGTAACTGAATACATTATCCACTGGTAGTCGACCCCGACATGCTCGATTATGTAAAAGGAGCTATCGCACCTTACCTTGGCACCAAAGCATTTTAGGAGAGCGCGCGCTGACCGTACACGTACACGTACATGTATCCATATCTAATTAACCCATAACTCAATCTTTCCTTTTGGCTCATTCGATTTCATCTTTGGCTAGGTATATAAAGCCTTTCTGCGCCTTGATGCGGAATTCCGCTCGCAGCGGAGACGCCAGTACGGCACAGTACCGTATTCACGCCCACATCAGTATTATATGTTTTTGTTCGTGAATTCGAGACTTTCTATCAATTGGAAAAGATGCGCAATGCTTGCATTGGCCTAAAACTGGCGCCTCATATCCATAAGTATGGGGTTATAGCCACTCATATTTTGTTTGTTCATCTTGCATAGACCTCCAAAGCTGGAATACATTGCCAGATTTCAAGACAATGTTATCTCAAGTACTGCGCTTCACATTTCCGCCTGGATCTACCATATCCTCAGCAGCGTTCTTGAAGCTGCGCCAAAGCATTGCCGCAGCAGGTGCGACAACTCAATACTATGGCTATACCGCACCTACAAGAGTCTTGAGTCTGCCTAGAAAGCGTCACGAGGTGTGCTGGGTGATTCGTAAGTATTCACAAATCGCAGAAAAGAATATGTGACAATTATCTGATTTGTGCGACAATCAGAATGGCCTGAAGAGTTGCGTGATCGTAGTGCTGTGACGGAAGGGTTAGCTGTGACTGGCGTTACAGATACGACATCCTTGGAATTCGAATTCGACGATGCTCAGTTGGAGAATCTCGTCAAGGCTCTTGAAGCTCCCGTTTGCGAATTTGTAGGTATTCATCCTTCAATAATCTCTGTCATCTTCACCAATTGCTTCACATGCCTCTTTGGAGTCGATTTGTTTGCAAATTTACGCTCCAACTTTACTGACAAACATGTAAGGCATGCATACGACTGAGAGATGACGCCCCATTGGAAAATGAAGCTCTACAAAAGTCAATGCATAAAACATATGTCGACACTTACCAAATCCAGGGATTTACAGGCGGCTATTGGGCATATGCGATTAATACAAATGAGACTACAGGAGTATCTTGCTTGGCCCCAAGTGAAGACACTGTCCCTAAAGCACACCGAAGGCTCGGGGTTTACTACCTCGGGTGGGAGAGTATTGAGGTAAGGTCAACCTTATATCAACAAATGGCATTTTACAACATTACATTTTCTGACAGAGTCTTATTAGCTCCACGAGGACGGAACCCAAACTGAAGCATTTTCAGAGGAAATAAACAACTTGCAGCCATACTTTGGCCCGGGATCGGGAGCTTGGTATGCTTTGCTTCGCCAACATACATAGGCGGTTCTTTGATGAGTTATATGATCATAGTGATGCCATCTTATGGCTCCCGATGCTGCCTAATAAAGACTGGTGGACTTGATCGGGAAGTTCTTTTGGACCTCTCCATGTTTATTATGAAGACAGAATGAGGGCAACTCCATCCAGTATAGGTTAACATTTTATATTCGACCAATGAACAAAGCTACAAATAGACTTTTTTTTTTTCAGGCATACATTGGTTTATCTAACCTTTTAGGGACCCCATCAATGGGAAAGACTGTGTGAATGCATTCTAAGTTTTGTTAACTTCACGATGTATCTACTTTGCCTTTCCAGTATGAGTGGCTACTAGGTATAAGATTATATTTCTTTTTCCAATTGTAAGAACTTATCTTTTCCCCAGTTATGTCTAATTCATGTTACAAAAAAATACCATCAATATCGAGGAGGAATTTCAGTATGATTTCAATGTTGTAGTCTAGGCTGATCTAACTCAAGATATCTCGACTTATATAAACACGTATTCTTTTCCACACCATAACGCTACCATTTCTTTGACCAATCAATATTTGTATTTAAAATCAGAACGGCTACCGTAATAGCGACGCTCTGTTACAAGACCTGCGTTAGGTAGGAAATGTAATAGCAGGATGTTGTGCCATAGGTAGTATTCGCTCGCCGACCTTCCTCTTGGAGGATCATCTGCTGAACTAATTAGCTGGCCACGGCGCCTAATTTTCCAAGCCTTCGTCGGCAATTTGCTAAATAGAAGCCAGCAAAATTTTCTTCTCGTAGGAATAACTCTGGCGCCACCGCGGAATGATGGTCCGAGATAATTTGACTGCCCCGTAAAAAGCAGTATATAGTTATTCTATACTCAACCAGACTACATGAATTGAACAAGCAAATCACAATGTTTCCCAAGATTCAGAGACCGACAATGCAATTGGAGATGTCACTTTTAACCTCCATGGAATAACATCTCACGGGTTGGTAAGTGAGGTACTGGAATAGTGGCTGGCTACATGTTCCTAGCAAAGAGGAAACGCCACTAGAATACGCCCGAAGTGTGAATAGATCAATGCCTAGTGCCTAAATGAAGGCACGGAACAAATTATCAAATGTTAATAGCATTTCTTTCTGTTTCTGCCTCTCTTTCGCTGATTCCATCTCCTTTCTTCGTCAGATGAAAGAGTCGTTCTCCATTCTGCTGAATCTGCACCCTCTCCCGTGATCCATTTTTACCAGCAGTGGTTTCGGCTAAAACTTACACAACTCGGGTACCGTATGCATCGTTGGATAAACACAGTGGTAGAGGGAATCTTTGAACTGGTCGAATAGGACAAGTTGGAGACATGTACGAGATACGTACACGTAATAAAAGGCAGCATTTAATAATCGGCCACGTAAACTTTTATATAAAGTTGCGGACTTGATGCTGATTCATACCTTTGTGTGTATGCATGTTGCCGTCTAATTTGGGTCGCCCACCAGAAAACTGCTGTTTTCCCTCCCCTGCAAGGACCGAGGTCCTTCCTCGTGTCAGTACCACATTGCTGCCTCACAATCATATGAAATTTTTATCGCTCCAGGTGCAGCGCTGCTGCAAGTTGGCAGCGCTCTGCTGTACCCCGAGATGGATGTAAGAACGCTGGTGCCGTTTTGGTAGGGCTCGCTGCGATCGGCGACTTGGGACCACAGCAATGACGAAATGCGTGGGGAAAAGCGTCGAAGAAAACGCCTGGCCTCTGCGATGGTCGCTAGCAAGCAAGTTCTCTTGCTTATACGTGGATATGTACTTTGTATAGTTGGCTCGAGTCAGCGGCCTTTTTGTCACTAACAGGCACAGATCTTCCATGGTGAGAAACAAGCGGGAGTGATGATCAAATCCTATAACTGGTGCCGCACAACTGCTCAATGTATGCATCTACCTATACGCAAACGACCTATTTTTGTACATGTGTCGTCAGAGCAGTTCTCTCCGATACGCTCTATCTACGTCAAACATCGGAAGGGATTTAGGCGTCAGTCTTGGCTTCCAACTCAATCTGCAATAACGGTTCTCAGCCATGGGAGGGATTCGCCCCGGGGCGGGCGCTAAAATGCTTGGTGTCTGAATGTTTCTCTTCCAAAGGGACCAAGACAAGGCAAAGACAGCGCCGCTCCACAGAATTACTCGCAACGTGTTGCCACAAGTGCAGGCGACCCCTTTCCCCCCGAAAGCACACCAGCTCACGATGAACATGTGGACGCCATCGAGTACCATTACCCTTAACGAGCAATCCCCGAGGGATAGTATATGGTGTGCTCCTTATTACCTACCTATGTGCTATAACAGACGCTTAGATGCGAGAATTATGGAACCTACAGTATTGTAGACTGGAGCCTTGTCAGCTCTAATGTCTAGGATCTTTTGGCGTCGCGCAACACTGGAATGCTACCCGCGGCTCATCGCCCAGGGAGCAGCACACTTGAACTGAAGACATGGATAAGGCCAGTGTGTACTCTTGGATTCCCCAAAGCCTCATGTCATTAGTCCTCCAGCATAATACTGAGCCTCATGCTGCTACCACTGCGAGTGCGATAAAATCGTCAGTTCTGCCCAAAGCATCTACCTACATGTACCTCGCGTGTACCTGCATTCAGCAGCAATTTGAGGTGTGGAGCTCGTAGTCCCATGCAGAGTCCAAGTAGCAGCACGGCCCTCTCCCTCCGTCTCAGGAAGGCCCGTAGCAGCCCCTTTTTGCCGACTCTTCGCCTACACGCTCGTGTCCATTTGTTTGCACACATCAGGTTAGAAAACTGCCACCGCCATTTATCATAATGGGAAGCGAAAGGCTTCATCTCGGCCGGGACTCGCGCCGGCCCACAGCAAAGGCTGGAGATGGGCGACGGCGTCGACAAACGGCCCAGGTCGCATCCACACGTGTGCCACTGGCGATGCTACGGGGTGCCAAACATGTATGAATGGAGATGTTGCTTCTTGGAGGTTCAGAGGTCACTTGTAATGCCACTTTACAGCATACATGTAAATATTGTTTGTGTGTTGTCGTCTTCGGCTTGATATTAAACTACACCTAAGCAAGAGAAGATAGGACGCTAGCTGCTGCGCCTTGTAATGCTCGACGTTGGCTTGCGGCAATTATGCAGCTGAGATGTAGATGCATAATTAAGTCGACTCATTCAACAGTCTGTTGGCACCTGACTGATGAATTGGAGACACCGCTTGTAATCAATAATTGATGATTCCCTTGTTCTGGTCAACGTCAGTCAAGAAGGCTACAGCACCATCAAATACCCGCTTGCGTGGGGGAGCCAAGACATCCCGAGCCTGCTCTGGAGATGCGCGTATCGACATTCAGCCTGTACGGATGGATGGGCTAGCGGAATGTGCCGAGAGCGCAGTTTGGCACCGTCAGAGAGCCCGAATTGCCTGGGTATACTTGCGATGTTGATGCACGAGTGCATGTATTTGCCGAGGTGTCGAGTGTTTAGACATTCCACCCCGACGCTGGTGAGGCTTCATTTCGGCAGTCAAATACGAAATAGACTGCGAGGCAGATGGATCATGGACGTATCTGGCCAGCAGGAGTGTCTTGGTGAGCAACGAGCATTGAGATCTTGGCGTTGCTACGAGCTGAGCCGCCATGGCGTTGTGTAAAAATAGCCTGCATACTTGTGTCTATTCTCATGCCTCACAGAATCGCCCAGTAAGAACGAGCACCGTTTAACAAAGCACGCGACACACGAGTCTCTGCCCAATCAGCCGCGCCACCGACGGCGATCCTGCTGTTGAAGCCCACTGCGGTCCATTCTGCGCCTCCTGACAATCGCCTCCCAGGGCGTGCTTCTCGAAGCCACAGCGAGCTAGCCGGGGGCTGAGTTGGCGGAGTTTGCCCCAGGTGCGCCGTCCCAAGGCCTGGCCCCCCTTCCTTGGCTGCATGTACCTAAAACTACAGCGCCTGCAGCAGCGCTTCAGCCCCGGAAGCCCCTCGTCAGAGGCTCCAGTCGCCTCTCCACACCCGCCAGGGGCTGGGCGCATCCCACTGCCGCTGATTCGCGCGACCTCGTGCGCCGGCGCCGGTCTAGTGCGTCTGCCATGTACCGCTACCGCTGGACCGCTGGGCCACTCCACTGAGCCCGTGCCGCTAGCAACCGCCTGTGCTGCACGACTCTCAGCGCGAGAGCCTCGTGCTCGTCCGTTCTGCTCCTCCTACTCCAACCATCCTCAGCTCGCAACGCTCCTTTTTAGTCGACCGCTCAGCTGCCCTCCACTCCTTCGGGCTTCGTCGTGCGGCTCGTGCCTCATCTCCAGCGTCTGTGCTCTCGTTCCTTTCTTTTTGCGCCTAGCCGCTGCTCACTCTCGCCTATCGAGCCGGACCCTTTCGCTCCCTGCTTGCTCTGCTTGCTCTGCTCTGCTCTGCTTTGCTCTGCTCTGCTTGTATCGACTCTCTTCTCGTCCTCGACCTCGTCCTCGTCTCTCTCTGGCCAAAACCTCCTCATGAGAGTCTGCGAGCAATCACTCCTCGAGTCGCTTCCTCACACTCCAGGCACGGTCCGCCAAGGCCAGCTGCTGTGCGACTCTCCTCGAATCTAAAATATTCTTTCCTTCTTCCGAGGTCGACTCTGTTTCCGCTACCAGCATCTTATCATCATTTACTACTCTGCATCTCTTTCTTATCCTTTCTCTTTTCTTGTCGCTCCTCTCCTTGACCGAAACGGCGATATCGAGACGAACAACTTCCGACATCTACCACCCATCATGGAGCCGCCCGCTGGCAGTCGGCTCGATGCCTCGCCCTCTCCCATACGCCCTGGCATGACACGACGTGTTGCTTCTGCCATCGCTAGCCGATTGACACGCCGACGCTTCTTTTCCAACTTTGCTTCTCGTCTCGCAAACCGGCGCTTTGCCTTTGCTGTCGCAACCGTCTCCATCTTCAGCGCCAAGGGCGTCCACATCTACACACATCTGTCTTCATTACCAGTCGTTCACCTGGTGCGGTGGGGCTATTCGTTTTTTGCTCAAGATGCTGCGCTTCTCGTGCTCGTGCGACTGCTGCTCGACCCGTGGCTGGTGGAGGGATCTGCCTGGCTTCGACGGGTGACGATGACTCTGGCGTCCATCATCATCGCATATCTCATCACGGTGGGCGTCTTGACGGTATCCTTTTTTGCAGTCAGTGGCTCAGAGATTCACTGGCGCAACATTGGCTTGGCGGGCGATGCGTCGTCCCTCGGCATGTTTCTGTCTGGTCTGGCGTCCTTCTTGTTTGTGCTTGCCACCGTCCTCTTTGTCGCCTATGTCCTGCAAGACATCTGCTACAAGACCGCGGGTGTGGCCACCGACATTCTCAAGTGGCCCATATCGTTTGCTCTGCGTAAATCAGGTGCGCCGACCACTTACTCTCAGGTGCCACAGCTCGACATTGAGCTTGCCAACACCTACGACGAGCTGGAGGAGGAAGAATTCTGCAACATGAAGAGCAAGTCATCAATGGTCATTCTAAGGCGATTATTCTATCTCTTCATTGGCTGCGCGCTGCTTACCCATGTCATTCTATTCATGATCCGGCCAAACGAGAGTGCCTTGAACTTCTTGTCCTGGACACCCGCCCTCTTGCCTTTCGTCGACTTCAGCTTCTCGTCTCCTAGCCTGGATCACTTGGAGCCTATTCATGGCACCGGCATTGGGCGCTCGTGGGACAACTACACCGCTCTGGCTGCCCCTGCCCCGTTCTCGTGGCTGCCTGAGAGGCCTGTTCCTGGATTTGGGGACTGGTACAAGAACGACGAGCACTACAGTGCCGATGCAGATCCCCTCAAAATCTCAAATTTGGAAGAGAAGCTGCTGCCAGCCCTGCAAGGCAAGCTGGGGGACGTTCCAATTCGCCACGTTATGCTCATCCTTCTCGAGAGCACCCGAAAAGACGTCTTCCCTCTGAAGAAGGATGGTGTTGTCTGGAACCGCCTAGCAAACTCATATAGCAACGGCACGTTGCCAGAGGAGACCCAAGCTGCACTGGCAAAACTAACGTCCAATGCCAACTACATCACCGGTGATTACGACGATGGCTTTGAGCACCAAGAGAAGAAGAAGCGTGGCGGTATCAGCTTTAACAATGTCTTTACCACCGCCACCTACACCATCAAGAGCATTGTGGGCACAATGTGCGGCCTCACGCCGCTCATGGCAGACTTCAATCTCGAGTATCTTCACCACTTCTACCAGCCATGCCTGCCCCAGATTTTCGAGGCTTTTAACCGACTAGACCACGATGACTCTGATGACCGTGACGACCATGGCCCCTATGGCCCCCTTGGTCATCACGGCCCCTCTGGTCACCACGGTCCTCCTGGTCACCATGGCCCTCCTCATCCCCACGACGGTCCTCCTCCCCACGACGGTCCAGGTCCTCATGAAGCCCGGAATTCTGACGATTTCACACTGTTCAAGTGGCGTTCTACATTCATGCAATCCGTAACCAAAAACTACGATAGATATGTGCCTCTCTTGTCAAAAATGGGCATCTCCCCGGAAAGCCTGGTCTCCAAAGAATATCTCAAGAGTCCTTTTGCCAAATTCGGCCGCGTAGATCTACCAGACGTCAACTACTTTGGCATGGCTGACATCGCCGTTGAAGACTACATCCGGGACGCGTTTGTGCAGGCCAAGAAGAATGATGAGCGAGCATTTGTCACACACCTGACCAGTACAAGCCATCACCCATTTGCTATTCCAGCCGAGGAGAAATATACACCCCTAGGAAACGGCTTGGACGATATCTCACATTATCTCAATGCCATCGGCTACGACGACAGATGGCTAGGCAAGATTATGGATATTCTTGACGACGAAGGTGTTGCGGATGAGACTCTTGTTGTCTTGGTCGGCGATCATGGCGTGTCCATGCCGGAAAACAACATCTTGGCGCCCTACTACAATCCGAATGTTGGCACCCTACGCGTACCTCTTGTTCTTTCTCACCCGAAGCTACCGGTAATCGACGTTGATGATGCGGTGATTTCATCGCAAATCTTGCCCACCATCCTCGATCTCCTCCGCGAAACAGGCTCGCTTTCCGAGTCCCAGTCGCAAGCTGCATCCGATTTGGTCCAAAACTACGAAGGACAGTCTCTGATTCGCCCACTTCACGCGTCGTCTAATGAAACCAGCCAGGGCAACTGGCAATTCACCGTCATCAACCCGGGTCGCGCCATGCTGAGCATCCGCGACGCTCGTCACTCCGACTGGCTCCTCATCGTGCCCATCATCGACAATGTCGAGTGGCAGTTTACGAATCTAATGACAGACCCAACCGGAGCACAAACGCTGCTCGGTTTCGATTTTGTTAATTTCATGTACAGTGTTGAGAAATCACATGGCGTCGATGCCGCGAAATGGATCGAAGAAGCTGCATTTATGGCCCGCTGGTGGGTCGAAGAGAATGGAAAGCGATGGCGTTATGGGCCTTATGCCACCTAAACAGGCATATGTTTTTTTCCTTTTCTTTCTAACGCCTTTTTTCTTTGATATCATATTTTTTTTTACTAGCTTTTCTTGATGTACTGATATATACTTGGGACGGCATTAAAACTGGCGTTGATACAATACACAGCGGACGGCATATGTCCTTTGAACTTTATTACAAAATTTATTACTTTAATATTTTCTGAACTAAATATATTGTGAAGATTTCCATTTTATCTCCACCTAGAGGTTAGAACCGGGAGAGAAACCCCATGATGGCAACATGAGGCAAAAGGCGTGGTGTCTCTTTTGCAGTTTATGGAGTAAGCCGCGATATCCCGTTTCAAAGTGTGATTGCATTCGACAGAGTCTGCGAGGTTGCTTGTACTGACTTACTGCAGAATGCGCATTATTTGTATTGGTTTTGTTTTGTTTAGCTGGAAGTCTGCAACGGAAAGTCTGTTCTGCAGCACATAGGCCAAGCATAATTAGGTAAGCTAACAATGACCAAACGTCATGGCGGTCCCTAAATCACCAGCTTCTCTGGTGCTGCGGAGAAGGAAGCTGTTCTTAACCAACACTTTTGATCAGATGAAGACCATTGCATTTCAAATATTTCGTCCCCGCACTCTGCCTCTCCTCCGAGCACGCATACTATCACCCAGCTACTTCCAATCGCAGCCAAGAGTTTGCTTCTTTTCTGAAGCAAAAGAGCGGCATCGCAACATGGCCACTGTTTTTCGACTCATATTCTACGTCCCAGAGACTCATGTCGAAGCTTGCAAAGCTGCCATCTTTGCTGCCGGGGCTGGTATCTATCCGAATAGCTCGTATAGCGAATGTTGCTGGACGACGTCGGGGACCGGGCAGTTTCGGCCGGTTGCTGGGGCGAATCCGCATATTGGGACGGTGGATAAGTTGGAGTCTGTTACGGAAGTGAGGGTTGAGGCTCCTTGTGTTGGAAGGGATGTGGCGAAGGCGGCTGTGGAGGCGTTGAAGAAGTAAGTTATAAGCTATCCGATGCGATTGCATATATGAGAGGGTCTGGAAAGCGGATGAAAATAAGATTTTGTTTTTTTCTAGAGCGCATCCGTATGAGGAGCCGGCGTATGAGGTGTATAAACTTGAAGACTTTTAGGACTATGGGCTCTTTATAGCTACCCTTCTTCCATTGATTACACATGGCTATCGCGAAACCCATCACGGGATTATGATTCTTTCTGTTTATTGTTGGAGTGGTCTTTTACGGCCCTAAAATCTGTGTCCTGAGCAAAGATTGTAAAGATAAATATGCTTTATACATTATAAAGGAAAACAGAAAAGCATATTGGCATAGGCCAAGTGCCTGGCTGCTGGCTCTATCTGCTCCAAGCTTATATATGCAGGGTTGTTGTATTTATTCAATTTCGCTATTCTCTTTCTCCCGGCTACCAAGAGTATAGCTCCCATATCTCGGGCTCTGGTTTATCCAAGCTTGGTTGAAATCCAAGGCTGCCCGCGTTCCAAAACCAGTCGGGGTGTTCCTCGCTCCTGTACCGGTTTGTCCCCCGCGCAAACTGAATAGCCATTCTGTGAAACCTCCAACGATTGCAAATATGCGGGTCCGTCTTTTCCACACATGTGAGCATGTAGTGCCGCCAGTCAATCTCAGACTGGCGCGATGAGGAGGTGTCGGCGAAGACGTCTTTAGTCCAGCTATTGTCGCTCCAATCGGCAGGCGTGAATGGTAGCATCCAGCCAAAGTTACGCAAAGCGCGGAGGAAAAGGTTTTGTCGTTTGTAAATTATGGCATCGTAGAACCAGCTATCTACCTGAGCTAGGGAGAGGAGAGTTTTTGCCGCTGTGATAGCAGACGGAGCCTCGAATATATTCTGAGGTCGACTACTTGGGTCATTTCGATTAGTGTCTCCAGATTCGTTTGGGTCTTGGTGTTGTTTGTTTCGCTGAAGCTCATTTTTAAGAACCTCGCTAGGGATGTCAACAATGTAGCTGAGAATGATGTCGAGTAATTCGTTGGTATCAAAAACCTTTCGGCGCTTCACTGCCGAGCCATTCACTGGGCTTGGCTGCAAAGTCTTTGGAGTCGGTAGGCGAGTTGGCCTTGCCAGCAGCCACTTCGTATCTTCCATACTTTTCGGATCAAACCATCTTGTCTGTGGAAGATCGGGACGCTCCAACGGCGGCCACTGGCGCTCCAGGGCATACTGAAAGTCTTGCCCGCTTCTCTCTTGCATGTCATAATAGTTGACGCAGTACAATAGTCCGTTTAATTCACCGCCATACATTTGATAGCAGGAATTCTCCTTGTAAAAGGACTCCCAGAGTTCACGAGGGGTGATGCCGGTATGGCGACAGAGAAAGGAGAGGCATGCGGGATGGATCAAAAGAAACAAGTCAGAGCCCAAGTGCAGCTTATCCTTTACACCAGGAATGGATACATCTCCATAGGAGCCAACCGTGCTACATTAGGCATGTATAAGTGGGAAGCAATTCACAGATGCGTGCAGTCTTCATTGGCTTGATAACTCACCAGAGTGGAGTGACAAAAGTGTCCGGCCAGTTTGGAGTAATGCCAACGCTTGGATCCCAGTATTTGCCGTCTTCATCCGATATCGTCACAATCTTGTCCAGCGGCTGAGACGGCACCGGATATCCAGGACTGTTATACCACTCTCCATCTCCCGGCGGCCATTCGCCATCTCGGGCGCCCTCAGTTAGGAACTCGTACCAGCCATCTCGTGCGTTACTCAAGGGCCCAGAGCTGATCAGTCAGTTGACTAGCCTCTAAAGATGCGGGGTACATGATGCCTTACCAGAAGCAACAGAAAGAGTCCCAGCAGCCCATATCGCAGAAGCCTGTCAGCTGAGATGGGAGGCGTGTAACATTTAGAGATGAGGGTTCAACGGTCAAAGACGGATGTGGCCGTCATGGCTTCGATGCTGGGTTTCTTGTGTTTGGCGGTGAACCAGTCGTCGCGTTGTTGAGTGGCGCAGATTCAAGCGTACAGTATGGAATAGAAAGGCTTTTGATTATGCTAAGCAAAATGTGGAGCACAGAGTTTACGCTCAGTCTAATCAAATAATCATATTTATATAATATGCGACCACCAATGTGTCTTGTTTCTGAGTGCTTCCTTTCAAGTCTCATAATCACATACAATGACTACATGCGGTAGACATTATTGGCAGGTTATAAATAGTCGTTAGCGAACCAACACTCACCGCGGAAAGATCGCCATCTGATACACATCGAAAATCGCAACTAGGCGCTTAGATACGCTTAGTGGAAGGTTCTCTATTAGATGAAGCTTAAAGCAATGTTCTATGGAGCGCAGAAAAGAAAAGATGGGCAATCATTTCTTCGATCGGCGATGATAAACAATTACGTTTGTCCCATCCTTGAGAGGCTCATTTCGCGGTTCCCATGCAAACCCTCCAAGCTTGGGCATCAACACCCACCATATAAGCCAGTATACAACGGACGCTGCCAAAACCGAAATACCCACGACTGCGTACAGCCAATACGGGAGACTGGTGTCGCCTTTACCACCTGGGGGCCTCAAGAATGGAGCCACAAGCTGGAATGCCTGTCCCGCCATGAAAAACACGGCAATAGGCAGCCATACTTTGAATGGACGCGGCGCATTTGGCTCTTTCCAGCGAAGATAGAACAATCCTGCGACGACAAGGAAGTTGATAACAGCCCCTGGGTACCCCTCAACGTCGAGAATAAAACTGTAAGCGTCCCCAAACGGTATGGCGACGATGACGATGAAAGAAGGGATGAAATGCAGAATCAAGCCTGCGCTTGGCGAACCGAACGGCCATGATGATGCCCAAAATCGTGGAAGAGGAATGACGCCTTCTTTCGCAAGTTCCTGGTTGACGCGAGACTGGGCAAATGTTACTGTCAACACATTGCCGTATGCAGAGAGAGCTACAAGGACACTGGAGAATTATTAGCGGAATTCTACGTTTGACGAATGCGAGAATAGTGTCCGCGGCTAACCTGAGCGCTCTCTGAGCGGATGTTCCAAACACTTTTCCCATAAAGAACGAAGCAACTGTCGTTCCACTTGCCGCAATCTCTTTGGGTGTCGCCGCAGAAAAGTAAGCTACGTTTGCAAGGATATACAAAATGCCACAGGTCGAGAGACCCAATGGGCCAGCGATCTTGATAGTGCGAACGGGATCTTTCACCTCGTTCAGCACATACATGGCATTGGACCATCTAAAGGAGTACGTCAGTATGAAATCCGCTGGCAAGAGATGGAGCTGAAATATGGCATTTACCCTGCGAACGAATTCAACACTTTGAATAGTGCTGTTGCATACGGGTTTCCAGAAGTCGCAGAACCAGCAAATGCATCGCGGAAGCTTGCGTGAGGATCCGGAACTCGTGAAACGCCTCCGCCCAGCACAACCCATCCCGTTATTACAATGAATAGCAGAAGAACGAGTTTCAAAACCGTGAAAAAGTTCATTCCGTGTACTCCAAGTTTTGGAATAAATGTATGAATCAGGGTGACCGAGACGATGACTCCAATGGCAATTCCTCGCTCTGCCCATTCCGTAACAGTCCTGTTGGCCGCTACCAAGATGTTGGATGCAAAAACGATACAGCCGGAAGCTGTGGCATAAATTTAGACCATGTTCCCTCTGTCTCACTTTCTCAAAGTCTAGACTCACCAGTGAAGCCGAGGGCGATTGCTTGAACGGCAAAAACCGTAGTTATGAGCATCTTTGGCCGGCGATACGCTGCTTCGAGGTACACTTTCTCGCCGCCGCTTCGGGGGATCATACAGGCGAATTCAAGCCAGACGCAAAGGCCCGAAATCGACAACAAAAGCCCCAGAACCCATAGGAACATGGAGGCACCCAGAGATCCGACGCCATTGATGATTGACGAGGGGGTAGAGAAAATGCCCGTGCCGATGATTCGTCCGATACTAAAGTGGTATTAGCCATCGTGTAGTCTCTAAAAGTGGCGGAAACTCCAACATTAGCGAGGTGGTGCTGAATATGCCCAGATGTCGACCAAGTCCTCCTGCAAGATACTGGTCGAACGTCAATCCTCCCACTTCCTCCTTGAACTCGGCTTCAGAATACCGCGTGTCATTCTCGTTGGACCCGAACACCGCTTCGTTTTTCGAGTGCGCTGGAGAGTCGCTGGTGGCCATGGTGTTTTGCGGTGTCTGGGCCAGCTGATGGAGGAAGAGAAATGTATCTTCTAGCAAAGAAACAAAATTGTGGCCGCAGGCGACGCATCATAAACAAAACAATCCTCCCTGCCTTGCGGCCATAGTGTCTCACGGACCTGCCGAGAAGGTGTGGTTGCACACCAGCAGCGGTCAGATTGCGTGATCGTTATCGAGCGTTGCCTGGACATCAGAGCGGTCGTTTTGCGGCGATTGTCCCACTCTCTCAATAATGACTAGCCGTTCTCATGGAGTAAATCCTGGCAATGCAACGCAAGTTATCGATTTGAATCTTGTTTGCACCGGGGCAGTTGGAACCGCTACTATTTTACGAGTGGTACCTGAACGCCAAGATAAACCATTGTGTATCTATTACGCATTCTTTCGTTGGCTTTGAAGTTTCTGTTTCCAAAGGCAGTTAGTATGATCGCCCGGATACAATTACTAGCTCTTGCGCCATGCTGTTGGTTGGACGGCAGAAGCCGGCTTTGAATGCAAGGAGTTGTGGCAGACAGTAAGGCAGTTTTTAAGCCCCTTCGACAATGTTGCTCAGCTATGTTATTATTGACTATGATATTCGTGTAAGCAAAATCTATTCATAGTTCACATCTGGCAAGCTTCGTTGTCGAACTACTTTGAGAACTGAGTATGGTCAAGACTTCTGTCCGGGCATTGCTGACTAGTGAGGCTGATCGCAAGATATTTCCCTAAGCTAGCCGATGGATGATACTCTAGCTAGCTACGCATAGGTGCTGTTCAATGGATGGAGAAAATGCCGTTTGTGACTTGCAACTCTCAAGCGACAGTATGTTGCCGATGCGTATATTGGCGATTTGGAAGCCTACAATTAAACACTAAGAGGCATTCGCAATACATATCATTGCCTGCGACGGGTAAACCGATTCATGTACGTACATATGTCGCATCTGTAAGTCAGCATAGACCCCCATGCACGCGAGCAGCAGGGCCTTTTGGCCACGGACTGCCTCGTTGATCCTAGACTAGAGCTTTGGCCCCATGATGTGCTCGTTGACAGTTCTGGCGCAACTGCCTGGCGATATCCGAGCTTTACAGCCAAGTGGGGAAAATGCAATCACGCGATCTCATTGTGCTGCTATATAAGGCTGAACAAGCACAACAATTGTGAAGGTTCCGCAGTAAAGTTTGCAGCGCAGCGCTTCATGACAGCTTGCGTATCAGTGTGAAACGAACAAGTACTTTATTTATCCATCATCTTGTTTTCAAAGTCAGAAGATGGTGTATCTCATTATCTAAGCGTTACACATCTCATGCAATTATGCGAGAGAACTGTGGTGACTATTTCCAGGCCCATTTGAAGATCGCTCTATCTTAGTTTCACAGTACAAGGTTACAGTAAGATGATATGCGAGTATGAGGCATGGATTCAGCTAATTACAAGTCTGCTCACATTTTCACGGTGGATCAGCTACTACAAAAACTTGGATACTTAATCCGGTTTAGTAGCAAACTATTAAACCATGCCTCCCAGCGGCTTTGCAAATCAAGTTCTTGGCGCCATATACCATTGACCAATCAATATATAGTTAATTCACAGCCTAAGCAAGAATTTTAATGTCTTGAGGCCAAGTTCATTGAGTGCATAGCTGAATAGCTGTTGTCGTCAAGCGATGGTTGTCATAAGATTGAGACCAGTGTCAAAGTTGCTAACCCATATGTCGGCCTCTGATAGCACAATTAGCTTGGTCAATGTCTATCTATTAGGCGTGTAAGAGTTCGCCTTTTGATAGACAAACGCTGCTTACCTATATTAAGCGATAGATACATGTAGCTTAGTACTACTGATGGCAACTCACATGAGACACACGAATATAGGAGAAGAATTTGAGAAATAAATACTACTCACTTTTGGTGGTCATATATACATCATAAACTAAGAGACCTATTTACAAGATCCAAATATATACTAGAATGGGGAAAATATGTACAAGCTGGGAGACAAAAAGGCCTGCTCAAAAACCTTACAGCTATCCCTTGTCAAGGTTTGACGCAAGCATTGTTTGCTCCCTATTTACAGGGACCTAGAGCTACTCAGGCATAGAGCTCTAGAGAATGTCGGATAGCACTTTACTGGCAAGATGCCCACCACTGGCTCGAAACAACGCAAGTGTAGGGAGACTGGCATTGTGTTGGTCCAGTGTATCCCTCACCACCGCACTGACCCCACTGAGGAACACTGCCGCCGCCAGAGGGAGGAGGAGTAGCTCCAGAGCTGGCAGTGGAGGATCGGGTAACGGTGGCCAGGGTAGTGGAAGCCGGAGGAGGCGTGGAAGCACCACCCAGGTCTGCCACGATCAAGTCCAGGTATCCAGGGTTTCCAAAGAGCTGAGCCATATCCCACAGCATCACACCAGCAAAGGTATCATAAGCCTTGGAAGTTGAGATGGCTCCAGCGAGTTGATCATTGGTGGGGAAGTATTGAGCAAAGTTTACGGCATGGACACTGGCCGGAGTACCGACGAGCAGCTTAACGTTCTTGTTAGCACTGACGGTCTTGGCCCAGTTGTCCCAAGTTGCGTAGTTGAACTGTGAAGGGTAGCCAGAAACACCACAGCCGTTGTTGTAGAACTGGATGTTCATCCAGTCAAAGGCGACCTCTCCCTGGAGGAAGGATTCGTCAGACGCGTCAGGGTACACGCACTGAGGAGCAGCCGACATATAAAACGTCTTTGAGGTAGCAGCGGTTGTGAGAGTTCGCAGCTCTGCGGCAAAAGGCTCCATGTTGTTTTCGATGGGGTCTTCAAGATCAAAGTCGAATCCATCAACCACAGCGTTACCGAAAGGTCGAGGAGTGCTGTTGCCGCTCTGGACGGGACCAAACATGGCCCAAATTTCCTGGGCGGCGGAAACTGCAGCTGACGACGAGCTGAAACCACTCTCGGTATAAGTCGAGCCAAACAAACTCATCATGATGGTTTTTCCATATGTCTGCTGACACTCGACGATATCTGCCGCAACCTGGGGGCAATCAAGCAGGTTGGGATCCTGGGCAAAGGAGGTACAGTTGTTGCCAACATTGGCAAAGTTCAGGTTAAGATCCGTGATGCCAACGAGGAAAGATAGGTTGATAACATCGATGTCAGGGGCGTTTTCGCAGTAGTAGGACAGCCTGTTCTGGCCAATGCTACCTGAGTTCTGTCCTATAAGTTCGAAAGCCCGTTAGTCTCCCAATCGCAGCCAACTATCTCTCACGCCTTTTACAATTCTTAGTAAACTAACCCCAGTATACGACGACATTGTCCTTTGAGTTGGGGTTCCAGCCGGCCTGTGCAGCGGGGAGGAGGGACAGCAGCCCGAGGGCGGAGGTTAGGTACAGAGAAGGCATCGTGATCGTCGATCTGAAGGAAAGAAACGGCCTAGAGGATCAGAGGCAGTTGAGTAGCTGATGATGAAAAAGGGAAAGGGAGAGCAGATCGCATCTTTATATCACACAGATCGGCAGCCGCCAGCAGATTTCCAATGCCAAAAGCTAGCCGATCCAACAAGGAAGCTAGAATCCGATCTTACACATGTAACATTATGCTGATTTGATTCAAGGAAATTACGGTAGGTGCTATGCTAAGTGAGAGATAATCTGATGTTGAGAGGCTGACATGGTTACATGAACAGGCGGATAACTGTAAGGACTGAAACATTCCCACGCTTTCTGTATAGTGATAAAGATAGCAAAATCCACATACACTCCTGATGATATGGATTGTAAGGCAATATCAGCGATGACTAGTATTAACTTGATGCAACGTTATGTTCCAGTCAAGCCAGGGTATGGATATCTCATGTCTAATCGGGAAGGTTGAGAGTACAAAAGCGGCTAGAGGTTTCCAGTCGCGCGCTTTTCAACAACTAAAAATCGGTGCATATGCAGGAACCGTCTCACTCCCAATAAAAAGTAATCTCTTTCAACAGCCGCATAAAGTAATTTGCGTGGCTCGCTTGCTAGCAGTTAAAAGCAACGTAATAGTATATATCTTGGTGTATATAAATGAACCAAAGCACCTTTCAATAGAGTGACAAACATTTCCTCTATCCTAATGACGCTCCAAGACCAATTTTCTTTGAGTATTAAGGACTAGGTAGTATCCATGTACACATTAATACTTCTTTTCATTGCTCGGCAGTAATCATTGCAGCTTCCCCAGACTGTTTGGAATCTAGCCCATTTTGTCAGCTCTGATTCCTAGAGCTTCCGCATTGGTGATAGGGCCTGCCCGGCGGCAAAGGCATAACATGCGTTTTGTTCCCGCACGTGGCGGTGTTCTTGCTCTGTAATTTCGGATAACACGGCACCAGTGCACTATTAAACGCCTTTAAGTTGAAGTTCACGGCACTGAAAACCACGCGGTAGACAGGGACAGAAATGCTACCATGGGTCGGCTGGGAAAGTGGGCCAGCGACAGCAACGACCAGTCACGCGACGCGATATCAGCCGCGTTAGCAATCTGAGTAGAGAAGAGATATCAGATATGATGCTTGCACTAGATCCATACTTTATCCATAGACGATTAGGCATCTCCATTATTGCCATAGACACTATTGGGAACCGCAAGAGTTGAGCGGTTACATGAAGCGTCCATTTAATTACGTTTGAGGAATTTAATTGAGAACACACGACGTTACAGCTACAATGATGAATCAGTTATTTATGATACTGATTTGATCGTTTCTGGCGCATTGTCCTACTGACTGTACTTTATAGATTCAGTAGTGTTTTTATCTCACTCTGCCATTTCATTCTAAGAATAGGGTAAGCCTAGCATTTATGAGGACTACTGACCTGCCTAGTAGAGAGCAGGTGAAAATCGTTTATAGTAGGACGTTCTACGATTTATAAAGGAGTTTATAAAAACTGATTGTGATATTGAGCTTTACAGAGCGGTTGAAAATAGCATGCTCTTCTCCAGATAGGCATCTCTTCGAAAATCCAACAATACTACTACACAAAGGAAGGCAGCCAAGGCAGCTATTGCCTCAGTCGTGTTTAAGCACACTTATCGTACAAAGAAGAACCCTGCCACAAGAAACTTTACAAATACTACTGCGTATAGACAATTTAGACGCGAAAATATAAAAAGCAAATACGTATAGGGTAGTTACATAATAAAAGACGGCAAGCAATCTGACGTTTGATACCAGGTCGCGGCTAAATTTAGCGGCTGACTGAAGGGTGGGGATGCCTTCATGTTTACTCATAGGCGATATTGCAACGCCAGCTCTCCAGGGGCATGATAAGAAGGTACCTTCATCTCCAATGCCTCGCCAGAGTAGCCCAAGTCCTCTGCTACCAGCATAGCTGCCTTTTCTCCAATCAACAGAGCCGTTGAATACCTATATCGTACTTAGTTCACTGCACACAGCAGAAAAGGGACAGAAGAAGAGACTCACGTGTTACAACCCACGTTGTCGGGACAAATACTGAGATCGGCAACCTTGAGGCCTTTGACACCATGGACATTCAGCCGCTCGTCAAGCACACCGTGCTTCACGATGCTGTTGCCCTCCTTCGGAGCCATTGAGCAGGTGCCCAGACTGTGCCAAGTACTCTCCACATGGCGTTTAACCCACTCTTCAATGGCGTTTATATCTTTAGAGCTATACTTGAGCTCTTGGCGAGAGTTGACCTTGTTTGAACTCAAGATGTTGGCACCGGCCATAGTGTCGGCCGCTGGAAGAGGAGAGGACCAGCTTCCGTGGCCAATGCCTGCGGACAGGTTACCGGGAAGCGCATAAGCCTTGGTTGTGGCGAGGTCCATGTCATGAGCTCTTGCAGGCGAATCATAGTCAAAGAATGGGTGCTACGAAGCGTTAGAAATACCAGAGTCACAAATCTGAAAGGCTTCACGAACCATATTCTCCACCTCTCCTGCATAGGCATCCATTCTCCTTGCCGTTTCCCTGGATTTAATGTATCCCCATACCATGGGGACCATGTCGCGCTCGTCATTCATGAAACCACAGTCAAAATCTGGAGATTCATACGGGTCGGCACTCTTGATATGGGTACTGCCCCTAGAGAATGGGTACTCCAAGAAATGGAACATGGTGAAGAATTTTCCGTTTGGCCTTGGATCATGTTAGCGCATAGATCTCTCGATTCCGGGCACTTTGTATCTTACATCAACATATGGTCGCCAAACCAGCCTGATATGACGCTGTAGTGCATCACGGGCTTATCCGGCTTGTCTTTGAAGTAGCTTGCCCAGCCATCTTTGAAATGGGGAGTTGGCCAGCTTTCAAACTCTTTCAGCTCTTGCGCCGTAGGGCGAATCTTTACACCCGCATCGATGCCGTTGGTTGCGAGAGGTCCAGTTCCTTTCAAATGCCACTCATCAAAAACACCTATATGAGATGATTGTCAATAAGTAATCGAACGTTTTTAGCATGGCTTGTACATGTACTCACGTTTCTGTACTTCAGGGTCCCCTCGAACAAAGTCGTCAAAGGTTTCGACATCGGGCTTAGCTCTAAAGACCGAGAAGGTCAAGTAGTGATCTTGGAAATTTAACCCCACTCCAGGGAGGTTAACCAAGCACTTGACGCCTACGTTCTTGAGCTTGGCGGGATCGCCAATTCCCGATCTCTGGAGAATTAGTGGAGAAGACAGCGTTCCACCCGATACGACGATCTGCTTGCGAGCGCGGAAGATACGAGTTTGCGGCTGGCCGCCAAGAGGCTTGGTTGGGACAGTCTGCACGCCCACAGCTCGTCCATTTTCGATGATTACTTTGTCAACCTTTGTATTGCAGGCTAGATATAAGTTGGAGTGGGCTGCACGAGTGGCGTGGATGTATGCATGCGCGCTATCGCTTCGCCGTCCTGTATCTCGATTGATCCATTTGAGCCAATGCTCGGCACCATGGCCTGTGACAAGATCTTGGAGATCGTCAACGACAGGAATGCCTTGCGACTCTGCAGCTCGGAGGAAGTCGTCTTTAATCGGATACGTGTAGTTTCCAAAGGACACCTTGATTGGGCCTTCAAAACCGTGAATGTCTCTGTTTTGACTTGCTCTTTGATACGTCTCATGCTTCTTCATGAGCGGCAATAGTTCCTGGGTCGTCCAGCCTTTGGCTTGAAAATCGTCATAGTCGGAGGCTGAGGCACGGGTGTACATCATGAAGTTGATTGATGAGCCGCCTCCCAGAACATGAGCACAAGGTACAACGGCTTTGCGGCCAGCAAGCCATTTGGATGGACGAGACTCGTAGAAGGAGGCTGTCTTCGAGTCCAGCTTCATGTTCCGCGGATAGATGCCGGGGCGGAAAACCCAGGGGTTGTTGAGGTTGCTTTCCCCAGCCTCGATCAACAGAACTTTGAGGTTGTGATCTAAATTGGCCAGCCTGTTATTGTTAGGACCACCGTTTATGATGTGAATAGGATCAACGACTTACCTGCCCGCGACTACACATCCACAACTTCCACCTCCCGCCACGATGATATCGAACTCGTCAGGCAGCGAACTGCCATATCCTGAATATTGCGTTGTCATCTTTGTGGCTCAGCTTCACTCCCTGAAAGCTCAACTCAGATGTTTAAAAAGTCGCTCTGAGTATCGTATGAAGTCAGTGGCGGACCTCTTGTCTTAAATAGATCTCTGGGAACACGCATGCCATTGCTGATTGTGGCCAGCACCTAAAGACTCTAGAATTCGGCGGTCTCACTTGTCCGAAGAGCCGAACCATCATGCGTATCCCCTCACAGAAAAGATACGACCACCATGTATTTGTGCCACGAATCACCAACGTCCCATTCACCCGTCCACTCTCGCTACAGCATCCAATGAACAGGCAAAAAGCAAGTTGGTGTGCAGCTTTCCGGTTTGCATAGCCAAGACTTGCGGGGTTGTATGCAGTGCGTGATGTTGAGATGGCCGTGTAAATTTACCAAAGGAAGATTTCAATGTGACACTAATTGTGATAGATTCCTGCACATATACATTGTATTATCTTAGTTCGCAGAGTTGCCATACTCTCTCTTACTCAAATAGCGGAAAGTTCATTTGCTATAATTCCAAGCTTCTTACTACATATAGTCAACTTACTGGAACGCCCGCATTTGTGTCTTAAGACAAACATCATCCCAGTTAATGAGACTTGTACTGGTGAATTAGTGATATTTCCAAGACGGATCCTATTCCATGGCGAACATTGACTGATTGAGAATAGTTGCGGTAGGTACGGTTGAAATATTAGACGACGTCTCCCCGCTTGTCCAGGTGCTCAATCATGTCCGAGCAAATCACAATTACGGTTCATGCACCCCGGATTCTCTGATTGTGGAGAAATAGCCCCTCATGAGTTTATATCTCCAGGTTGCGTTCTTCTTGCGTCAAGTGCGGGGGAAAGCCTATTCATCATCAGAGTGTAAGCGTATTTGTCTCGGTACGTGACGTATTACTTGACCTTCTTTGAGGGGAGACGGCAATTGCCGGTGAGGGGTTGGCCATTCCATGGCCGTTCTCGTGTTTCATTGTGTTCAAAATCTGGAATAGCTGATACAAAGAGGATCACGGATTACAAAATCTGATGGAAAGGACTGGCTCTCCCCCGCTTGGACGTGATGGACTACCCCGAGCATACCAACGCATACTAGCCCAATCGTTTTCATACCGCTGATTTCTATTAAATTATGTGCATGTAAGTTCATTTAATTAATTCTTGTTGTATATATCGAGGAACATGAGTATCTTGGAAGTAGCCAAAAGGAATCTCAGCTGAAACTTGTATATGATGTGGATTTTTGCTAGCTGGAGAGCAGATAGATGGAGAACGGACTGTCGGCAGCTAAATGACCTAGGTCACCGACTTCAAGGGCGAAGAGGGGAATATTATTCCCGGTGCTATCCCCCAAGGGGTGTGGTTGAGACGCAGAAGCATCCCCGCAGTGATAAGACAAATGCTTCTGGCGCGGTATTGATACGCCGTAATATAAGTCGATGCGCAAGCCATCATTGAAGAATAATCTATTCTTTAACAGATCGTCCAATTTTAGACTTTCATATAGTAAAGCTGTTGCTACAATCTACTGTTACGCAACAGTATTAGTGAACACATGCACTCACCCAGTACTTGGAAGAATTGCGCTTGGAACAGGGGTAAATACAAGTATGGGCATAGGTATTATTAGAGAAAACTGAAGCTCATCTGCGATGCAGTTGCCAGGGTGAAGGGTTTCGGTTGATGATTGACTAAATACGGCGTGGAAAAATCGTTCAAGCTCAACGGACGATATACCGAATCCCTGAGTGGCAAGTTTCTGCTGTAACCAGTGTAACCAGTGCTGGAGTAAGAAGACGGAATTAATTTCGCGGCTAAATCGCAGTTACTTTAGCCCATATGCGAACTCCGACAGTATCTACGACATTGTACTCATGTACACAATTTACTCATAGATGCAGTTGTTGGTGTGTATCTACCACTTTTAATAACATTGTCTAATTCTTTCCATTTGTTATCTACGTACAAAAATCCAGTCATACTGATAGTAGCCGCTTCTCTAGAACACCTAGTAGACTTACTCAATTTCATTAGTTTGCTCATCATGGGCCTAGACATTGTTGGTAGAAGTTATATAGGTGATCAGTTGGCAGTTTTCGATTCTCAAGTGTCTGTCGCTATAGAGCTTTATGAGCAAAGTAGAAAGGGCATCCGTCAAAAGAATCTCCAAGTGATAACTATCATAATGATTAAGGTATAAAGCAGGACTTTCATAAGAGAATCTGCGTGCGGCGAGTCGTACGTTTAGTGGAAAAAATATATCGTCGTCTGTCTATCGTATAAGCTTCATAGCAGTAGACCAGTGGTGTTTTATCCCCAAAGCGTGGTCTTCAACTGTCCACGCGTCTATCAAAATATGGAGCTCGACATGTAGCGCTAGCCTTACTCTGTGATTCCTCATCAACTTTGTCTCACTCAGTCTAGCGTCCGGTTTACAGTCCTTGCGAGCATGCTCTAGCGCTCGGAAATGGTCCCCGTGAACGGGGGCTAAGTTGGTTATTACTAATCTTGCTGCATGCACTGGGCGATTCTCTTTCTATCAACTACTGCTTCAACCCTGGATTCATAGCCCCCATTTACCGCTTTTATACATATGTCAGACCTAATGTTTATACACGAAGTTGATGGTCCTGAATAGCCCTGTTTGGAGGAGGATGAAGCTCAGTGTTGATCGTCTATGAATAGCACGCCTCCTATGTAGCATAGCAATGGTCTAGAATTATACAATGTAGAAAATATTTAAATCGTCGTATACTATTTTTACATCAAGTGCTACCAAGTTGATGTCATCATAGACATCATCTCACATACATAGAACAGAACTTGGTGTCTCTCTCCGTAACTGCATACATTGTAGGCCTAACTTCTGGAAATATTAAAGTAAGATTTTCCTTCTCCGTCAACCCATGAGAAAAAACAGTGCTATTTATGCTGAGTTCAGGAGGGATATATCCGTGTATCCCTGATCGTTGCCTGCATGATATGTATCGTACAACCAAGCATTCGGTACAAGATTATATAAGTTGCATTAATATACTCTATTTACTGGATTTTTTCCGAAAACAACTATGAGAATGCGCTTGCTTCAACTGAAACCTCGCTAATGAAGTAGTTATTTATAACAGCAGCGTGTGTAAATATGGCTCAGCTTGGGTACTAGTCTACTTATGACTTTGCAGTTTTAGGAGAATGGTGTCTCGTGAGATACAGATTCTGAAACATATATGCTTGTGTAAACTCCAAATACAGTAAGTCGAGCGAACCCAGAAACCATCTAGTGGTTATTGTAATTCACGATATCCTGTAACAACGCTCCGTAGCGCACGTATGCCGTAAGACCAGATCTTACGTGGGGTGATTTACAAGTGCCAATATGGTTAATTAAAAATGCAACCCTACTTTGATAGCGCATTCATTTGCTCTATTGCGAACAATGAAACAGGAGACGGTAGGCTGCGACCCGGCAGTATAGAGCAAGGCCGGGAAAAGGGTTCTAACTCCCCAGCCCCTGGATGTTGCCCTCGTATATATGGCTAATCGAAGAGAGAAATAGCCCAGTCGCGGAGAAGCTACTGGGCTATGCAGCTTTTCCGTTGGTATCCACACATCCGATGCGAGCGACTTGAAAGTAGCTTTCGGTCCCACTTATGGCTCTCAACGGTAATGATTCATGGGATGCTGATTGCTGATTGGAACGAGCATTTTCCATTTTCAGCATATACCTAGGCCTATCTATTAATAAAGCTTGAACGCTAAAGTAAGGCTGCTCGCCAAGGTCAAATGCCTCATGTTGTTCTCAACTCACATATAAGTAAAAACATTCGATCTAAACCTAAGCAGCTGACAGCTACTATTTCGCGCTTCTCAAATTGAAAACATCGAAACGTACAAGAGCGCAGCATAGGTGACGCAACTGTCAGAACTGGAGTCTTAATCGAGGCAGTTGTGGTGACTAGAGGTAATCGCCGCTGTATCCAACGAAGCAATACTATTCTCTTTTTCTTTTCTTTCTTTGCTTAAAGGGAATAGTATTGTGAATAATTAAACAACTTATCGAACGAAAAGAAAACTCTGTTTTATTATCGCGGAGTCTTCCATACAATGTGCTGATGCCTATGCACGACTCAGTTCAGCTTTCTCTTACTAGCAACCCTAGCAGGCTGTGTCTTCAGACGCCACGCCTGGCCATTCGGTTAGGAGCAGAAGTGGAGCGCCTCTTACCACTTCGTAGATTAGATTGGCTCGTGCTCACAAGCGATGAGGAATACGGGGCTTGGGTCTGTTGCGATGGAACTAAGTTATACCGCAACACACAAAACATGCGTTGGTGATTGGAAGATCACGGTGTGTTTTTGATCCGAAGCTGGGATTTAGTATCTACACCTTGCCAAGCAAAGCCTAATCTCTGTCAGCGCCATGTTATGGCACCTGCTGAAGTGGCGTCTTAGTGTGAAACCTCTATGCCGCCTTCGCCGATTTCAAGACACAATTGAAACTAAGCCCAAAGTGAAAAAGAAGAAAAGAAACAAAGTGACCCCCAACCTGTGGAGGCGAAAAGATCTGAGCAAACAGATTAAAACGGCGCTTAGGGTCAACAATTTCAGAACTGGTAGTTGTATATACCCCCCTTTAAGCGTTAGCTGTAGCGAGCTCCTGCGTCTAAGAAACCACACTCATGGAAGAACATCTCAACACAATCGTGACCGCAAACTCTAAAGACAAAGGGAAGCAGCCGCTAAGCATCCGGTTCCTTAACCTGACAAACCCGAATGATGCTACCAAATCAGACGCACTCACGGCTATCCGCTCTCATGTGGCGAGAAACACCCATGGCCGCAAACAAGAGAGTCGCCGGACTCGCCTAGAGATCCGCCAGTACCGTCCCGCTACTCGAGGGAACAAGACGAATAATGCCTGGTCACCGGGAAAGAAGGGTACAAAGCCAAGTCAGGAAACTTCAGAGCTCAACTTATCAGTGGTACGTCAGAAAAAGAATCAAGAGGGAAATAACCTATCTGATCGGCCGGAAACATAGATACCCAGCCCACAAACCTTTGTGACATCTCATAGAAGGAACCCCTTCCAGACCACTTTTAGGAAGGTTACTGATTCCGAAGATTCCTTGATCGATCACTGTAAGTATAGTCGTTGAGGTTATTTTCATTTTGCTGCATGTGAAGGTTGTAGTTATAGCAAACGCTAACTGGCTGTAGATATCACCTATGTCATAGATCACGGTTATACAGATTGTATCCATAATGAGACCGAGCAGTTACTTCTTCAAAACGTACGATCGCGCTTTGTACCGTGGTCGCTCACGGAACGAGGCCTACAAGCCGGTCTGTTAATGGCAGCCTGTCGAAGTCTACTGACGCTACACCCCGAGAATGAAACATACAAAGTTTCATTGCTTAAATATAAGAGCGAGTGTATCGAGATACTCCGCGCTGCACTTTCGGACCCAGACCACTGTATTAGTGATCATACCATTGCCCTAGCTTTAGTATTGTCCACCGAAGAAGTAAGTTTTCCCACCAAAGCTGTGCCTGATTTCATCGTTGAGAATTGTTCCTTACAAGATGAATTTTCTATCAGTTTCTCTCGGGCAATGTTATCGAATATCGGCTACATGGTGAAGCGATTCTCAGAATGGTTCAACTAAGGGGCGGATTCAAAGACCTTGGTCCAGAGGGCCTGCTGGGATATTTGCTGGCAAGATCAGTCTATAACCCGGTCTTTCAATTCGTGGACGGCCCTGATGCTACAGCATTGGTGAAGTAAGAAGTAAAATGAATTAAGCCAGGAATTAGCCAGCATATTTGCAGTTTATGTGCGTAGTATAATGCTCAATGATAATCATCTCGTCAAAATGCGTACACCTTGCTCAGAACTATTGATCCATCACAATTTCCCTGTTCAATGCAGAAGGCACGACGAAAGCTTCTTTAGAGATGTGTCTTTTTGTTTTTACCAATAAGTAGGCGCTAGTTGCAGAGCCCTTGAGATTTAAACTGCCAAAATTAGATTGGCCTATAAGAGCAAACTGGACAGAGTTCTGCTGGGTTGATGGAATCGCATTGACTACTCCCTCTTGGCGATTGTACACACTTTCCAGAAGTTGAATAAGAAGAAGGAAGATAAGCTGGAGTCTGTTGATATAGCCTCATCTCCGACTTAGCACTCGGCATAGCTATACCGCCCGGCTCTGCTAAACAGAGCCGGGCGGTATAGCTACCCCTTGGCAACTGCTTGATTTGCATCCTTGAACGCCTGCCGAAATCACCCACTTCTCAAGCTTCATTTTCTCGAGTTTGACCAATGTAGCCAGGGTGAATTACCGCTTCCTTGTTCAACAAACATACTTTCTAAGTTTTGTAGTAGCTGCTTAAATGGCGTAGAATGATGTTATTTATAAATGAGAGCTTTGTCATTGATGGTTGGTAGTATGGAGTTTACTGCTTGGGACAATTAAACGTGTGCTGGGTGTAGCAACTTGTGTAAATTACGCTACCGGTGGCTCACTAATGAGGTCCGAAGCGGCTTACGTACGTGCCTAGAAAAACGGAGTCGCGGATCGATCTCACCTGTGGATGATTTTATTGCGCAACATCAGCTCAGCACCACTTCCACTAACCATCGCTCTCTAAATATTGCATCCAAAACCTGCGTCTATACCCGAAGCCATGTCAAGCGATCTCAATGGTAAGTTGGCAGCAAAAACGTGGGAGTTCAAATGAAACGAGTTACAAATACCGCTTGATAGAACATACGAAGAGCGATGATTACGAGATTGTGCGTAAGATTAGTACGTCTACCAGAGTCAGCTACCATGATGTACAGTTTATTCTGACGTATAAATATGTAAAAAGGCACTGAGAAACACGCAGATTTATTTGAAGGTGTCCGTGTAACAGACTACACAAGATGTATCCTCAAACCTGCCAAGCAAGTGGGGCGGGACAGAATAGAGCGAGAAGTCAAGATTCTTCATTCCCTTAGAGGGGGCGTTAACATCCCATTGTTATATGATGTTATTCGATACAGCCCGGTATGCTAGCTGATGATGATATTGCGATGCCTCAGACAGTATTAACGAAGAACACTTTGTCGGTGAGCTGATAGCTGGAACTACCATCGTTGGCTCTCGAATACGTGGAAAACATCGACTTCCGACGTTTATATCCCACCTTTGGTGGCGATGATGTCCGATATTACATTAAAGAACTTCTGAAAGCTCTTCAATTTGCTCATGGCAAGAGTATAATGCATAGAAACATTCGCCCTCACATCATCATGATTGACCCTACACAGCGAAAGGTTGTTTCCGTTTCCGATATTCTTGGCCATGGTATGCGCTAGAACTTGAACACAGGCTTATGTGATGCTAGTTACGTTTATTCGGTTGGGATTTCGCAGAAGTTTATGAGCCCAACTCGCTATATAACTTTCGCGTCGGCGGGGTATTTCACAGAGCCCCCGAATTGCTATTATACCACGAAAGGTATGACCTTAGCGTAGACATGTGGAGTGTAGGGGTTATACTTGCTTCTATGATCTTTCGAAAAGAGCCATTCTTTCATGGGGCGAGCGGTTCCCTCATAGTTCAGAACATGGCCAGGGTGTTGGGTACCAAGGGCCTACTTAATGTTGTGGAAAAGTATGACATGGAAATGCCTCCAGACGGCCTTGAAGATATCCCATACTTCGAAAAGGCCCCTTGGCAGGATCTCTTCGACGAAAATAATGAGAAATACGCAAGCGCCGAGGGGATAGATCTCCTAGATAAATTGCTTCGGTGGGATCCCAAGGTAAGATACAACCAGATGGCCTCGTCAGAGTTGACAGCCTTTACTAATTTTAATATCTGTAGGAAAGAATAACTGCTGATGATGCCATGAAACACGCATATTGTAGCTAAGCAATCGTTTTTATAGACGAGGTATCCAGGCGTATCCCCAACTGAACTTTAGGAGAATTATATATTAGCTTTTGAGAACACATGCACGCCGATAGCCTTTTTGAGTTTATGCTTGCTTTAGCTTTATTAGTTACATCCAAGTATGAAAATTAAGCAAAATGGTTTCACGAATTGGATCAATCTTCAATCTTCTACATGGAAAAGAAATACTATGGCTACAGTTATGAACATGCTGCGATTCGTGAAAGGCTTTGTCGTTCGGAAATTTAGCTAAGTAAATTAACATTTGTAGTTATTGTAATGGTATATACCTAATGCGCTCTCTTCTTTGATTGGAAAATGCTTGTGTTTCTTTGAGAGTCAGTCATATAAACAACCGAGATGCTATCGGCAGAACGTCAGGAAGTGAATCTGCTAGGCGCTCTGACAGCATGTCCATAAACTCGAGGCGCAGAGATTCAGGCACGCATAACGAAACAGAGCCAATCATAAGACTCCATATCAAGAAAAAGTTGTCAGACTCCCACGAACTGAGCATGTCGGGGCTCTTCAAAGTGTGTAGCAGTTTCTGGGCAAATGATGTGGCCCCGGTGTTGTCCATGCCAAATTTTGCGCGAACTTCGCTGATGTAAAGAATGCCAGCTAATCGAAAACACTCCCTTCGCATTGAGAATTTATCAGCCATGCCATGTGTGACTCGAGGCAGCGATAAAAGGTCGTAAAGAATCGGAGCCAGATGAAAGCCCGGGAAGAGGACGGTCTGCCAAAATACGTCGCCTTGAGCGCGCGCTTCAGCATTTATGAGAGAATTGACTTGCTGTAAAGCTTCAAAGATGTGCGCCACCGCTGGGTCTTGACTTAGCAAGCCATTGCTATCCAAATGTTCGATGGTGGGCATAGGTGCGACTCGGATTTTACTCTCTGCTGATAGAATCTCAAACGGCTGTGGATAACGCGGTTTTCTGTCTTGCAGATAGCTACCTCGGACATCAATCCTAGCAAAGTAATGAATTAGATTTCGCTAATGAGATGAAAGAAATAAAACATACCAATACATCATTATTTGAATTACAGGCAAATGCCGGAGTGTTGCTAGACCACCAACACTGGTGATAGCGTGGGAAAGCCCATCGAGGTGAACATTGATCAGTTGCGGATTGCTAGTTAGATTCTGACCGCATTTAGCATGACAAAACGTAACAATCTGGGTTATTCAGCAGGCACTTACTGCGAAAGCTGCAAACGCAAGGATTGCTGTGATGGTCTCGAGACTGGCCCGTTGGATGGGGTCATCCAGCCTTCGCCGTAATGCTCTGGTAGCCATCAGAGAGTATCTGGCATAATCTATGCTGCTCTCATCATGTTCGGTGCTTGTACTCTTCATATGCCACGCTGAGGATGATAGCATTTGTGTAAGTGATGCGGAGCCCTGTAACAGATTAAGAAATCCGATTTCAATCATCGATTTGAAGACGACACAGCCTCCATATACTACATCAAAACTATGAGCAAGAAAAAATCGAGAGTTGACGGGTTCGGGAGTACGAACAGTGATTCCAGAGTTGGCGAACTCTTGGCCTCTGGTCTGCCGGCACCAACGCAAAAATGTTTGCGCTATTCTCCGCGCCGATAGGACCAAACTCATTTGTGTCCATTTGCATCGTGTCGCTAGTCTGCAACACAGGCTGCATCCCCGAAGGCTCCAGCCCTTCAAGTGGCGGCCTGAGCGCTGTTTCACTCGACAGAGCCTGTAGCCATGACCCGACATCCAGGTCAACAGTCAAAGCATTGCGAGGAGGGGGAGGGTTACGCCGACGATAATCAGCTTGTGCACGACTCCTCACGCGCCGCCGTGTTTCTGCGTTGCCGCGAATGTTTGTCCCAGACACGGAGATGAACTCGAACTGTGGACGGCCGGCACCGGGGCTGCGCTGCGCTTGATCTAAAACGGCTGTTTAACGAAGCGTTCTAAACGGTTTACAGAGTTATTCAAGCTTCAACTTACCCTTGCTTCCAGGCATTCTGCAATATCACACGCCGAACAGTCTCAAGAGAAAAGCTTTCACTCTCGAAGAACAACATCGATGTGGCAATACACCATGAAGTAGCGAGAGTGCTGAACATGCGCCTTGACAACTAGAAAGGACCCGGAATTTAAGGCTTGCTCCACTTAACCCGGCGCTTTGCTTACATGGCGTTATTTAGTAAGTAGTGCTTTGAAGTAAGCCTGTTCGACTATCGCTTGTCTTCTGCACTTACTCGTTTGCTCCTAGCTAACTCATTGTTTAAGAGAGGCTTTAATGTTGCGCTTCTCTAGCACATGATCAATACTGTCTTGCTTAACCGGGCGACTTTCCCTTTCTCGTTGACGGAATTGGCGATGAATGATGGCGGCACCGCACTGCTAAAAGCTTGAAAAGGCTGAAGAAGAAGATAGCAACATTCGACATTCACAGGAGAGAAGTTCTATACGCTAGAGTTATTAATTGAATTTATTAAAGTCCAAGATTCTTTTATACTTGATTCATAATTTAGCCAAGAAATTGCGCCACCTCCTTCGCGATCAGTGCTCCGTCGCTCTCCACCGCAAAATGGCCGGCATCGATGAGCTTGATGGTTGCATTGGGCAGATCCTTTTTAAACGCATGAGCTCCAGCTGGGATGAAGAATACATCGTTTTGTCCCCAGATGGCCAAAAGAGGCACCTGAGAGTTTCGGAAATATTCCTGAAACTTCTCGTATAAAGGAACGTTGTTTTGGTAATCCATGAAAAGGTCAAGTTGCGCGTCTGTTCTCCCCGGGCGCTGCATCAGAGTATAGTCCAGCGTATAAGTCTCTGGTGCAATCGTTTTCACGTCCGGAGTGCCATTCTCATATTGAAACTTGGTGATATCGAAATTCAACATGGCGCCCGCGATCTTGGAACGATCATCTGCGGTATTCTCGCTAGCCCAAAAATCCTTAATTGGCGCCCAGACATCACCAAAGCCTTCTACATAGGCATTTCCGTTTTGGGTGATGATTCCTTGCACCGATTCTGGGTTGCGTAGTGCCAGACGGAGGCCAACTGGAGCTCCATAGTCAAAGACGTAGACTGCGAATTTGGAGATGGAAAGAGAGTCTAAAAATTCTGCGACAACGTCTGTAAGGGAGTCAAACGTGAATTTGAAGCCTTCGGGAGTCTCTGTGAATCCAAAGCCGGGCAGATCCGGGGCAATGACGCGGTACTTTGTAGCGAGCAAAGGAATGATGTCGCGATACTGGTGTGAGGACGACGGGAAGCCATGGAGAAGCAGAAGCGTTTTGGAAGGGTTTGCAGGACTCTGCTCGCGATAAAACACATTTACGCCACTCTTTGGAAGTGCGATGCGAATATTCTGTGTTGCAGCCATTTTGTTTGCGTTGAGTTCTATGATATGCTGGATCTGTTAATATATAGTTGCAGCTTAAACCGAGCGATCTGCTGTTGCTGTTGCTGTTACTTTTGTTGTGCTGTTGATGTATTGAATGATTCTGGATTAATACTAAAGAGAAGGAACTTGGATCCTTTTATCTTATACGAGGCTATAGCTACAACTCTATCTTTGTCGCTGGTAACCATTATTAAAGTTTCCTGTCTATTGCTTCAATCAATTAGCCGCCTCTGTAGTTTGGAATTACCGATGGTTTAGAGGTCCATGAGCACTTACGTCACTCGCTAAACCGTATGGGGGAAATGCTGCTTCCCCTGCCCACATACGTGTATGCGCTAAGGACGATATGGGCTCAATCACGTAATCTCGAGGGGAAATTAAATGGAAAAAGAGAGAAAAAAGATAATAATTGGAACAGAATAAAGAACACTAATGGCAGCAATGGTGAAACGGAAAGACGGCAACTACAACTCAATCAAGGCAGTGCTCAATTCTCTGGAACCAATGGACAAACCATTTTGATGCTTCGGAGCTCAGGCGAGTGAGCCAAGTACAACACTTTGAATATCACTGAACAAAAGGCATTTCTAACTGGAGCATCCTGAATACGTCGAGAATTACTTGAGAAACTGGCCCCGATAGATCAAGAGTGGAATCATCATTTATAGACGACTGTTAAGTTACAATCGTCTTATAGGGCAGTACAACAACTCGATACAACTTCTCGTCCATTTCCAACACCACTATCAAGCATCAATTGCTCGCGCAGACCGGGCGACTTAGCCCACGAACCACCCATTTGTTAGGCATGAAGATGGCCAAATTTATAACTTCATTAAGACTAGCCTTCAGGAGCTTCAAGAGAGACTCTTGACTAAGCATTGCGCGCCCTTCGTAAGGGTCTCGTAGCTCCACAGACCTTGCGGAGAGGTGTGGCCGCTAGAACAGAAGCAGTGAATGCTGACCCCGAGCTGTGATTCGATTCCATGCTAAGCTCTCACGCTAACAACGCGGTCAATTCCGGGTACGCCAATGGCTTCTCGACGGTTACATCACTCGTATGTTGGCTATAGTAAACTGTTGTAGTTTGAAAAGATGGGATTTGTCAGGTTAAGAAACTATGCAGATGGTATCACCGCAAAATTAATTGCGCATATGCAAATTCGGCGTTCTAGCCCTTGCGGCAAATATATATATCTCTGCATCTCTGCATCTACACATCAATATTTGTTTCCTATATTCTTCACACATATCATTCTACTTGACACAACTTGAACAAATTCACCACTTCCAGCAAAAACATTATCCTTTTGAATCTCTCTCAGCAGACCACCATGCCAGAAACTATGGAGGCAATTGTGATTCCGAGATTCGGTGGACCCGAGGTTCTTGAGATCCAAACAGTTCCCAAGCCAGAACCTGTTGCTGGCGAAGTGCTGATCAAAGTCCATGCTTTTGGTGTAAACCATGCGGAGATGCACATGCGGAAGGGCGAATGGGATGAGTGGAACCCCATCACTGGCTTAGAGTGCGTCGGGACTGTCGAAGCTTGTCCAGGCGGCGAGATAGATGTCGGCACCCAAGTGATTGGTGTTATGGGGGGCATGGGCAGGAACCGCCCTGGAGGATACGGATCATTTGTTAATACCCCAATCTCGAATGTGGTACCAATCAAAACAAACCTTCCTTGGGAGCAGTTGGCCGCTATTCCGGAGGTCTATTCGACGGCATACTCTTGCTTGTTCACGGTTCTCGACCTCAAGGCGGGTGAAACCATCCTCATCCGCGGATCTACCTCGACAGTCGGCCAAGCAGCGCTCAACTTGGCTGTTGATGCCGGAGCTCGGGTCACAGCTACGACACGGCGAACAGAAAGATTTGATGAGATAAAGGCGAGGGGGGCTGTGGACGCCAAGCTAGAGCACAAGGACCTCCAGTCAGAGTTTCCTAGCGGATTCAAGTTTGATAAAGTCTTAAACTTGATCGGCAACAGTGTATTAGTTGAGTCTATCAGCCTGGCTCGGCCCGGTGGACGTATGCTACAGGCTGGGTGGCTGGGCGGACTGGCACCCGTGGTTGATTTCAATCCCATGGTTGAGATGGAATCTGGAGTGCACTTCAGCTTATTCCATAGCAAAGTGTTGGGCACACCTGAATTCCCCATGTCCAAAGTTCCTATTCAGGACATAGTCAGCAAGATTGAGAGAGGAGCATGGGACGCTAAGCCAGCGTTTGTTTTTGAGTATAACGAGATTCACAAAGCGCATGAGATGCTGGATTCGCATAATGCGGGAGGAAAAATCGTTGTCAGGCATTATTAGAGGGGCCATACTGATACAAAAGTTAATTGTTTTAGTAAAACATAAAACACAAAACATCTTTCATCTTAGGAACTAGCATATTTACAAGCTTTTTAATATAGAAATCATCTTATTTCCAACTACCTACCTATCTAAATGTCCAGTTGGTTCTAGGTCTGCGGTCTCTAAACTATCTTTTTATTACAATCGTCAATATATGCTACGATACGAAATAAACGTATCTATTATGATAATCTTTACAATGAAGGTGGCATTCCTCACACTCTCACATTATTTACTTCAGTTGAGTTGGTAATTGGAACCTTAAGAATGAATGGGGAGTTTGTTTTCTTGCAGTCAAAAGGTCATTATTCTTGAAACTTGCCATGCTCTTCTTCAAAAATGCATGTTTAGTTAATGGCCTCCTACATTTTAATTGAACATGGTCGAAAATGTAATTAATTACCACTCGAGTTGTTTATTATTGATGGACACGGAAGAAGCGCACTCGTAAACTGGCTATGTAACCTTAGAAGCCCAGCTTATCTTACTGCTATTGGACCCATAGAGCGAGAACAGTTCACAGAATTATTCAATCTAACCGACATTAAAGCTTGCTGGAAAAAGTTGAGTGAGGGAGTCGGCTGTTGTGCTGCTTCTAACGCCGCAACTAACCGTCTAGTCTACCCGGCATGTTGACCGCGCCCTGCGCAAGACTGGCAGCCGCTGGAATCTGTGTAGTACTCTGCACTGATTGAATTTATTATATAGCCAGGAAAATTGACTGCTGGGAGAGAAACAACTAGAGCTAGAAAATATTCGCAAAAAACAAAGCTTTCACCGCGCAATATGAAGATTGGATTTCTGGGACTGGGCGTGATGGGAACGCCCATGGCGCTCAATCTGTGTCGCAAATTTCCCACCACGGTTTGGAACAGAACGGCCTCTAAATGCGCGGTATTAACGCAAGCGGGTGCTGCGCTCGGTCACACTCCCGCCAAAGTGGCAGAGCAATCCGACATCATCTTCATCATGATGTTTAACGGGCCTGCCATACGGTCCGTAATTGACGATGACTTCAAGAGGGCGCTTAAGGGAAAGACGCTCGTCAACACCAGCTCAGTGTCTGTGGAGTTTAGCCGCAGCCTAGCAGAAGAGATCCGCGACGCAGGAGCGAAATTCATCGAGATGCCGGTCAGCGGAAGCAAAGTGCCGGCCGAGCAAGGCACCTTGGTGGGAATGATGGCGGGCGACCAGATTGAGTGCGAGCGCATCCAGCCGTTCGTGGAGCCGATAACCAGCGCAGCCATCTACTGTGGGCCTATCGGCGCGGGCTTGAAGACAAAATACGCGGTCAACATCTTCCTCATCACGCTTACGGCTGGCCTTGCAGAGTCGATGAATATGGCCCGCGCACAGGGCCTTGATCTCCAAGCGTTCAGCAGTGTGCTGGATGCGGGCCCTATGGCTTCTGCCTATTCCAAGATGAAGCTGGCAAAGATGGCCAAGCAAGATTGGGCTGCCCAGGCGGCTGTGAAGGATTGCTACAACCTCACCGAGCTTATCCAAGATGCAGCAAAGGCTGCAGACGCAAAAACCCCTCTTATGGAAGTGTGCAACTCTCTATATGGACAGGCCATGGAATCTGGGTTCCAAGACGAGGACATGATTGCTGTTTATAGAGTCTTTTCAGGCGACAAGAAGAGCAATTTGGAAGGGTTGTGTTGAATTGCCTTACCACGTGGGATACTCGTGAGAATTGGGGCAGTGCTTCACGATCGGGCAGGTCAAGAGCGGCGTTTTCAGGCTAGCTATGCAACTAATGCGGGACACGGAGAACTTCTGTTACAAGCCGACAATCAACTGTTTTCTTCACGCAAACATTGGCCGTCAGGGCCAGAAAAATTTCTCTACCACGAGCTCTTACGAAATGGCTACTTCAAGAACAAATGGCGGTAAATTACGTGTAATACACCGTACATGTAGTCTAGTTGCACCCTTTAGAGTCACCGAGCCGGAGAATTTTGCAAATTTAGCTGCTTACTTGTTATTACTCTTCAGATAGAAAACGAATCAGAACTTTGCTTTTTGCCATGTTTCTCCGGCTAAATAGTCTTCCCATTTTGTTGGATCCAGCCTTGCTCCTATGTTGGCTATTGGAAAAACACATCGTATCTACAGCAGTCCAAATGTATGACGATGGCGCTGTGAAATTACCCTCGTGGAGAAGCCTGGCAGCAGCTGAATTGACAGCCAAGCTAGACCTCTTTGTGGACCGACACTGCGTCAACTGTCAAGGCTCTCGTTTGCGCGGGACGTGCAAAAATGGTGCGGAGGGCGATACAGATTAGATGCGCGTATAAAATTTCCGGCACAGCAACATGTTATATACATTTTCCTCTTGGAGGAAGTCTATAGGCCGAGATACTCCTCGAAAAGAGAACCTAGTTCGAGGCCAGGATACAAGTAAACAAGTAAACGGGTGGTTTCTTATCGTGCCGCAGAGTCTGTATCTAAATCTCAGCCTAGCCTACATGAATGCAAAAAGTTCCTGTGCTATCTCAGATACTGGCTGCTAGAGGTAACACGCAGCAACCGGACGCGCTTTGCCCAGGATTCTCCATGCCGACTTTCCGGCTCATTTACAAAAAGACCTTGAATGTATGCAAGGGCCAAGATAGCCAGGCTCCACATCCGTTGGTCTCCGTCGCAGCAGTCTTGTCTTTGCACGTGCAATCTGTCATTCTATTGGATTGGACGAGATTTGTCTACAACGGGTACGCGAAAAATGTTTCTGGGAATCGGATCGGATCCGAAATACGCCTGCACCAGTGTAACCAGGACAGGCCTCTAAATGGAAGGTGAAAAAAGCGGAATGGAGATAGATCCATCGTCGGACTGATGCCTCAGCGGGTTGGCCGTTGGGTATTAAATGCCCTGATTCCTCGACCATGTCGCTGCTGTCGCTTGCTGGAACTTGTGAGGTGCTGTTTGGCTATTTTCCCTTGGCCGCCTGGTATCCCATTGGTCTCATTGGTGTTGGATAAACGACAGGTTCCTTGTTCAGAATGAAGTCCGCCTCTACCAATGCTCTTCTGGGAGCGCTTCTCGCCGTCGCGGCAGAGGCTGCGCCGACTGTTGATGAGCTTTACCCATACACAGGCCCAAAAGTTCCCGTGGGCGACTGGATGGACCCGACTGTCAAAGGAAACGGCAAGGGATTCGTCCGCCTGGTAGAACCGCCCGCCGTGAAGCCTGCATCTTCCAACCCGACCAACAATGTCAATGTCATTTCAGTCTCGTATATACCAAATGGCATCAACATCCATTACCAGACGCCTTACGGCCTGGGAGAGTCGCCCTCCGTCAAATGGGGATCTAGCGCTTCTGAGCTCAGTAATACCGCTTCTGGTAAATCTGTGACGTATTGACACCTCTCATCATCTTTTATTAACGGCATTTAACATGGTGGAACAGATATGGTCGCACTCCTTCATGCTCTGCTGCTGCCACGACTCAGTGCAGCGAATTCTACCACGATGTGCAAATTGCCAACCTGAAATCTGGAACAACTTACTATTACCAGATCCCAGCGGCCAACGGTACCACTGCATCTGATGTTCTCTCATTCAAGACTGCAAATGAGGCAGGGGATTCTTCAGCGTTTACCATTGCAGTTGTCAATGACATGGGCTACACCAACGCTGCCGGAACGTACAAGTACCTCAATGAAGCTGTCAACGACGGCACTGCCTTTATCTGGCATGGAGGTGACCTCAGCTACGCGGATGATTGGTACTCAGGCGTGCTCCCATGCGAAAGTGACTGGCCAGTGTGCTATAATGGCACATCCACCCAGCTCCCCGGTGGCAGTGTCCCCAAAGAATATGATACTCCTCTTCCAAGCGGCGAGGTTCCCAATCAGGGTGGCCCTCACGGTGGTGACATGAGCGTACTCTATGAGTCAAACTGGGATCTGTGGCAACAGTGGATGAACCCCATCACTCTCAAAGCACCTTACATGGTGCTTCCAGGAAACCACGAGGCCAGCTGCGCAGAATTCGATGGCCCCGGAAATGTCCTGACAGCTTACTTGAACGGCGACAAGGCTAATTCAACAGCTGCGAAATCTTCACTCACCTATTACAGCTGCCCTCCTTCACAGAGGTATGCTTCATGAAAGACAAGGCAGAACCCTCATTAGTCTTTGCGTAATATAGCTAACATTTAGTAGGAACTTCACCGCCTTTCAAAACAGGTTTCGCATGCCCGGAAGTGAGACAGGCGGAGTTGGAAACTTCTGGTACTCTTTTGACTACGGCTTGGCTCACTTCGTTTCCCTTGACGGAGAAACCGATTACCCCAACAGCCCCGAATGGCCATTCGCCAAAGATGTGAAAGGGAATCAGACGCATCCTTGGGCTAACCAGACCTATGTTACCGACAGTGGTCCATTTGGTAGCGTTGATGGCAACTACAATGATAAAACAGCATATGCGCAATATCAATGGCTGAAGAAAGACCTAGAGAGCGTGGACCGCTGCAAAACACCTTGGGTCATTGCCATGAGCCACCGCCCGTTTTATAGCTCGCAGGTCTCATCTTATCAAGCAACCCTCCGTGCCGCTTTTGAAGATTTGATGCTCGAGAATAGCGTTGATCTTTATCTTGCTGGGTATGTTGATCGTGTGTACTTGTGGTAATCTTGGCGACGTATACTCATCTAGTGAAAATAGGCACATCCACTGGTATGAGCGCCTGCTTCCCCTTGGAAGCAATGGTACTATCGATTCCGCCTCTATCATTAACAACAACACCTACTGGACAAACCCAGGTGTTTCAATGGCTCATATCATCAATGGAGCTGCGGGAAATATCGAGAGTCACAGCACTCTAGACTCGGATCCGTTGCTGGATATCACTACTTACCTTGACCAAACAAACTACGGATTTGGCGGATTAACCATTCATAACGCTACAGCTCTTTCGTGGAGCTATATTCACGGCTCTGATGGTACGGAGGGCGACAAGCTTATTTTATTGAAGAGAGATGCTTCGGCTGGAACATGCAGCCCCTCGACCTCTTCTGCAGCTGTTTCAGGTACGGCGACTTCTACGCCGACATCTGTCCCAGTATCTTCGTCTGTGCCTTCAGGTGCTACTACTGTAACGGAGGTTGTTACGAGCTACACGACATACTGCCCAGGTAGCACAACTTTCACGGCTGGATCCAGCACTTACACAGTCACAGAGGCAAGTCTTATTTCAATACTCCCCAATACTGGGCACTAGTCAACTAGCAATTATTAACCTGTTCATAGGCTACGACTCTCACCATCACCAATTGTCCTTGCACATTGACTCACACTGTCTCAAATGGGGCCACAATGTTAGTTGCGCATCCCATCACGTTTAGAGAGCGATCTTGTGACTGATATAATATAGTACCACTGAAAGCATCCCGGTCGCTGCCACGACTGGGGCTGAGTCCTCGTCACCGAGCTGGAACAGCACATTGCCTACTGGAGGAGCGCCAGCAACCACGACTGGAGGCTCAGTCGCTCCCACCGTGCCAGTAAACAGCAGTGCATTCCGTATGATGGCTTTGCCAAGCCTTACTAGCGTTTTGCTAGCCTTGTTATCTCTGTGGTAATGCACCTTGTAAACGGAAGGGTGATGAATTACTAGTAGCTTAGATAAAACACTATAATGTAATGAAACACTTGAATGTAATGCCGTTTTTTTCTCTAATTATCTTTGTTGTAATTTAATTCATGTCTTTACACTCTGAGAAAATAACGCAATCCTGACGTTTGTGCGTATATACATATATCCCTATCTGTTTCCTTTCCCCCTGTCCCTGCCATAGCATCAATTTACCTTCACTTATGTTATAAAACTAGATACGACTATTGAGGGACTAAATCGGCTTTTGCTGCAATACTACTTCGGGAATTAATAGCTACCACCCAAGGTAAGGTAGTTAATCACTCGTTTTCAGCTTCAGCCGCACTGCTACGGTAAAATTCCCTGAAAGAGGCAATGATGTCTCAGCTTCCCTCACACTGCTATTCTTGACAAAAAAATTTTGTTAATAAAAGCTACTATAGTATACTGTATTAGCTGTTTGTATACTGGAATTTACATCTATTTCGGCAATGTAGTCACTATTATATTTCACGCACTAAACACATGTGCTGCGGTGTAAAATCTCAAATCTCGGAGCTTAGGTGTTAGCGCAACAGTCAGGGTGGTATTTTATACTATATATGCAATGTTCAATTGGTTACGTGCAGATAGTACCTGACAGATCTAGCCAATGCCACTGAGTTATATATCGAAGCTGACAGTAGATTGACCGCGCTTTCTTGCACCGATACCACCAGAAATCTCGTAATACAGTTGACGGTATTACATCAAATTATACAACATATGAGTCATTTACTATTGCTTATTCTTTCTTGGCAAACTCTCTCAGCCTATCCCTTGCATATTAGTACTACTATTCGTACTTTGTATTACATGCTAACAAAAGATTACTTCACGTGATGCAAAATATATATTTGTGGCGTCTTGAGTTGTATGCAGGCTTTTGGGGCAAAACCAACTCCCTCCTCCTCTGTCGAGCCATAGTTTCACCACTGGCGTGTTACACAAAGTTACTATGCTGCTCGGTTTTCTTCTAGTTTGCGCGGCTGTTTGCGATGCGTCACATAATTTCTCTATCCCAAATGTTGCAGCTTCCTTCGACAGTACTCCCAAGCCATTCGAGATCAATGTGGATCCTGGATTCATTGAAGACACAAGACGTCGGGTTGAAACAGCAAGAGCTCCCATTTCCATTGGCGATGTAGACGACGGCCCGACCCTCGAGAATTTTACCGTCATTAAGGATTACTGGGTTAATGAATACAACTGGGAAAAAACTCAGGAATCCATCAACCAGAGGTGTGATTTATTCCGCACATGACAGCCAAGTGTGATATCGCGTGTTTATTTGCTAACACACGCTCCAAAGGCTTAAACAGTTTACAGCTATTGTTGAAGTTGCAGACGATAACGCTACAATTCTGGTACCATTGCACTATGTTCACCATCTTTCGCCCAGAGATGACGCAATTCCTCTTCTCTTCATTCACGGCTGGCCAGGCTCGTTTCTCGAGGTCATCAATATCATTGATCAGCTGACGAATCCTCCAAATACTTCACTACCTGCGTTTCACGTTGTTGCTCCATCAATTCCAGGATTTGGCTTTTCACCTGCTCCTCAGCATGCAGGTTTCGGTCCTGTGAAGTCTGCACAAGCTTTCAACGCTCTAATGCACCAACTTGGGTATCCCAAGTACGTCATGCAAGGCGGTGATTTTGGAGGCATGATTCTCCGCTACCAAGCGAATATGTTTCCGAAAAATGTCGTCACAGCGCTAAGCAATTTCTGGGTCCTCATGCCTACAGAATATGACCTTCATAATCTCATAGTAGGATCATCAAGCGATGAAGAGACATTCTACATCACAAGGTCTGAGGGCTTTGTCAATAATGATAATGGATTCCGGATGATCCAGCAAACAAAGCCACTTACTGCGGCTTACGCTCTCACTGATTCTCCATTAGGGAATGCTCTATGGGTATATTCTATAATGGAAATCATCGTCGACCCCACAGATTTTACTTGGATGCCTGATGAAATCATCACCTGGTCGCTCATGTATTACATACAAGGCCCTTATGGCGGCATGCGTATGTATAAAGAGATGCTAAATGATGGGGCATTCTCTAGCGTTGCCTTTGCAGATCTTCCAATCGTGTCTCAGCCGGTGGCAATTAGCCAATTTCCTTACGATCTTGCATATGGTCTACCACTCGATTGGGCAAGGCGAGGAGGAAACGTCGTGAAATGCTTTGTTCATGACCATGGTGGCCATTTTGCTTCTTATGAAGTTCCCCAACTTTTGCTGAACGACATCTGGAGCTGGTTTGGAGATAAAAATAATTCGGGAACTGGTATTTTTTATTAGGCATACCTAAAAATTGAGAATAGCATATGAGATTATGGTATGTGGGAATAGAGGTTTATTAGCTAGGCGTATGCATTTATGCTTATGAGACAATGACAGCTCTAATTACTCACTTAATGCTACTACAGCAGAGCTCGCTCCCATTATTTGACACTTCTCTTCAAGTCAAGTGTGATACTTCTCTCTCAAGCTCGGCGCCTGGCCTCGTCCTGTTTCAAAACATATATCTATAATCGCTGTCGCTACTCTCTTGTTTGCTTTATCTGCCACGCCCACCTTAAGACCTTTTTTGGACGCAAATAACTGTAGTCAAAACAAATGTAAAAATCAGTAGAACAAATCGCACTCACTCTGTACCTGTGGAGATATGTGTGCTAACATGAGATTCTTCACTTCGCGTTATTGGCATGGCCTCTGCCTCATCCCTTATTCAATAGGCGCCGTAGCACATGTGAATAGATATTGAGCTCCACGAAAAAGTCATTTGCCCCTATATATGTGTTGAATTACAGACCCTAGAACTTTAGGTATATCCAAGACAAGGAGTTTCACCGTCCATGGCCGTGAGGCCTTGGCGTGCAGCGGAATAAAGCACACGTGTACGGTAGCGCTCTTAAGATATTTGTGGTCATCGAATACAAATTTTCTAGAAAGTCGCTGCTGAAGGAAAAAAGAACAAATATCCATCTTTTTATTTCATTAGTAAGTGTGCCTTAGGTATGAATACAACGTATTTTAACCGCATTGCAGTTAGTTTGTGCTGTTTCCCTACTCCGAGTTTCGTGTACAGGGTCAGCCGAAAACCTGCAAATCCCCATAAGCACACACAATGCAGTGGGCTTTCAGTGTAAGTCAGTTTCTATATGCGCTCATTCCATAGCAAATCAACACCTAAAAGTTTTAAAACAACAAATAGATGTGTTTTGCTCTTTGTAAAGAGCGGCTCGACGCGTCCGCCCACAGACAACAATGGTTTTGTATCTCCCGCCCAACACCAAAGACAGAACCCTTTTTGCGAATTGCGCATCGGTCCGACAACGATTCCTTCTCTCGTCTCCACCGCCGCTAACAGGCCCTGGGCTCTCTAGTCGCTAATCACAGCGCCCGCTGTTCGCCTAAACTGATGTGCGCCGCCTCTCGGAGAATAGAGGCCTTCCGTGAATTCTAGTTTTGCCAGTTGACTTTAAAGCTATATACAAAACTTAATACTGCATATTGATAACAAAGACAGCAGAACAGCCACTTCGTCCATAACATTGATTCTCCCAATTGTAGCACCCGATATGCCGAATAACAGCGAGATCCGATGTGTCCGATCGCTGAATACGGAAGACTCGTTTCGGTAGCGGTCAGCAAGAGTTACTGCGTGAAACATGCTAAGCCTGAGCCAAGGAAGTGTCAGGCACTTCACGTCCAAGGACCGGGTGCATTGCTCGCAATTAAACATTGTTCAAAACATTTCATATGGACTATGATTGTAGCACAATTGCAATTCAACAGATAGAAAAACAAGGAATCTAGCCTTCTCTTTCTAGGCGAATTTTGAAAGTCAATGGTTGTTGATAGGAGTAGAATAGCGCCGATGCCAGGGCAAAACGGTCAGAGCGTTTAACTTTGCTGATGCCACATACAATGCGTATTACCTATTTCATTTACAACAACAATGATCGTACTTTGAACATCCCCCCTTTTAACTCGTTAATCGCAAACTATTCCCAGATCAAGGGCTATATACCCGAGCCTATAGTAATTATGCCCGTAGGCATTGTTACATCGGTAGAAACCATGTTTCATTGACAGACAGCCGAAAAAGAGCCGCCTTGGTCATCTTTGTCACATTTTCTTCTTACACTGCTTATGGGCATTAGGTTGGGCTTAGAGTTGAGTTGACATCAAATGGGGATCAAGTTTCGATTCCCTCAACCAAGGTAGCCAGAACCTTCAATTACTCACCTAGTTTTTCACGCCTTTGTTAAAGGCATCAAATTGTATTCCGAGGGAAGACATATCAGAATTCACGTATCAGAGGTCCTGTTAGCCCTGTCTGCTGAGCAAGCTAGGTTCAATTACTGCGTATTCGTGCACTACGCAGGGCTCTGGACGTCGATTGTTCCAACAAACTGTCCGTGCTAGCCTATGGGCTAACCCTTCAACGTGTGTTAGTAGAAGTCTAATGTAACAAGATCATACTAGATACAGTACAGCGTCTGGCTGGATCCGTATCTGTCAAAAGTTGAGATGCCCTGTTATCGTACTACTCGTGCCGCAGCTGAGCATTAGGAAGGTGTCATTATAATATATTCCTACTGCTACCTAGTATACTGCATGCTATCACATAACATAGCCTCGTCACCGCCTCTGCTAACTCCACATAGCCCGAATCCTACCAGCAAACAAGTGCTATGCCGCAATTCTCGCTAAACTTAACGTTTTTCTTATGCTAAAATAACGCTGCCTAAGAGATCCCTGAAGACCCCCACAGCATTAATCCTGACAATATCTTCCCCTGAGATGAGATGGTTCTACGGAAACCGTCCGGAGTAGCTACATATGGCCCACAAATGTGATTTACATATATGGCAATGGGACGCATCGTGGTGCAAGCCTCGAATCTATCTTGGTGCACTGAGAAGGATCTATTGAACTTTGACGATATATATCATTTTTGCTCACCATTCTTGACAATGTCTGTCTTTCGGCAAGCAGTTACATTCCTGACACTAGGATCTCAGGTCTATGCGTTTTCGTTGCAAACTACATATGACTCGAGTAACTTTCTAAATAAGTTCAATTTTCGCGATGTGCGTACGCAGTGTAGCTGAAGTGGGAATACCGCTAACTATTAAACCGGACAGGCTGCTTATTATTACCCAACCTATCCAGGCGACCCAACGGACGGATCGGTCAATTATCTGAGCAAGGCTGATGCTTTATCGTCTGGAATCGTGAACACAAACAACAACCAAGTTTATCTTGGCGTAGACTTCACCAACAAGGCACAGCTTATTAAAGATAGCACAACCGTTCATGGCCGAAATAGTGTGCGTTTGGAGTCTGTTGACACCTGGAGCTCAGGTATCATGATAGCAGATATCGCGCACATGCCAGGAACGGCGTGTGGTGTCTGGCCGGCATTGTGAGTTATGCTAATATGCCTCTTCCAATACTGAAACGCAAGATTGTTAATTTACTATACTCAGCTGGGCATACAACTTTGACGAAAATCCCGTCGGAGAGATTGACATTATTGAGAATATCAACAATCCGACTCAGAATATTGTTTCTCTACACACCTGTGGCCAGTGTACTTTCACCAACATTGGTGGCACGGAGGGAAGATCTAATTGTAACAACGGGGGGACGATATCGCAACAATGCGAAGACGGAACAAACTTGTTGGTCGCCGAAACACGTCTTCAAGCTATGTACGAGGTGCTAATGAACTTCTTAGTGACGGATGTGGTAATACGATGACCAAAGGTTCCTACGGACCTACATTTAACTCAGCTGGAGGCGGCGTTTATGCTACATGGCTGGCGAGTGATGCTCTTAAGCTGTACTGGTGGAAGAGAAGCGATATCCCCGCGGACATTACCAGTGGTAACCCTGATCCTACTAAATGGGGCACCCCTGCTTCACAATTTACCAGCGGCAGCAATTGCAACATTGGGAAATACTTCAAAGATTTAACGATTGTAAGTTCTTTTGGTGTGCTTCTTTTGCATTTGATTCGTTACTAACTTTTGCTAGATCATCAACACCGATTTCTGCGGCGCCAGTATAGACCAGGGCACCTGGGACTCCGGTTGCTCACAGTCTACTGGCGCGAGTACCTGCGACGATTACATTACTAATAATCCCCAAGCGTTCAACGATTCCTACTGGTTGTTCAACTCCATCAAGATCTATAACTAAGAGATTGGACAAATGGACTACCTGAAACCTTCAATATAGGGTTATCTACTGTTTTGTAAATATTCATGTTAATGAAGATAAATGCTTATAATATTTGAACACTCTGGCTGTTGCTGGATTGTTATTAAAGCTATGATTATCACCATCACTGCATCTCCGGTCCTGTTCTAGAATTGAACTATTCATTACTAGTCTTTAGTATCTTGGTGTCAGATCACAGGGACAAAGAAGCAGTGACGCAACTAGCTAGAACTTAGTTGCCACAAAGAAATGAGCATATTAAGAGGACAAAGCCACATCTTCATAAAAACAAGAAGGGGCAGAGATAAATATAGTCCTTTTAGAGACCTAACTGCAGTCTATCTGCAGGTTCGCAACTGACCCACTTGATCCTTTATCACTCTTCTTTGTGACACAGCCCTGACACTTGGCTAGATATATAAATCCAAGAAACAATGGCACGAAACGCAGAAATACCCACCATGGTACTTGATCCGCAAGATTCCATTTATATTGCAAATTTGCTGCCGCCATGAAAACTCTTATAGCCTCTATAATTGTTATTTCACTCCATAGTGTCAATAGAACTTTGGGATGGATATACTTAGATACTGTTCGTGCTCTACGGATGATGAGCCTATATCCTACACGGAATACTCAGACGGCCTTGAAAAAGCTAGGTTTGACTATTCACTCTATTAGACTTTATTCCTATCCTGCTACCTTGGGTATATTCCCGCGATTGCATGCGCACACTGATGCATCGAGTTTCAGAGCCGCTTTATATGGCGCCAATGCAATCAACAACAAGAGGGCCCAAACTTTCAGTATACAGTAGTTTAGCTTGGGTCTACATTTTATCAATCTCATCGTGATGAGTATCTCTAGTGCCACCGGTGGTGTCGACTGGCAGTGGTGGTAACATCGTCGTTTTCGACACCCAGCAAAGCGACCTTCATCCTCTACATTATCAGCATCATAAGTATCACTTCTCTTTCTTCGGTTCATATAGTCACGGAAACAAAGCGCTTCGCAAAAGTAATACAACGCTATTTTGTTACCATAGCCTACTAATGATGAGAAACTACTTTATCTAGAATCTTCCTTACAGAAACAACTCTCATGGGTTATACATTCCTGGAAGCTCTATTCATAAGAAACAAATATGCGGGGTTACATGTCAAAGGAAGAAGCCACTTGCGCTTAGTTACGCCACGTCGTACCACCCAGTCGTTAGACTCGATCGCGACAGCTTCCATGACTACCTTCAAGCCTTTGATTGGCTTAAATCTCGATGGCATCCAACTTTGATTCGCAGATATGAGCTGTGGCCGCCCGAGCTGAGAGCTAGATAGCAAAGTCAAATTTAGTCTACCCAATTACATTTGTTGAAATATCCAATAGATTGAATCGAATTCTCTTCTTAAAGTGCCTCTGTTACACGCATTTGTAGTGTAGATTAGGCATTCCGGTAAACTCACAAATTTGCTGCTTTGCTGCACGCCATGCATTCTCTGGTCCGCGATTCGGCTTTTGGTGCATTGGTACGATGGATAACGAAGCGCGAGCTGCTGAAATATCCCGATGAAAAAGCAGATTTTCATTATCGAGATCTGTATATGAATGATGGCCCCAGAGAGCCAACACCGCCGCCCATTCTAAGGGTCGTCAACCATTCGCAACAGGATCTCAGACATGATGAGCAAAGCCCCCCAGTCGCGCCGGCGTCAGAAGAAACAAGCTCGCTTTCGACGGAAGACGAAACCGAGCTTGATCTTGACTGCCAAGTTCTGTCCCAGATCGTCTCTCGGCCTCGGATGTCGCATGTTGAATCATACGCCAGCCTAGAAAAGGCATATTCAGACGCAGCATTGCAAACAAATGCAAGAGCGCAGCATTCCACGATCCAGCCAAAGAAACTGGAGAATGGAACTATTGTTGTTGACTGGTACACAACCGATGATTCCGAGAATCCACAAAATTGGTCGTCCCGGAAGAAACTCTTCGTTGTGCTTCAAATCTATCTCTATACACTTGCGGTGTACATTGGATCTGCTATAATAACGCCGTCTCAGCCCTTTATTGAAGCACGATTCGGAGTTACACCCGAGGTTGCATCAATGGGTCTTTCTCTCTATGTTCTTGGCTATGGCATCGGGCCACTAATTCTCTCTCCTCTCTCTGAGATTCCAATCATTGGCCGCAATCCACCGTATATCATCACCTTTGGCATCTTTGTTGCAATTTCGGCCGGTACAGCCGTCGTCGATAACTTTCCAGCATTGATCGTCTTGCGTTTCCTGCAAGGATTCTTTGGCTCCCCATGTTTAGCGACCGGTGGCGCAAGTCTCGGTGATATCTACAACCTCATCAAGCTGCCATATGCACTGACGGGCTGGGCTGCATTCGCCACTGCCGGCCCAGCACTCGGTCCTGTTATCTCAGGCTTCTCAGTCCCAGCTACAAATTGGCACTGGTCATTATGGGAGATTCTCTGGCTTGCCAGCCCTGTCTTTGTACTCATGTTCTTTTGTCTGCCAGAGACATCCACAGCAACGATTCTACTTCGGCGTGCTAGGCGACTCCGTCGATTAGCTAACAGTCATAACTTACGATCTGAATCGGAAAACGAACAAGCTGCGCTTACTGTCAACGAAGTCATCGTGCAGAGCCTATGGCGGCCTCTTCAAATCAATCTGTATGACCCATCGGTGCTCTTCACTAGCCTATATATAGGCCTCATGTACGGAATTTTCTACTCCTTCTTCGAAGTGTTCCCGTTCGTCTATGCTACAGGCCTCCCTGGTCTCGCGTCTCCGACGAATGGTTATGGATTGAATGCTGGTCAAGTCGGCCTTATTTTCCTCTCCATTAGTGTTGGTGTTGCCATTGCAATACTTGGCTACCTCGCATATCTATGGTTCGTCTTTGAACCCGAAGTGAAGACACAGGGATTGGGTGAACCCGAGCGCCGACTTATCTGTGGTCTTCCTGCTAGCTTTCTCGTCCCAATGGGCCTCTTTATGTTTGGCTGGACAGGAAACTCTAGCCCAGAAATACCGTGGATCGTTCCGACAATCGGCATCACAATTGTTGTCATTGGCATCTTCATCATCTTTCAGGTCGTCTTCATCTACATCGCGCTTGCTTATCCCAGATATAGCGCCAGTTTATTTGCAGCAAATGACTTTGCGCGTAGCAGCATAGCTTGTGGCGCAATTCATTTTTCGCGGCCGCTGTTCATAAACCTGGGAGTCGGGAAAGGGGTCAGTTTATTGGCTGGATTGAGCTGTGCGGGCGTGATTGGCATATTCGTGCTCTATTTCTACGGAGGAGCCTTGAGACGAAGAAGCAGATTTGCTGCAACCTAAGTCGCAGAGATATGCTCACTCTGTACTTTGTACACCTGCAAGCTGATTCAACGGCAGTATGAGTACTTGTAAAGGGACTTTTAACTTATCAGGTAGCTACAAATGAACTCATTTGTGGGTGCATTGATATGCCAAGTACCTATACTTTGAAAAGCGGAAATTCAGTGTTACCCCAGCTGTCACCAGGCAGCCTTTTACTTTTATGACAGGCTGGGGGCCCACGTGCCAAAAGACGGCTTTTTATGCATAATGACGCCGGGCGCCATGCGCGTAGCATTTAGATGTTACATCGAGCCCCTTGGCAAGGGGAACGAAGAGATCTCCAGATTGGAGAAGAAGAATCTCACCTTCTGCGCAGGTGGCCAGCTTCCTCGCCACGAAATAAGTATAGCGCCAAACAGACGCAAGGCATCGCGATAAGATCTATCGCAAGGGTTCAAACCTGGGATTTAACACCATCCTTGTTGACGAAAATCTCCGTTGGAGGTTTTGTTTAGACAAAAATATGACACATAATGCGGTTGTTGCGGTGCCTTGGTCGGGTCCTAGAGATACCACAAAGATAAAACACAAGCCGCTTACTATAGCTTGGATACGATAATTGGAGCATTAAAAAGGGTTCTTCTCCCTAGCCCCAGGAACGAAAGGCCAGATATGAGAAAAGCTGGTCACAACTTTCTCCTTCATATTGTCGGCTTATAACTCTGACTAGGCCTGAAAATGTCCATGTAACGTGGGAGCTGAAGCGAGAACCTACCCTGAAATCACCGTTAAAGCGCCGAAGCCGAAGCCGATTTACAAACCACAGGGGCTATTCTGCTCAGTATGAACAATGGATGCGAGATCCGAGCGGATTTACCACCCAAACGCAACCTCAATACACGGACAATTGCACAGCCTTACACAACCGACGGATGGCTTTGCTATCAGGCAAAGCCGTTGAGATCTGAAAACTGCCTCCTGAGATTGTATGAATAAAACCTGAGCAAATTATCTACAACATTTGGCGGTATCGAGCAAAAAATGCCAGCTTGCTTGCTATACAGTCTAAATAAAAAATATCCAGCTCTCTTTCGGCACCAAATCACCAACTCCTATCAGATTAGTTGGCAGGCAGCTCCAGAAGACGCTTGAGGACGTCGTCATCGCTTGGATTTCCCTCTCCCTTAATGGCATCGTACGCAGGCAAGAGAATAGTCTTCTCGATGTCCTTGTACTTTCCATCTGCAACATAAACCACGGTGCCCTGTCTGGAGCCATCAACCATGAGATAAGCCGCAGCGCGTGCAACCACCAAAGCGGGTTGCGGCACGTGTGAGATGCCTCTCATGAGGCCCTCCAAGTCTGGGAGAACGTTGCTTGTCGTCCATGATGGCATCAGAGTGTTGATGCGAATAGGAACTCCCGCAACTTCTGCAACCCGTGCAAGGCCTCTGCCAAAACCGAGGACGCCATGCTTGGCCGCGGCTACATGATTCGGTCAGTATAATGAGACTTCTACCAAAGACATAGTGCTTTGCTCTTTACTCACAGTAATCGATAGCTCGAAGGGGCTGTAGACCGGTGCTGGATCCCATGAGAACAATGCTGCCGCCTTCAGGTTGCTCCTTCATGTAGTGAACGGCCAGAGAAGCTGTGTTGATAAGGCCTCTCAAGCCAATATCCATGAGTTCGTGTGAGGGCTCCTTCAGGTTGCCCTGCTCATCTGTCTCAAGAGCCAAGTAGTTGGCACGGGGGCCGATACCGGCATTGGCAAAGATGCAATCGATGCGACCAAAGTGCTCCTTGGCTTTCTTGAACAGCACGGTCAGGTCATTCCAGCTGGCCACGTTGGTCTTCACAAACAGGAAGGCAGGTGTTTCTGCCGACTCAGAGGCCGGTGGCGGGTTGACATCGCCGCTGACTACTGATGCTCCCAATGAGAGCAGCAGCTTAACTGTGGCCAGGCCAATACCTGATGAGCCGCCTATAGAAGGTAGGATGGTCAGCTCGAGACAAGAGACATTACAACAGCAAAATAGCTCAAGGAGGTGAATTGATCGTACCTGTGAGGACAACGACCTTGCCCTTGAGGCTGCTCAAATCCTCGTCATTGATGATGAACTCAGACATGGTAGTGAGATAAGATAAGATCTCCGGCAACGGTGGAGGCTGTGAGACAGGCAGATGTCAAGAAAATGTGATATCGAACAATTAAGATTTGATGGATGGCCAGAGAATTGAGATCTGGAAGGATTGAGGACAGGCAAGGGGCGGAGGAAAGTCACCGCCTATCACATATAGCTTTATACCTACTGGTCAACTAGCGGTGTTCCTTGTCCACTGCATGAACAAGGAAAAAACCGTTGTAACCCCTTTGCCTGGGGTGCTGTGGTGAAACGAGTTAGCCGGGCCTGTACCCCACACGCATTCGCAGGAGCTCGCAGAAAACCGGTGCGCGGTCCGGCACTCGCCAGATGGCGGAAGGCAAGAGAGCGACTCGATTACGGAGTATGATGCCCAATTAACGCTCAAAAGTGGGCTGCGCGTCGCTAAACTTTTCCTTCCACTTTTCTTCCACCGCATGAATGCTCTTATTAAGGGTTGCATCCCGGTGGAACGACGCAGGGGGGCACTCGAGTAATGGACGGCAAGCGTGCATGCCGAAGAAGAAAAAACGGTGCAGGGGGTGCTCGAGTAATGAACACCAAGCTTGGCAGTGCCGTGACAAGTAGCGGAAGGAAAAGAGTGGCACGCTTAAACCCAATTTACATGCAAAAGTGGACTTGCCTGTCGCGGTTCTTCTTCCACGACATGGGCTAAAGGAAACTAGAGGGAAATCACCGCCGGTCTGCCGCCATAACGTACGTAAAGTCGTTGAGCATTTATGTGTGCTCAACGGCAGTTTCCTCCTCACCCCTTGCTTAGACCGAAAACAAGAAATGACAAGCGCAGTTTTATTTTCACTATGGTCTCATCCGTGCCGATCTTCTTAGTCTAGAGGATGAGAAGTCGTTGTTTATTTTACAACTCTGTTTCTCCTCTGCAAATGTGCAAATCTTCAACTCTTCTTCTCCATATTCTCTTAAACTCCCTTAGCTAGCAATTCTCAGTCGTCTGCCTATCATGGTTCAGCCGGCGGGGGACGGCGTCCAGCTTCTCTATGCCTCGATCGTGCTGCTTGTGCTGACTTGGCTGACGTTCATTCTACGAATGTCAGTGCGAGTTTGGCGAAATGCCTCGGGCTGGGACGACTTGTTGATGTTTATAGGCCTTGTACGTGCATAACCAGCCAACGAACCTCGACAAGATTTCTAATCCTTTGCAGCTTCTCTTTACGGTAACAGCTTCCCTATGCATTGTCTGCTGCTTCCTCGGATCTGGTCAGCTTGCTGTCCATCTGAGTAAGAGTGATATCATGCATGGAACCAAGGTGTGTGCTCTCGCCCTCCTCGATAGCCAACTCGAATATGAATATAGTGAAACTGATTCTTGGCAAAGAACTTTTTCATCGCCGAATTCTTTTACTCCTCTAGCACTGTCTTCATCAAGAGCAGCATCGCCATAACGCTTTACCGAATTGCCGACGCTCGCCGCCGTTACAAGTGGACTATCTGGGCCGTCATAATCGCCACGAGCATTTCCGCCATCGTATTCATAGTCGGCATTTCCAACATTTGCCATCCCATCACCACTCTATGGGGCGAAACTACTACCGGCACATGCAATCTCGAGCTGAATAGCGACGTCAGTTTCTTCTTTTCTGCCATCGAGATTATAACGGATTGGACTCTGGCAATTTTGCCTGCGGCCTTGTTGTGGAAAATCCAGATGAAACCCACGGTTAAGTTTTCAGTAGCCATTATTCTTGGCATGGGTGCTTTGTATGTCTGCGAATCCTTCTTCCCCTGACAGAAAACAGCCCCCACCCATATCGTTTTGCCACCACCATGTACAAACCAGGGTATACGAGCTAGCTAACCCTTTACCAGTGCAAGTTGCGCGACAATCGTCCGACTTCGCTATCTAACTCTCTACAGCAACCCCACAGAATTCATGTTCGGAACCGGGAAGATCGGCCTCTGGTCCGTTATCGAAGAAGGCATTGGCATCATCGCAGGCTCGCTGCATGCCCTTCGTCCTCTCCTCTCTCTCCCCATCTTCGGCGGCTCCTCCAACCGCGGCACGTCGGGCTCATCTTCGGCGAACAAATTCATGTCGTCAAGGAGTGGACATCAAGATAGGCGCGCGGACATCAATATGGATACGTTCCATCAGCTGGGGGACACAGATGGGGATGGGGATGGGGAGAGCTCCAAACACATCTTGAAGGAGACGAAAGTCACAATGACAAGAAGCAACCGAGCTGCTTCACCAGGAGCATATGGCAGGAGCCAGGTCCTGGGGTGGAAGCAGAACAACTATGAGACCTGATTTAGAACTGATCTCTGTTGGCCAGATAGAAAATGCTTTTTAAATAGCTTGGGTTTATAGAAGAATAGCCAATTACTTTTTACCATAAATTTTATACATTATAATTACCTCATCCTCTCTTTGTTATTGGTCATATTAGATACTGGTTGACAAAGTCATTTAAACGACACTCTTGCCTCTACCAGCTTTTAACTAGTCGAAGCACTAGCGATGAACTCTCCGTTCTAAATCCTTTGTCATAATAATTGAAGACTCTTTCAGAAGGGTCTCAACAGAAAAAGCGAGATTAGGGAGCGGGGGACCAGAAGAGAAATGGCTTCGGCTGGCTGGAGAACGCATTCACTGCGAACCGTTTTGTTAAGAAAAAAAGAGCATATCCTCGGATGATCCTCACGCAGCACATCCAAAAGTGGCCTGGTCCTATATTTCTCGATGTCATTATAGTATGAGTGTAATATTATAGCCCCCACTTAGTGCAATTAGGAAAACTGTTTGAACTGTCGTCGACAAAGTTAATAGCAGCTTTGCAGCCTATGTACGCCTATAGTACCTCTATCCATAGGCTGTTTTTAGGCTTTATTACTTTCGTGTTGGGACAACTCGTTATTGTTTCCTAGTAATGATTCTGGCGATTCACACGTACCCGGGCATGCGGTGGACAAATTACATCGCCGCCTATTGCATACAGTTCTATAGCAGCAGACCGGCGGTGTTTTTGTCCCCCACATCCCGGATAGCTTGATCTTAGGCAGCCATGGTAAAAATCAATAGCTACCTAGCCTAGGGGTATAGCCTTGAAATCGTCTAGTACGTGTAGATTGCGTCTTTCCTGTCGCTGGAAGCTACATGTGAGTGAGTGCGAAACCAAAAGGTTAACATTGTAGTTAACCCATCAGTGAGTACGCTGAGTGTTCTGTGACCTTTACACCACTTTGTACTGCATTCTAAGTATTGGCGGCTCGCGGGCTCCGTATCGTGAGCATGCTTACCTTTACTGTACCAACAGACGATCAAAAATCCGCACTTGCCACTGCCTAGCGAAGCATATTATCCGTCAGAGTCAGCGAGAATAGGCTTTTCTATTTCACACCCAATATACATGTATACATTACAGCCATCGGATCCCGCCATAGCAGCAAAAGGTTTCGGGGCAACATCGCTCCTAATATCATCTCCTTCATTCCTTCTTTCTTATATCGAGGACGATGGCTGGGATAAGTCATGGCAAAATCACCTGAATAAACCTCATCCAGGGCCTGAATCTTATGAATGCAATTGTGATAGGCCATCTCAGTGGCTCGATATTGCATTCTTTCGCCCCGCTGTTGCGTCCGCATATCCCGTAACAAAGTTTTACATGTAATATTATAGTATCACTTTCCTCCAATGACTTGCATCTTGACTTTCTGCTCGCCCGAAGTAAAATAGTGTAAACACCATGTTGCACAAATTGTTACAATCGCGACTCGCCAGACCTGACTCACCTCAGCAATACTTAGCGCCTCACCAACACATCCGAACAAGCACACCATTGTAGCCACAATATCTATAAACAGAATAGCAATCAGGACTTTTGCGATCCTCTCATTTTAAGACCATAAGCGACCCTGTGTAGGCATAAATCCGTACTGTGGATGGCCAGCGATGATGCTGAACAGCCAAGTGCTCTGGGCCGACCATCTCGCGAAGTTGTTATGCGTTGCCTGTAATGATATCCCCGTACTTCTGGTGAGTGTCGACAATGACGAAGAACTTGAGGCTCCATTGAAAATCCTGAGGGCAAAGTCAATGTAGATAGAAACGATGAAAATTAAAACTTCTCGTCGCTTCCATGCTGATGGTTTGTTCAGAGACAGTGTATTCGCCTCAAACCCAAAAGAGCTCAGCCACAAACACAAAATGTGTGAGAAGATTCAAGATTAATCACCAAAGACATAGGGGCGCGTCGTCTGTAGTTATGGAATTGTAGTTCCACATAGACCAGAGGCCAAGACATTGCCACAATACAGCTGTTTCGTAGACCAGATAGCTTTAGCTCTGCTCAAATGTCTGACGCGAAATCTGTATGGCCTGAATTAAGGGCGCTAGGACTCCTTGGCTAAGTTGTATCATGTCTGCAGTAGATCTGGTAGTCGTAGAAGGTTTAACTGCGATCCGCAATTTGCAATGTTCAAAGCAGGGTCGTCATTCATCCCATCGCCAATAACGGCGACGATATGTCCACGAGATTGTAGGATCCGCACAATTCGCCCCTTGTTTTCGGGAAGCACCTCTACAAAGCCAGGGATAGTCTCGATACGTGTGGAGATTTCTGCATTGGCTGAGCCTTGAGCGAGCTGCAGAGCGCCATCCCCACAAGATAGGACCTCCCCTTCCAAGCCGACAAGCTTCATTGTATAGGCTGTATCTGCAGGTAAACCCTGTACGGAACTTGACCGATAGACCTAGAGACTTTGCAAGCCGTATGCTCGCTACGCTATCATATCGTGGAATGAACCCCAATAGCTCTATTTTGCCATTTTCGCGCCTACGTGCAACGCCAAGGCAGCGGCAGCCTCTCTTTGTAGCTTCGTTAACACTACTCTTATATCTATTGACAACACCGTCTAGGACGGCAGAATTATGCTGAAGGACATGTTCTAAAAAATGATTTGGTGCACCTTTGTAACAAAGTATTCTTTCCCCGGTTGGCAACTCTACTGAGGCCGACGAACTCCTAGTTTCACCGCTGAAAGGCGATCGACTAAGAATGCTACAGCGATTGATCCCGGCTTCTCGGGTAGTAGTGCACCCCGACTTTTGAAACAACAAGTCGCCGCTATTCATCTCCTTAAACATCTAGTCAGGCCAAGTTTCTGGCTGGCCTGGGACGATTCACTGCTCGAACCTTGGTCCACGCGTGCCTGGACATTTCAAGAAGGCATTTTGTCCCATCGCCTCCTGTACCTGTCACACGACTCCTGGTCAATGGCTTCAACTGCAGAAAGCTCACGTTCCCGAAAGATGGCTTGTTTGCATTTGCTGGTACTCTGCCGAGCTGGGGCTGGGCGGGCTGGGAAACTGAAGTTGTCTGGCCGTTTACCTGGAATTTGACAACAGATTCATCAGCACCAGCTCCTGTGATCTTAGGCTACATTAGGCCCATCCTTTTCGTATGCGAATTCGAGTGGAGATGATATCAACATCCCATCAGAGTGTTCAGCACTCGCTATTGCCGGATTGGATCTGGAGTGTCCTTTGCTGGTGGAGCCACAGCATCTGGCCGGATGCCAATAGTGACTTCACAAACCAACGCGATATCGCTTACCTTACACATCCATCAGACATGTCTCAAAAGTTTTGGTTTCCTACACTAGTCAGCAATCGTTATTGGGCGCCTCTCTCGATTGACAAAGTGAAGTTCTGGGGCATGGTTGGCCAATTTCGACTTGGCTAAGTGCGTCTATAGATTTTACGCTGGATGAAACTCGCGCTAATACCTTGTGGTAGCATGATGAAGATGATGTAGAGTATTAGAAATCATTGAAGAACAGCATGCCTATCGACCTTGTAGTTATCATAGGGTGTGTGGTGGCCAAAGATGATCACTCTTGGTGGGATCCTCGTACCATTGGAAACTCTATCCATGGAGGATCTCCAGAAACCAGAAAGAACACAGCATATTTAAAATGTGCTGTGGATAAATCGTGAAGGAGAGATTGCATATCGCAAAGGAAGCGGTAAAGTGGATCGCTTTATCTGGGGCAAAGTTGTCGGTGAAGTTGAATCTGCTATATTACTTGGCTAGTTGCTAGGCAGCTCTAGAAATCATAATTTGATAAGGTATTTTACATCTTTCAATTCCTCAGGAATATTTTAATTTATGCCTGAGCTAGTATGATAGCTTTCGTCGGGGAATTCGAAGTTATAGACCCAAGGGTAATATAGGTCCGGTATTTCTTGAGGCACCGAAAACCCCGATGAACTGAAGCCATCAAGTAGCGATGCGTCAGAGAAATTCTCAATTATCAAGCTATTGCCTTCAACCCCTTCAATTTCTGTTCCCAGCCCTTCTTGTGGTGCTATATTTATTAATCCTGCCTGAGACGGCTGAGCAGCATTTCCCTTGCTCGGAGAGGTCCGAGATCGAGCTGCATGGGCTTTTTTAATCAGCCTCCGCAATGGCTTATATGCATCGCAAAATATTTCGTCAATATCTGACACGCCATTTGGATTGATACCGGTTCTCTTTTGGGCAATGTTTGAGAGCTTGAGACCCAGTTGGAGAGTGGCATCAACCGCATTCCACGCCCTCTCTACTTCTTCACTCTCCGGCCGAACACATAAAGCAGAAAGCAGAAACGCAAGTGCATACCATTGAATATATGTCTCGCATAGCCATCTCCATTTCTTAGTCTTCTTTTCTGTGTTCAAAGCTAGCCAGTATTCGAGAATCATGATAGAGGAAGTGAATAAATATTCTTGTGTCTCCTTGGGCAGCTCTGTGTAGCCAGCACGACGCAAAGATGGATGATGCGCAACAAGTTGCATTTTTGTGAAGACGATTTGCGCAATGGTATGAATATACCAGGAGAAAGGATCTGATAGATCGCAGTATTTCAAGTAAAGATTGTGAAGTCGCGTTTGGGTTTCAGAAATCTGATTCATCTTTTTTGCTAGATCTTGGTCTTCATCATTTTGCCCTAAGGAACTAGTTGAAGTGTACTGCAGTCGTCGAAATAATGATGTTGCTTCAAATCGAACAAGACTGAAACTCATTTCTGTCAGACCAGTTCTGGGCCGAGGAGCCTCCTTCATATGCACAGCCATATCTGAATCGTTAATGTTGAGCGGTATCAAAGTATCAGCGCCACCATGAGGAAGCGTAGCATCGTGGCCAGAGTCTTCACAGGCACGGGAATCCAGAACACATATGCTCCACCACAGCCTTCGCCTCATTTCCACCGTAAATGGAGACAGATTGAAATGAGTGCCGTCGCGGTGAATGCCAGCATTCTGGGCAAGACGAACTGCCAGAGCAGTGAGACTCCACATGAGTCGGATGCTGCAATGATTCCGTAGACTCATCAGAAATATGACGAGAGCCTGCAATACAATCAATTCGTCAGTTTCGAGGAATTTGGCTCGCGCCAAAGCTTGTTCTGTTGCAAATTTATAAGTATCGATGAGATCGCCCTTGGGACTGCCAAAGGCTTCCCAGCACTCATCTTCCGAAAGGCTCTCTATGGCAGAAAAATAGATGGAGAATATCAGTGCTTCCAACCCTTTCGGTACGCGAGTAGTTTGTTGCACGGCGTGAAGAATTATCGGCTCGGTCGTAGGAATATGCAGAACTTTAATCAAGCGGTCGCAATTTGTCTTGAATAGACGCCAATACAGAAGTGCATGCTGCGGTGACGGATGCAAGCCAGATAAGGACTGTCGATGAGCACGGCCCCCAAATATAAAACTTTGATTGGTAGTTCCAAAATCCAAAGAATTAGGTGTCTTCCACATCTTGGAATCGTCCGGTATATCCATCAATAAACTCTTGAGGTCGTCGACCTATTGAATGGAAGTTGGATTAGGTCAATGTCTTGATGAAATTCATTGCAGCATGATACATACCTCTTCGTCTAGACTTGCCCAGAAACTGCTGCTGATATATCTGCTGCGTCCATCTCCGACTGCCAGCCTGCCAAGCTCTGTCCCTAATTCGGCAACCGCATCGTCTTGTGTTGTTCGGCCTCTGGTCGGATCAGATGGATGGAAAGTCTCACCCCCTGCTGTAATTGCATTGACGCAAGCTTCTGTAGTCTTAGGAGATTGGTGTGTTGCTCCTTGACTGTAATTGTCCCGTAAGATTCCAATAACTCCCTCCAGATGTTGAAGCCTCTCAAGCATACCATGAGCGGTCTTTGGTCGAGTGGAAGGCCGCCTCGGCACAAACAAACAATTAGTACCATCTTTGCGACAATTGATACAAGGGTACAATCTATCGCATTTCTTCTTCTTTCTCCGACAAGACAGGCACGAGTACGGATTCAATTGTGGGTGCTCAGCATTCGATTCGGTTACTCGGCCATCGATTCGCGGGGAACCTGGCTTATCAGCTTCAGTGGGCTGGGCAGCCTGTGCGGAACTCATTTTTGTGTGCTTCGTGTGTTTTTTCTCCTCAAGCTGTCTCGAATGGAAATGCTGGTTTACAGCGAGGTAGTTGCAAGTTGTCGGCCTTTTCGGAGAGCGGAGTCTTGGCAAACACCGCCAGATACACTTGCCGATGAACTGTGGAGATGTGCTAAGGCGAAAAGAGCTGAATTGGGCTTTTGGTGTGAAGACTTTGGCTCCGCCTCGCCTGCTTGACGGAGGTTTCTTAGGTCATCAAGAATATTGTTTATATAACCATTCAATCTTTATTTGAATAGCATCGTTAGCCTTAATTAAAGTTCTCTCGTAATCTGCTCTAGTGCAGCATTGGAATCCAATTAGATGAGTTCGTGGAATGAGTTACTCGATGATCTCATATAGATCAGTTATAGATCAAGCTACTTAGCTCGTTAGTCAACTATGAATGATGAATGCACATGTGTATCTCGCGGGCTTTTTGTCTATTAAAGGACAATGATTTCTCCAACTGATCGCTCAATTTTCTTCGCAGACAAGTCGACTGATCTTTCCAACCAAGATTCTACTACCAACACGATTCTCTTCTCTTATCTCGGCCCGTATAGACTCAAATAAGTTCCAGCTGCACAATTCAAAACACGACTCTGTATCTTGGTGTTTGTCATATTATTATCAACATCATTGTACAACATGAGTGAGAGTGCCTACCGAGGTCGACTGACGCGAGACAACGCAGTCTTGCTCATCGTGGATCATCAAGTGGGCCTTTACACCGGAGTTCGCGACATTGATACCCTCGAACTTAAGCACAACATACTGGGCCTGACAAAAGCTGCTGTGGCTCTCAAAGTTCCTGTGGTTGTAACAACAACAACGGAGAGCATGTGGGGTCCCTTGATCCCCGAGCTACAAGAAGCATTGCCCGGCATTGACCGAATCGAACGCACAACGGTCAATGCTTGGGATGATCAGCGTGTCGTCGCCGCCGTGAAAGCTACGGGGCGGAAGAACTTGATTATAACTGGAATCTCGACCGACGTATGCTTGGCCTTCCCAGCAATGTCCGCTCTTGCAGACAACTACACGACCTATGCTGTTGTGGATGCCTCCGGCAGCTTTACGAAGAGACAATCGGAGATGGGCGTTCTCCGTATGACTCAAGCCGGGGTCATTCCTGTCTGTTATTCCAACGTTGCAGTTGAGATTTTAGCAGATAATGCAGCTTCTGAATCTGCTGAGGTTTATGGCGCTCTCGGTATGCCCTTTGCTGGACTCGTGTATGGTTTACAGCAGTACTTTTCGCACTAAGAGAACAGGAATCCGTCTGAGGGATAACGGGCTGAATTGTTAGTATGTCTTACATAAATACGCTTGAGAGTAAAACTCTATTCAACAATACATACTATTATCTGATTGTCACGAAATCTTCTATGGACATTTCTTTTCTTTTTTTTTTCTGTCACTTACGCCCAACCGTGATACTTATACAAGCGGATGTCCCATTCTGGCCTTTTGTAGATGGGCGAGGATCGTAAGTCCCAGCGCTCAACAACAGGAGGACGGCTATAAACTATTAAGCAACAGATTTCCAGAGATGTATTAACAACTCGTAGCGTTGTAAGTAGCTGTTATGTCAGGAAAACAGACGCTTTTAGTTGACACACTAGGTACATGTACCTATAGCCAGATAATAGCACCTGGGAGTTAGGGATAAGTCTAGCCTGCTGCCTACCTCGCAGATGAAAGCTAATGACAGCTAAAATTAAGAATAAAATACACGTGCAGATTAAACCCATGACTCAATTTTGCTGTCAATAATTTTTTCTTTCTTTCTTTGCTTGTATTTTTTCCATATGTTTTGATGTTTCGGTGCATTGCGACCGCTGGAGCTAAACGCAAGCAGCGCTAAATGAAATCCATGCTTGACTTGTCAATCAGAAGCTGCACATGTCGACATTGGTCTTCCTTTATGACAATACAAGTTGAGTATGAAAATATGGTCATTACTTGTTAAATTGGCAATTTTTCTTGTCTTCTTTTTCTCTTATCCGTCTTGGCTAATGCGTTCTATGTTTTCCACGTCTGCGCCCTTGCCTCTGTGAGTATGAGACCAGTATGTTATGGAAATGCTACCTTTTAGGTCGACTTCCAACACATCCTTACACAGAGTTTCATTGAATGTCTCCTTCTCAGCTGAACACAAAGATCGCACATTTTCTTTGGTGTTCCAATTGAAAGGGTATACCATACTGTCGGGCAATACAATTATTTTGTTCGCTGCGTCGCCGCAAAATTCATATTGTTTAACATTTTTTAGCAGAGCAATAGGACCAGTCAACTGCTCTGCTGAGGGGTAATCGTACCACCAGCTGTGCAGAATGCGCCTGCTCTTTTGTATCTCTGCTTGCGCAGAGCTCATTGGTAATAAAAAGAACGGATGTCCAGCTGAGGCGGCCATCCATGCATTAGGTATGCTGTGATCGAAGGCTGGATCAGACCCCATGCGACCAAGCAGCGCAACACGCGCCACGGATGCTTCATCGCCAGAACTTTCGTTGGGTTGACCGGGCAAAGAAATGTTTTGGGATGCAAGAGCATCAAGTGTAGGGCGCAGACATTCGGTGTCCAAATCGGCGTAAACGCTACCCCTCTCGTCAGAATAAGCTTCACATTAGAGTTACTTATAGGCTGAATACGAGCCCAACTCACCCGCCAAAAATATACATATAAAGACTCCGTGCCAAATCTGCTCTGTAAATATTCCCGGGGAGACTTGAAAAGGTATCCTCGAGCCACGGAAAGTATTGCTTGACAAGCTGGAGGTTATCTTCATCAGTCCAGAGAACCCACTCCCAATCAGGATGCTGCCTGCGACATGTATTGCTCCATTTTTTAAATTTAGCAGGTAATTCTGTTGATTTCCAACTTTGGTGAAGCAGCTTCGGAATCCCCCCTGGTAAAGGCTTTGGCGAACGACAAAGAAGCTCTGCTGGTGACAAGGCTGATGCTAACTTTGTATGAGAGGAGTCTGCTTGCGGGTGTGAAGCCGATAAAAGCGGGCAGTTCGAGGTATGGGAGGAGGATATGTGAGGCGGCGTAACAGGGAGCTGGCAACTCGATGGCCTAGAGATGCTGAGGCCGGGCCCAAAGTATGGGATAATCTGTATGAAAATAATGCAAAACAAGAGTGTAATTGCTAGTATATAAAGGCGACGTAATCGCTGAAAAAACAGCATACTTACAGTCAATCTGCCAAATGTAGGCTATCTGAGAAAGAAAGCCAGCTTCCTTCTTACGGTAACCTAGTTTTTCTGCCTATTCATTGACTACTTAATTTATGCAATAATAAGGGGCTTGATATTCATCTGCCCTGTTTGTCTTAGCCAAATTTGAGATTATCTGAATTTGATTAGTATTCTTTATTATTATTCTGCTATAAATAACTCATACAGGTCAATCACTCATCTTTCGACATTGAAAAGCTTACCAATACTATATTTACGTACAATTATATCATTTAAGTAATTGGGCAAATATATCTCAAGCTTGTTCAACTTCGCAAACTCCAAGATGTAATTAGTCTCAACACTGGTATTAGAGAAACTGCAACTTGTATTCTATACGTTACGAGATAATCCAGCGGCCAAGTTTGCTGTACAGACAAGTGGGGTCAAGCTGCGTAAGACTTTAAAAAATGCCACTCCGTGTCGCATTCATAATTTGCCGATGCATTCTGATACAAAGCATTCAGGAACAATAGGCAACATTTTTAAGGATAATCATGTTTGTGAGTGCCCTTTTTTGCCATCTGGAAGCTTAGGCAATGTCAAGAACACCGACATACGTATTTTAGAGTATGTAAGCGGCTTGAACATACTTTCGTCAAATGTAAGATAAATAACAACCCTGAAAAAGGCCTTCTGTCATAGCCAAATAATATACTGTAGTAGGACTAGTATGCTCAACTGCTATATAATTTTTTGATGCGCCAACAATGACCTGCTAATGGCAGCGCAGCGAGCTTATAAGATGTCGATCATTCAACTTCTGAAATGATACCGCCAGCTTGGTGGAAAATGTTCCAGGGCAAATACCCAGGTATTTGCACTATAATCATGACAACCCATTTTACTGTCAAGCTACACGAGCCAAAGAGCAGAGCAGTAATTATAGGTATAATCATTATTATATCTGGCTCAAGTGCTCAGAAGAGATCGAGCTATTTTAAAGAAAGACCAGGCTATAGATAATACCGTTTGCTATCCCTCCAACGTAGCCGCAATAGCCTTAGTACTAGGCAATAGTAACCCTTTCGTTTAATTTCTTGAGCTGGAGCCAGTGAATGTTCAACTTATAAAAACATAAAACAAGAGGCGGAAACCTCCAACAGCAGTGTTGCCCCAAGATTGGGTACAGAGTAAGTACCGGCGATACCCGGATGATCGCCATTTCCATTGTCCCCATTGCCTGTTTTATTTGATGCGTCGAGATCTCGGCTGCCACAGGTGACATTGCTGGGGCCCAGGCAACGCAACGCTGCGACGGTGATATTTATCGTGTTGGATACGTGGCTCCACGTGAAGAGTACAGGCATAATATGTCTAATCACCGCGTCATATTCTGTTTCGTTATCGCTCGACGTCGGTTCCAAGCCCATTGTGAAAATTCGGCTGCCGGTAAGCAGTTTCGTGGTAAATTCTTGCACGCGTTAGCTCTTCGCTCCTCCTCTCCATAAGGAAGTGTGATTGGCCTGCCAAACGAGGTCGAATTCATCTGAGAAGCCCCGTCCCCAGAGGACGATGGATCAAGACACTCTCCGCAAGAGTTTGGAACAATAATCGAATTACATTCACTTGAGCCGTTCTTGACCGAGTCCTGCAAGTCACTGTTGGGATAGGAAGCTGCAGTTAGGGTTAGTACCTGATCTATCTATAGGAGCAATAGTAGAACACTTCCTCTTAACATGTATTCTGCACCTTCGGTAACCCCAAGTAAAGGAAGAGACATCTATCTCATTCTAATGTGAAAAAATCCACTATAATTTGGAAGAGGAGTCACTACACGACAGTTGAGTATCATGACTGATTCCACTACTGCTTCCAATATCCTGAGAATGGAAGCAATCTGTACAGACTCAGCCTATGAATCCAATATTCACAAGTAAGTGAAGGAAAATAGTCCTTCAAGAATGCCGGGCAGAAGATTTTTGGTTGTATTTCCATTCAATCTTGTGACAGTTGAGAGTAGCCGGTTGCTAATGTATTGACGCCAAGTTCTATAAATTGAGGATGAAAAAGACGTGGGCTAAGCCGAGAGGAATCAGACCGAAAGTCATTTGCTAACCTGAAGATCCAGAGTCGCACTACAAAGAATCGCATAGCTCTAAAAGAACGATTGAGAGGTAATTAGTAATAGTAGCCACAACGATGAGGCTTTCAACACTACGTTGTTGGAACAGTATGATGTTGTGCAAGGCAGGTATGAGAAAGTCCCTATAAATACTACCTGGGGTGATAAAGCAATCAAAATAAGGTCTCCCACATTATAAGAGTAGGTACCCAGGTACAGGTGCTCGATGTGCGAGAGTCTTGTCTATACCATTCAAAGTTTGAGCTACTAGAAGCTATCTCCTTTTGAGCGCCCAGATTAGGAAGAACGGCCCTAATACCTTTTCGAGATAATCGTCAGCTTACCTTTGATCCCCATTCATCACGACGCCTTCTTACGTTGCGCCCGCAGAAATTGCTAGATTAACCTTTTTTCCACGTGAGTGGCAAGCTGTTAATGTAACCCAGTTATCAACTCAGTTTACAGTAAAATACGACAATGCGTTTGACACATTACCTTTGTTAGCGATTTGTTTGTTTGATCAAATACAAATTAAAACAATGGCACAGCTACTTAAAATATTCGAGGTCGTTGACTTGTCGAGCATATGCTTGCTGACGGCGGTCATATATCTTGTCTCACTTATTCTCTATCGCCTCTACCTTCACCCTTTGTCCGGTGTTCCCGGTCCTAGGCTTGCAGCAGTTACTAGCTGGTATGAAACCTATTATGACCTTTTCAAGGCACCTGGTGGGCAGTACTGGAACAAGCTCGACGAACTTCATAACAGCTACGGCCCTATTATCCGAATTAATACAAATGAGGTCCAAATTCACGACCCAGAGTTCTATACTCAGATTTATGCTGGGGGATCGACTAAAAGGAATCGGTATGCACGCAGCGTTTCGGGGAATGGCTCACCTGGATCTATGGCTTCGGCCGTTTCTCACGATCTACATCGCCTCCGCCGAAGCTCGTTAAATCCATTCTTCTCAAAAGCCGCCGTGTTAAGACTTGAAGAAAGAATCCAAAGTAGAGTTAGGATCCTCTGTGAACGTCTATCTGGATTTCTGGAAAGAAAGGAAATAATTGACATAAGCGTGGCAATGACTTCGCTAACATTAGATATCATCACAGAATATTGTGAGTTTGTTCAATGCAAATTGCTACTTCGACGATTACCATCTAATAATTATGAAAAGCATTTGGAGAATCTTGGAATCTTATGGATAGAGATGATTTGAGCTACGATTTCATCAAGGTCATGAGAGGCGGCTTTGAGACACTCCAGATTCGGAAGCTTTTTAACTCAGTCATTAAACTGATCCCACCCAGTGTTCTAGCTTGGTCCAGTCCAGACATGAAAGTCTTTTTCGAATTCAAAGATGTACATCTCCACTTCCAGTTGTTAAAACGCCAATGCTAATCAATTGTCTAGAGGTGCTTTGAAACATGTCGACTGATCAAAATCGCCCATAACGATACGAAAGTGGATTCGGCAAATAAGCGAACGCGGATTAATCTTTTCACAGAGGCACTGGACAGACTTCCAAAGGAAGAGATTGAGACGCAGAGACTCGCAGATGAAGCTCTGGTTCTTATCACAGCGGGGTCTGAGACGACCAGCAGGGCATTAGCAACGATCATCTACCATGCACTAGAAAATCCAGACATATGCACTAAATTGCAGCAAGAACTCGACGCAGCCATACCAGATGCTAACACGGAAGTATCTTACTCAACGCTTGAGGCTCTGCCTTACTTGGTAAGATTCTTCACCTGCTTTGTTCTCTCACTTATAATTGATCACTGACTTCCCACCAGACGGCCACAATCAGAGAATCATTGCGCATTAGTGCACTAGTGCCAAACCGCTCTCTACTGACGGCGGATCAGCCGTTGCAATATAAGCAATGGAGCCTGAAACCAGGAGTGAGTATTGTTATGACGGCTAAGAACCCGATCCAATTGATGAAGGTCATGCGTGGCAGCAGTAGACTAACCCAAGCGCATAAGACAGCGTTTTGCATGAGCACTTCCAAATATCTTCTCGATGCCTCCATATATCATAATCCCACTGTATTTGATCCTGAACGCTGGCTTGGTGACCCACAGAGTACCCAGAAACTGCTTCACCATTTTGTGCCGTTTTCCAGGGGACACCGAGGCTGTATTGGAATGAAGTGGGTTTTATGCATGCATATTATTTCGATGTCGCTGACGACTTTGACTAGTCTTGCATACGCCGAGTTGTATCTTGTCTCGGCGCATATAATCAGACGCTTTGACATGCGCTTGTACGATGTAATTAGAGAGAGGGATGTGGACACTGTACGAGATGCTTTTATTGGATTACCCAGTGCGGAATCCAAAGGTGTAAGGATCGAAATAATTCAGAAACGGAAATAAGAAAAAGATAATGCCCGTAGAGCATGCAGCAAAATACTGCTTCCGGGAGCTTCCTATATTAGACAAAACTTGGCATGATTTGGTAGGAAGTTATCACAGCGTCCAACCTATTCAAGTAGTCTAATTCATAATCCACCGCAAGGTCATCTTGCACCCATATGTGCTGGAGAATACTCTGCAGTTCACGCAAGCTTCTCAAACTTGAAGTCTTCATTGCTCTTTCAACTTGCTTCAGAATTCTCATTCTCTGCTCATCCGTCCGAGCCTCGCATCCAATAATGAGCAGTGGAAAGGTTGGATTAAAGCTTCCCAAGTCATCGAGAAGTATGTGCGCTCTATCAACCATTCCATCAATTTGCGGCGATTTCCCTGAAAAGTTTCGTGATGCTCTCTGAAGATAAATTAGAGCGGCTAGTTTAAAAAGCTCTATCGTAGCCACCCAGGCTCTGCTAGGGTCCGACATGGTATCAGATGTCGCCAACGGAACAATATTAGTTATCGTGTTTTCGAGGCAACGCAATGACCTTTCGTATTCTTCATCATGGTATGATACGTCTGTCGGTTTTCTAATCGTCTCGAGCATAATATGCAAATATCGAAGAATCTCATGCGAGCAGTGCGATACGTCGTTAACCTATCTACTATTAGACACATGATGTTGTAGGCATGAAATATGAAAGTCTTCAGACCAACCTTTCGTAACTGGCAAGTACCTCGGTAGACAGACACAGAATCCTTCATTCTTTTAGCAGATTCTTTGTGCATATACCAGTGTCGGATGCTGAACCGGGCCATGACCATATGATAATCTACCCAGCCCAGAATTCCAGAAAATTCTCGTCGAAAACATTGGCTGCTAACGGATGCATTGTCGATTAAATGTTTAGCTTCACTCAAGTGACCTAAAATGCAAGAGCATTAGAATTGACGTTGAAGAATTAGATCACCTATTTCATGACAAGGCAGCACAAGAACTGATGTCGGAACAAGATGAAGGTTCTAAACCAATCAAGTAGACAAAAGTAAGTCATGTATCACTTACAGAACCACACAGACACTGAGTTTGGCATTCCGAGCATCTTGAGCGCTGGTAAGCGTTTGTTCGCAAAGGATATAGACACAATCTCCAACATACCTCAAGATGACACAGTATCATACTAGCTGCAATGTGCTGAACTATCAGGGGGTCTTCAATAGATGGAATGCAAGATGTTATCAGTATACGGAGAGCGCGAGCTTTGAGCCGGTAAACATCTGCTTTTAGACCATTGCGGTGGAACGACGAGAGAGCCAATGCCGAATGTAGCACAGCCATTGAAGCTGGTGAATTGTCTGAAAGAGCTAGGCGCACCAAAAGACCTAAGAAGTCGCTCTTGTTCGGTTCGAAAATAGCCAATGTGGAAGGCGCCGTATATATAACTACAAGTATTAGCTTAGCCAATTTCTGCAATGCAGGTATTATACTTACAGTGGTCAAGAAGCTCTCTTTCCCCATGAGCTAGTTTAATCGGGAGCCATGATAGTGTCGTCGGTGGAGCGATTACCTGGATGGCAAATCCCTCATCGCTACTAAGTCCTGTTTGCGGAATATTAGCTGGGTGAACAGCCAATTCCAAAAGAGAGCCAACCTTGATTCATCCGTAAGTAATGGTGGAGCTGGATATCCCATGTTGTCGTATTTACAAAGTTCACTTGGGAGACACTTTTGGCAACCTCGAATCCATTCTGAATAGAATGAGTCAAGCTGCGCTTCGTATTGACAGTCGTTGGCCACGACAGTCGCAATCCATACTGACACAGTCTATTAGACTTGGCGCACCTAGAACAACGTGGGCGTGCGCGGTTGCAAGCGACTCTGGAATCTGTAACGCTTAAGTAAATGAGTAGCGTAGCGACTCAAACAACATAGAGCAAAATACCTTTACAAGCCCAGCACTCATTCGTAAGCATTTTTGACTGGTTTCTTTATTGCTATGTTGAGAGTTTTCTTGGAGCATTCATTAAAGAGTTGCCATGTTTCCTCTTTTGTAATGCGCGCTGTCGGGTGGAGAGGTTAATGGGATTCAGTGCATTTCTAATTACTAATACCCACTTGCCTTTCCGCTTTGAGAAGATTGGCAACTTTTTTGTGTCTTGGCATTTAAGGTGGACCCTCGGTTTGGGGCATCATGTATCAATATCATGATAGATTTGAAATCAGTAAAAACGGGCAAAAGAGACCATGATCGGTATATAAATACAGCACTATTGCTGCACTTTTGGGGTTATTTCTTTCAGAATCATCTAACAATCTCTATCAAGTTTAGAATACTTTGAGACTATCACAATGTCTTCTTGGGTAATTACCGGAGTCTCGCGCGGCCTTGGTGTAAGCTCTTATTCCTGCTATATATACAAAAAATGTGTTATTAATATTTCACTGTTTAGTCCGAGTTTCTCCGCCAGCTATCTGAGAATCCAGGCAACACTGTCTTTGGCCTTGTCCGTGACAAAGCAGCCGTCGAAGCCAGGGTTGCTGACGAGATTGGCCGGAAAAATATCCACATCATACAGGCCGACACCACGGATCCGGTGGCGTTGGAGGCAAGATAATAAACAATTAATGGGAGCCGATGTCGAAACTAATACTAAGACTTTTTAGAAAGCAGCCCAGCATGTTTCTGAAAAAACCAATGGCACGCTGGATTATGTCATAGCCAATGCCGCACTTCAGTCCAAGACTGCCCTAGTTGGCTTTGATACCCTGTAAGCTCTTGACAGGATAAGAAAAATCCTTGAGATATTAGATTCGAGACTAATTTTTCAACAGGAGGCGCGATCCAAAAGCTCTTGAACAAGACGTGATTGACCATTTCCGAATCAATACAATCGGTGCCATCCATCTTTTTAATATTTTCATGCCCCTGATTCTGAAAGGCCAGGCAAAGAAAGTCATTGCCATCTCCACGGGCATGTCAGACCCTGAGATGACTCTCAAGGCTGATATCTACCAAGCAACGTCCTATGCAATGAGTAAGGCAGCTCTTAATATGGCTGTAGCCAAGTTCAGCGCTCTGTACCGGGAGCAAGGCGTTCTCTGCATGGCTATCTGCCCTGGTGCTGTGGACACTGGAAGTCTTGATATCAGTAAGTACTGTCTTGACAATTGAAGTAGAGAATGCTTGCTGATGCCGTGATAGAAACAGAGGAGGAAGGGCAATTAGCTATGGCTATGTTTGGGAAGTTTAAGCAGTATTCACCTAACTTCCAGGGGCCTATGAGTCCGGAAGACAGTGCCAAATCGGTGTTGGCGCTTGTCAATAAGGCTACTGTTGACGGTGGTTACGCAGGAGTCTTTCTCTCTCATACAGAGTCAAAGCCATACCTTTAAGACTATGAAAGAAGTTGGTGTTGGTTCTTTGGAAAATCTACACAAGCCTTTCATGTATCAGCTCAAAATTTCCCATTCAATTCTAAAGCCATCTCTTGAATGCGTCAGATACTCGAATTCTTAATAGTCTGGCATCTGCAAGGAACTGAGGATTCGGAAAAAAGCGTTGAATAGATACTGTCCAAAGGGTTTTCCAGCAGGCATGAACGGTTGGCAATATATAACGCGGTGCATAAAGGGCGGTAGTTAGTATCGCATTGCCACAGATACCTTATAATACCAAAAGACACAGTAGAATAAACGGTCAATGTTTTATTTTATCAGATGGTCGAAACATACGCCGCAGTGCGGTCTTTAAACACTACTGGGTGGGATTCTATTGCGTATCTCCTGTCATGGCGAATGAAATATTAAAATTTAGAGCTATAAATGTTTCTATAATAGAAGTTACATATGAATCTTACGAAAATGATCGTCGATTATCCGTGAGTTGGCGTCCCAAACGTAGGCCCAGCAACTCCCTCTTTGGACTCGTATATCCGCTGCAAGAAACAACTCGTCGTTGGAGCTCCTGTGAGACTAGTCCAGAACGCATAAAAGCTGACACCAGCGCTCGCATTAGGGCCGCAGATGTAGATGGCTCTTGCTCCCTCATTCGAAGAAAGGTTGATATAGGTCCCGTCCGACTCTTGACTAATTGCAAATTGCAGTGGTCGGCAGGTTGAACATGCCTGGACGTTGGCTAGTTTGTCGAAAGCGAGGAATTCGCTATTCACACCGTTGTGGACGAAGGCGATCCACGTCTGGTCTTCTGTTCCCGTGACGGATGAGGCAGCTACTCGAGATTGCATGATAGTGAGGTAGCCCTCTGGAGTGAGGCCCATACGAGGAGCTGTGGTGTTGGCTCCTGCAATCGTGGCAGCCTGGATCTTATTGGTAGCGCTGAAATCTCGGTTGAGGAGAAAGTTGCCTGTGAAAAAGTTGTCCGCCGCTGGGCGTACGTTCCGGATGTAAAAGTTTCCAGTTACAGAGGCAGTGGGGGTGTTTGTGACTGTAGATGTTACCACTGATACTTGAGTGGTAGTCGCTGGAACAACGGCCGTGCTGTCAATCGTCGTAGTCTCCACAACTTCAGCAAGAGTGGTGGTTTGGTAAGAAGTAAGAACTTGCGTAACTTCAGGCGCCGTTGTTGCTGCTTGATCCGTTTCCGTGATTGTTACCGCTTGTGCTGTCGCCGTGGCGTAGATTGTTGAGATGGGGATCGTCAGACAAGCACAGCCACTGGATATTTTACTCGGGTCGTATGACTGAGTAATTCGTTGCGAGAGAGGCATTGAGACAGCACGTCCCTGCACCACCGCGGCAGTCACCGTGACGAATTCCGTCGTAAGTGACGTGTCAGTCACAGTGCTCGTTTCGGTGTGTACGTTTGTGACCGTAGTAGTCCGCGTAGGAATCACCGTTTCGACAATTTCGGTGTAGATCGTGGCAGTTGGGGACACATCGGTGAAGATCGTAGAGTATGCGGTGGTCGTTGGTGTCACAGTCGTGGCTGTGATAGTAGAAGCTGGTAAATGGAGAAACGTGCTACAAAACGGCAGCACTTCTGGCAGGTTGGACGGCGAGCGCAGAAATTGGAGGAAGTCGTCTGGGTAGCACTTTGGGCGACAGCCACGGGCAGGATTTGCCTGCGCCAGAGGAGCTGCTAGCAAAGCTGCCAGGGACAATGACAGTGGGTTCATCTGAGGCCACATCTTCACGAGTGATGTAGGTGTTTACAGGACTGTCAAGATGGAATGTGTGTCGACGGCGAAGACTTGCTTATACGCATCGTGTAAAAGCATTTCATGATCAATAATAAAGTGGTTCAGCTTTGGCTTCCCAATCTACATTGAGAACATCTTGATTAAACTACTTGCTTGGCGATGCGCTAATACTCCGTTCAACCAATGAAGCCTTGATGTTTAAGCTGAAGACAGCTTTATTTGTACAGCTGAGCTGCGCGGAGTGGAGAATATTGGTTTTACTGTGGGCCTAATTTGGCAGTCTGCGAAGTCACTAGTCCAGGGGCATGCAGGATGGCTTCCCTAGTTCGAAGCCTACGTGTTTCCAATCAACTGATGAGTTATTAAAGGGCTATCCTCTTCTTGAATTAGATGGTTAAATAAATGTCTAAACTTTACTTACTAGGTAGAATGGAGAAGAGGTTAAAATATTTAGCCATGGTCAGCTGAATGCGTTGGCATGTTAAGTACTGTTTGTATTGCACACGTATAAATACACATGTGCAAGTTTTGTGTAAACGGGTGGCTCCCCCAGTATCCAAAATACTCATCTCAGGTATTTTCTTTCACACAACTTCTTTCAGTTTGCCATTTTTTATATCATAAACATAGCCCTTGACGTTGTCTCTAAGGTCTTGTCGAATAAATTTCTGCTCTTTCAGAAGGCGTAAATCCTCTCGGACGCTTTCTTCCAATCTACAAGGTCATAAGGGTCAATGCACTGAAGAATGAAAGGGGTTGCGCACTTGATGATGGTGATTATAGGAAACATACCTATCACTAGAACCGAATGTATCCCAAGACAGTGAATCGACCTCATCATCGAGATTCGGATACTTGAGTCTTAACTTTTGCCTAAGGTTGTTGTCTGTATGATACGTAAAACCGCAGTCTAAACTTTGTTAGTGCTACTGCAAGACCTTCCTTTATTTTCCAATCAATCATCTAATAATTACCTGTATGATGAATGACAATAATATTTTGTAATGCTCCTTCTTGGGTCGCCTCCATGAAGATTAAGTCGTTTAGATTCGGTTTGACCCGCCCACCGCAGTTTTTAATCACAAAAGCCTCTGTGGGTGAAATTTAAGTCATTATATGGACCATAGAACCCAAATTATGCATTCGCCTACCTTCTGGGGATATCTGGAGGAACTCTTGAATTGGTACACGGAGATCAATGCAGCAAACTTGCACAAAGCGTTTTAGTCCTCAAAATGCGCGATTCGAAGAGTTCTAGATAACATACAAATGATAATCGGTGATGGCTTGACATCTCGGAGATCAGGCCTGGGAACATGTGCTGTCTCCGAGTATACTCTGGACTTGGTTAGTAGATATTGTCTATATAGCTTCAGATATCTGTAGAGATTTTATTACCGGTTTCGTTCCAGCAATTGATCCCAAGTGGTCATTTTGAAACAGATAGTATAAAAAGGTACACAATTGTTATTGTCTTTGCAAGTATAATAAGCTAGATAAGCTCTACTCAAGGCCGTAATCATGAATAGTAGAGCAAGTAATTGACAATTACCTTCAACACATAAATACATATACATTAGATCGCTATGCTTTGTTTACCCCGGAGCGTGTTCTTTGGCGTTCATAGTGCTCCCCTAACCCGTATGTGGAATCATTGGAGTTGATTTTTCGTTGTCACATCATCAGATTCAAGCAGAATAGCTTTGCATTGCCTCTTGATTTGTAATTTACAATTAATTTTGCCTAGGGAATGCACGATCTCCAATCCAGCCGGCCAGAATCATCAGAGTTGGAGGCTAGCTTACAGCTTACTCCAACAGTTATGTGGGTCAGCGAGCGATATTCTCTCCAACCTCTTGGAGTAGCTGGCTTAGGATGGGGCACCTCCTTCAACATTGAACAACCGCGGAACTTCCGTCAGGGTATCAATTAGATTAGATTATAGATCATTGGTGTCTTGATTGTGCGCGAGCGTTCTAATACCGTTCCTCACCCTGCTCTTGTGCTCGTTTAACCTATACCACAACAATAAATTGGCGCGGGGTCAACTGTGCTTTCTGAAAACATTCACTCGTTGGCAACATTATCCAAGACATGGGCAAAAAACGAGTTTTGGTGAGCTGGGGCGTTGACGTTGACGCTGTTGCAGGATGGTTGGGTTCCTATGGAGGGCAGGACTCAACAAACGACATCAGCAGAGGCAAGACCAAGCTTGTGTGGCCATTCCGATTGAGTGACAATATTGCTAAACCCTTCTTTGCAGGAATATTTGCAGCCACTGTTGGAACGCAGCGCATGCTAAAGATGTTCGATAAATACAATATTAAAGCAACATGGTTCATTCCGGGTCACACCCTTGAATCATTTCCAACGGATATGGCGGCAGTGCGAGATGCTGGTCATGAGATTGGGCTGCACGGCTACTCACATGAGAACCCAGCGGACATGACGTTGGAGCAACAGCAAACTGTTCTCGATAAAACCTATAGGCTGCTTACTGAGTTCTGCGGCAAACCACCAAAAGGGAGTGTCGCGCCTTGGTGGGAAGCAAGCGCCGAGGGAGCGCAGCTACTGCTGGATTATGGAATCGAGTATGACCATAGTCTTAGCCACCATGACTGTCAGGCATATTATCTTCGAACTGGAGATTCTTGGATCAAGATTGACTATGGTAAACATCCAAATGAATGGATGAAACCCTTGGTCAATGGCAAAGAAACTGGGCTGGTAGAAATTCCTGCAAACTGGTACATTGATGATCTTCCGCCGATGATGTTTATCAAAGCCGCGCCCAACAGCCACGGATATGTAAACCCGCGAGACGTCGAAGATATTTGGAGAGATACTTTTGACTATTGCTACAGAGAGTATGACGAGTTTATATTCCCCATCACTTGCCATCCCGACGTCTCCGGTCGGCCACAGGTCATCTTGATGCACGAACGGTAAGTAACTCAAACACTTATCCCGTCAATGTTTGCATACGTATTGATAGTACTATATAGCCTTATAGAGCACTTCAAAAAACATGAAGGTGTGGAATTTGTGACCATGGGTTACATTTCTGACGATTTCAAGAAGCGAAATCCTCCAATGGCCGGTGCTGCAACACCGGCCCGGGCGGGCTCGATCTTGGGACAAAAGCCATCTCGTTGATACAAGGCGGGACATTATTATGGCTTGCATTTACAGGCGTCATCACCGAGCTCGAACCTGTATTGTTCAAACTTGGTAAAAAAGAAAATTTTCTTCTTATTGCTATTACCAGTCGTGCTATCACATCGTCGTGTTCTTTTTGCCACGGTGGGATACTTGTGCGGGATATAGTATTAGTTCACTATGATCTGCGCTTGCTGGACTAGTTTGATAGCAAATGATAAATATCTTCTATATTTGAGCGATGGTCAGAAGGGAGAAAAGCATCCCATCTGTTTATTAGCCGATTTTCACTATTTTTTACATGATTAGTAATTTCACAACCTCGATATAGATTCTCAAGTGCTCCAATATCTCCATGTTCTTCCCATCCTCAATGGTGTTGGAGTAGTGCAATCTCCAGGTAGCCTAGAACATGATGAGAGGATGGGAATTCCAACGGGAATAATGCAAGCGCTTGGATATACAACATTCGCTGCATGGAGGCAAGCTAATAGATCTTGAAGCTGGTCGACCTGTATTACCCTGGGTGTAGACATCGTGGTTTACATCATTCACGCTCATTTCCTGCTTAAATACTGCTGCGATGGATGAGAAGGGTCATGAGAAGGGTCCTAACATAACACCTACTATGCGAAATTTTATCTTGACTATCAAATACTGGAGCGGATTCTTCTCGGAGTATGCAATATTATAGGGCTTTATATATCCACCTTACAGTACTGCTATACTTTGGAGCTCGCAATATCTATTCGTGTTATCATTCAAAGTGTTAGACTCTACCTAGTATTTCTTGCCACTATTTTGCCTTTTGCACTAATTTTGGAGGGACTGAGCTGTAATCCACCTGCACCTTGGAGTCGTGGAGTCGAGCCCCCAACTTTTGGGGACTCAGGTAGCGCCGCTGATTGTGGTAGGCTCTATCTACAGGGAGCAACTTGTCTGTGATGGAGCTCGTAAACGCAATCTCAGCGCGACAAGGAAATATTGATTAAAACACCTATCAAAATTCCGCCAACTAATCTTATATTACAACCCTCCCCTCGAGATCTGTATCCTCAGCATTTAACGGCTCATTATTAACAACTTATTGTATAACCACAGCCTGTCATTTCGCCTATTAGCGTCTTCTATCTCTACTTCGGCGTCTTTGGTCGGTTTATCCCCAAGCGCAGAGCTAATATGTCGGTCCTCTTCACAGCCGTCTCTCCGTATGTTGAACATCTCTTCCAAGATTACTTTCCTCTATTGGAAACTTACTCTGGCACTAGAGACAATCCAGTGCAGAGACAGGATGTGGAGAAGGCCTTGGTATCCCTAGGAGTCTCTCTCGATCCAGAAGAAGAGAGCGATTTCCACACTTTGCTGGCAGCAGTTCATGACTGCGCAGAGGAGATCCAACAGCTACCAGACTATCAACCTACTCCAGATAGAGTCCGTTATCCGAGGGAAGATATACATCGTCCAACCAAGGAAGGACAATTCTCAGGACAAGCCTGGGCATATCGATTTCTCATAAGAGGTACAACTGGAGCTGGGCTTTTAAGCGGCAAAACTGTCTGCCTCAAAGACGTCATCGCAGTAGCCGATGTGCCTCAGCTATATGGGACTGATATTTTCCCCGCTTGGACTCCCACAACGGATGCGACCGTCGTAACGAGAGTACTTGATGCTGGCGCGAATGTGGTTGGAACAACTACTTGCGAAAACATGTGCCATTCCACATCTTCATTTACCAGTGCTCAGGGGACCGTTCATAACCCTTTCGCTGTTGGATATTCCGTTGGAGGGAGCACATCCGGGGGAGCTGCAGTTGTCGGCGGCGGCCTTGCAGATATTGCGATTGGCACTGATCAAGGCGGTAGTATCCGAATTCCTTCTGCCTTTTGTGGATGTAAGTACGCATTAGGCACCGACTTTTGTCGGTCCAAACGTCTAATACCGTGTCGCAGGTGTTGGCTTAAAGCCTCTTTATGGATTAGTACCGTACACAGGCATTAGCAGTGGCGACGCAATAGATGATCATGCTGGTCCAATTGCTAAGAGTGTGCTCGATGTAGCGCTCTGTCTCGACGCAATAAGCGGCTACGATGGAATAGACGATCGATGTCTGGGTGCGCCGACACACGGCTTAGGAACTTTTGCTGCGACCATGCAAGCTCAGCACGGATTAGGTGGCTTCAGGATTGGTATCCTTACTGAAGGGTTCAGCCACCCTATGGTAGAGAAAGGAGTTAGAGAAGTTGTACTTGCGGCGGTCCACAAGTTTAAGAGTCTTGGTGCGACAGTTGATGAGGTATCAATACCAGATCACTTGCACGGCCCAGGACTTTGGACAATTCAGCAGCGCATTGCCGGATCACAAAATCTTCTTGGACGTCAACACGGTAGGAGAGGCTTGTATCTGACAGAGTTGGAGCAACATCGGCTTCCTTGGACTGCTGAGAGCTTCAGAAGAGGATTTGCAGCCACGAAAAATGTCGTCATCAACGGACAGTACCTTGTCGACCGTTTTCCAGGTCTTTATGGTAAGGCGATCAACTTGGGACGGCGACTCCGGGATTCCTATCAAGAGGCATTTGAGCGATATGATGTGCTTGTCATGCCCACGGCGCCAATGGTTGCGCCTAAGCACGGAAAGAAGTGCTCGCCGATAGAAGCTCTCAAGTCAAGTATGGGTATCACCATAAATACTGCCGGGTTCAATGTTACTGGTCACCCAGCCATGAGTATTCCTGTTGGTTTGGCTCCTTCAAAAGAAGAGCCCCATTTACACCTCCCCGTTGGTATGCAGATTGTCGGTGGATTGTGGAAGGAAGACAAGGTGCTTCGCGCTGGATATTCGTGGGAGAGGGCATTTGATTGGTCGCAAGAGTTTTTGGAATAGAACAAATAGTGTAATACTAGAGTTCCCTCTGTAAGACATGTTAAGGAGACCGCTACACACTATGTATCGCAGACCTCCACGATCTCTATAGGCCTTCATAGAGCCACGTAGAAAATCCTTAGTTACTAACTTAGCCTTCATCAACCGCGAACACATGGTCATGTATTAAAGATGCCTGCTTGATGAAAAGACCAAGATTGCATCCGTGGCTTCTCCTGGCTGCCCCATCCGCTGCATAGATGCCCTGTCGGTTGCCCGTTTTGGCTGTTGCTCAACTTCTTCTCTAGGCAGTCGCTGGGGTTTATCTCTTCCGGTCCTACGCAATTAACTCAAATCCATTTTGCCCAAGTAACCAATGGCTTCACATCAAAATATCACAGCGATGGATATAGAAGCACAATATGCCCCTGGAGTATACCAAATTGTCAGCTGTGAATAATGAAGTGAGCGATTAGGGGTGATGGAAACGTCCGATCATTGGAGATGGAGAAAGCTTTACGTGCATCATGGCGCCCAAAGATGCCAAGCTGACCTACGGTGGGATAATAGGTATTTGCAATCGCTACCCGCCAGGTGGCCGAATTGAAATGGTAACCCTTATACAATTCTCGCCCGCGACATATCTATCGCGGATCTTGCTTGAGCATCCGCTTCAGCTCTGCCGACAGCTTAGCAGCAACCGCTCTAACGAATCTATGCTACCCGTCACTTTATAAACAAGCCCATCGCGTACTTCTGATCCTAAGCCGCATTAACTAGGCAGTACAAGCATCACACAGTGTATGTGGCCCTCGCCAGTTTTTGTTTACTGATATCCCTAGTAGCCGCCTGAGGCTCCTATAGTATAAGCCTGAGGCGCATTTGCCTCCACTGTGAATTACCTATAGGCATGTTTTCACAGGTTTCCCATTCTTGTAGTTGGAGTCATGAGCCCCCCTCTCCATGCTTCTCCCTTTTCTCCACAAAGCCTCCCACGATGACACCTCCAGCCTCCAGTCACAACCCCATCGAGAGTCGGCAAGTCCAAAGCCACCACCCACCTACTGCAAGAAGAAATTCCTGTATATACTGTCCGCGGAGTTTCAAGCGCGCCGAGCACCTACAGCGCCATATTCGCATTCGTAAGTAATTTCTTCCTAGTAAGATGCAACTTCCCAGGCTGCATTGTGTACTTGTATGGCTAAATGCTCTTCTAGATACCAAGGATAAGCCGTATATCTGCCACTATGGAACAGCTTTCGCACGCCGTGATCTGCTCACTCGGCATGAGAGGCTATCTCACGACCACGTTAGCCCTTACCAAAGAGTCCAAGCATCGACCAATCTTCAGACCCCGAAGAGTGATACTGCTGCACAACCACATGCAGACGCACTCAATGCAGTAGACATTTCGATATCCAACTGGACGGTACCTGACTCTGTAAAGGGTACCGCAAGCCAATGGCCTCATCATGATCATAGCAGTGATGCGCTTTATCAGGATTTGTCCAATAATGCACTAGGCACATTATCGCAGGCCGAGGGGCCTATTCATCTCGTGGCGGAGACAGCGACCGATCAACAATTTGTGCAGCATATGCCTCAAAATGAGGAAGATGCGTTTCTAGGTCCAGGTACGAATCTCCTTACAGTCAGGTTTCATTGAAGCTAACCATCTCGCAAGAGGCGACACTTACTTTCTTCAATGATGATGGAAGTCATTTCCAGGAATTCGCCAGATTTCTTGATGGCATAGGACTTCCAGCAGAGTGGACACCTCCTGACATTAGGCATGAACTCGATGCGAGCGAGGCTGAAGCTGAAGGCCATGACACGAGGGTGTCGAATGATGCATACTCGAGGAATGGCGAATCAAGCCCCAGTTCCCCTTTCGGCTCATGGCCGCCTTCAGTGCCACAAGGCGACCAGCCTTTGAGCTCTGTATCAGACAAAGGTTAACCCCCCATTGACCTCAACGCAGCTTAAATCGGGCTCTTCTCTATATGCTGTTTGTTGATAAACGATCTGTTTCTAAGAGTTGCGACTAATTTACCCCGTTTACAGATCCCCATGATTCCAACTTTCAGACATTCTCACTGCGAGTAAACTCCGATATGCGAGCACACTTCAACGCCAACCTAGAAAAGTATCACGACATCATTCCGGATTTCGTTTTGCCGTCGAGGCATACTCTTACCAGATATATCACTGCTTTCTTCGGAGGGTTCCATTCACACCTTCAGTTCCTTCATGCTCCGACATTTCAACTCGACAGTCGCCCCATTGACCTTGTCCTTGCAATATGCGCTACAGGCGCGCAGTATTGTTTTGAGCATCGAAACGCAAAAAGTCTCTTTCGTGTCGCGAAAGCAATTGTATTGGAGTCTCTGTCAAAAGAAGCACATGCAGTTCGTCAAAGGGCAGTATCAGCCTTGCCGCTTGGGAATTTGAGCAGTCAACTGCTTCAGCAGCCTTCTGGTCCGCCCTCTTACACCAGATTGTCTTCAAACTCGGAGCATCCAATGGACGCAATCCGTTGTTTATTGATTCTCATGGGCTATGCCACTTGGGAAGATTCAGAGCTTCTTCGTGAAGCATTGAACCTCCAGAGCGTTCTTGTTCATTCTCTTAGAGAGGTCGGGCTAAGGGAATCCCAGGCAATCGACCCAAGCTCCACGAACCTGTCGTGGATCGACTGGGCGGAACAAGAGTCGGTCAGAAGAACAAAACTAGTGTCATTCACCTTCATTCACGTCCACAGCATCGCATACAATGTTTACCCAGCACTGCGAAGTAATGAGATTTATCTTCGCTTACCCTGCTCAACAAAAGAGTGGAATGCTCAATCTACTGCTCAATGGCAAGCTGCACGACGCAACGTAAAGTCAGAGCAGCTTCATTTCCAAGATGCCTTATCTCGCCTTCTCACACATGCGGAAGGCAACACCCAGATAAATCCCATACCAGTGCCGCTTGGAAATTACATATTGCTCCACGGGCTTCTTCAGAGGATACATCTGATACGAGAACTTTCTCTTTCTACACTGGATTACTCTACGACTTTGCCGGATGAGGAGCTCAACAAGATTGAGTACGTATAAATTGAGACAATTTCCTTGTTTCTCATGGCCCTTTCAAGTCAAATATCACACACTTGTAGCTTACACTACACAGACGGGCACTTCGATCTTGGACTCTGGTGTGGAAGCAAGGTCCAGAATCCAGCCTTGATCCTTCGAACGAGAATGGGCCAATCCCGTTCACATCCAGTGCCCTTCTTGGCCTTGCGTATATACGTGCATGCGTGAACTTAGGCCCACATCGAGCACTCGAAACCCGAAACCCCTCGCTTATTGCCGCTAGAATCGCAAAGGCCCCATCTCCATCACGGAGTCGTTTCTTGATTCCCGCCCTTATATACTCTACGCATGCGCTGAGCATCCCCGTCCGGCTTGGAATTGATAGCGTCGCCCGTAGTCAAGCATTTTTTTGGAGTGTCCGCCACTCTCTCTCCAGTCTAGAATGTGCTGTCTTTTTGAGTAAGTGGTTATGCTCGTTATGCCAACCAGATAATTTACAATCATTAACAGGTAAGATTCCCTCTCTCATCTGATACAACGTCTTAACTAAGATCTATGTCACAAAGAAAACGAAAACCGCATCCTCAGCTGGGTTAATGCCATTGTACAAGAAGCATTGTTATACTTGGACTGTGAAAAGGTAGATGCCTTATTGAACATCGATATCTCGCGGCCGTATATATTGGGCCTAGCAGTCCTGAGGCTTTGGGCACGGCTGTTTAAACACAATGTCCAATGGCCATTTATCAACATGATTGGCCAAGCATTGGAAGAGTACACAGACACTTTACAGCCGAGATGATATATTTCAAAAATCTCAAATTTTCCCCAAAGAAATATAAAACAAAGAAATATTTACTCATTTATAATTGCATTTAAATTGGTTCAAAAGGAAACGCAAACGTGGACTATAATTAAGGAAAGCATTTGGCCCTACACACAATAATCTACATGGAGAGATAAAAATAAAATATCACAGCAGCAGAGTCATCAAGCCAGGTTACATAAAAAGAAACAGCTCGGTAAATATTTTTAATGCTTTAATATTGACACGCTGCGTAAAGTAATTAAATAAGTCACAAACGCCTTGTGAAGGAAATAAAATACATAGTATTTAATGACAATGAGCTCACGAGAGCATTATGAACACGAAGCTCATGAACATTAGGTGAAGACTAATCTACTAACACTGATGTGTGAATAATCAGTTCTTGGTCAGTATCTTACTTGTTGACTCGACATACTCTACCCTCCACCTCTTGGAAGCGCTCATTACCAGCACACAACGGACACCAGAAAACGTCGTTTGGGTCAACGGCTCTTTTGACTTGAACCAGGCGTTCATAATTATTGCCCCAGTACAATCTCCTCCAATCTGGATCAAGCGCGCTTGCCTGCGATATATAAGCAATTGCCAAAGAAAGCAAAGCTGACACAAGTTGCTTTGGGACGCGAAGAAGAGCTTACCTCGTTGATATAAGCCCCAGTCTCGGGACCGAGGGCTTGCAATTGGGTCGTTATTTGCTCCAAATCAGACTTCACTTCATTATAGGCTGTTTGGTTGAGCGCAGGCCAACTTTTTGCTGCGACTGTAAGGTCATTAGAATGCAACTTCGAAAATAAGGGTCTCAGCGGTGTCAGTCATACTAAGGTGAAGGATTGAAGTCTTCCAACCCGGCTGCACAGAAGTGGCCATCCTTTCAGCATTGGCAAGCCCGACGCCACCAACTAGGGTGCCGATGATCAGAGCATTTCTTTCAACAAGCGCGGTTGCAGCCTTCAGTAACAAGCTGCTGTGTCTGGTTAGATGTTCAGCATCGATTAAACGGGATGTGACCAGCTCATCTGTTCCTGCGCCAGTATTGTCTTTATGTGTCATGTAATAATCCATCCAATTGGCCGATATCGATGTGGAAACAGATACGTTGAACTCGGTAAAGTGAGTTTGAATATATTTCTCAACAGGTTTGAGAATGTTCCGCACCAAAGTCTGATTTTCAGTTCCCATAAGATCCATGCCCAGAGAGAATGCGGCGACAGGGTCCTTGGTGAAGGTTGTTTGGCTGGGGCCGCCAAAAAGAGCCCCAGACATGTTGTGAGAAGCGAAATAAGGAAATTGAGAGAGAATGTATGCAACTAGTGAGGATGTCCCTTGAGCATAAGGACGCGATGCAGTGGCAATGAGGCTGACGCTGGCAAAGCTCGGAGAAGGGAAAGTTTTGACCGTTGCAGAAATTAGAACCCCAAAAGTACTCCCGCCGCCCTATTTATGATGATTTTAGTATCCTAGACCTTGAACATCTTTTCAAGGTGGAAGAAAAGGGCACCTACGCCGCGTATTGCCCAGAACAGGTCTTGATTCTGGCAAGAATTTGCTATCACAACGTGCCCATTTGGAAGCACCACCTCAACCTCAAGGATTTGATCGACCGCTAATCCAAGCCACGGAGTCAAGGCGCCGTATCCTCCACCGGTAAGATACCCACCAAGTGAGACAGTCTCGCAGGAGCCGCCGACAATCACAAGATTATGGTCAGCGAGAGCGCTATAAACCTCACTCATTTGACTGCCAGCACCTAATGTGACTGCTTTGTAGTGTTTGCGTTGTTGGCGTCCCTGAGGAACGAACGAGTCTTGTAGTTTCATTTCTTTGAGATGGTGTGTGTTGATGGATAAAGAGTGTGGAGCATTAGATCGCCCGAGAAGATCGTGCCCAGTTGAATGAACCACTAGACGAAGGGCGTGTTTATTGGCTATAAGGGGGCATATTAGCGTCAAACCCTCAGAAGAAACGGAAAAGGGTGTCATACCAAAGAGTACACCAGCTTGAACATCGGTACTTGATGTGGCATTAATAACATAGGCAGGGTAACCCGCAGCTGTGCAAGGGAATTCAGGGTAGGGTAGACACGTATCATTAGACCAATTGTTACTGCCCGTTGACACCAAGTCGTTGGTTTGGAAGTCCCAATTGGTCCATCTTGCTCGCACTATTTCACACACGTCTTCGTCGAATAGGGCGTAGGGTTGCTCTTGATGGCATACTGCACCAGGTGGTATAGGGCGGATAAGACGACCAGATATTGTCTGATTCAAGCTGTCCCACGCCTCCTGCGATGGCCACTGCTTGTCGCCAGGTATCGGTTTGCACGACGGGGCGAAGGATGATACAGCGAGGTAAAAGAAAGGGAAGACGTAGAGAGGTAGGCGAGCGGAAGCAAAAAATGACCACATACTGAGCTGCGGGTAATCTGGCCGAGGATCCGCAAGATTATATGATGAGGCGATATGTGAAAAATAAATACCAAGTCAAAGACAATGTTCCCTCTATATTTATACGTCTCATGGATTGTAATGAGGCGCGAATGGTGGGACCCGACGAGAAGTATTGCCAGCAGAATCCTTGAACTCATCTTGCTCGGTAACTCTTTCACGCTCGGGTGTCCGCTCCGCACCTGTCGTCCGTTCAAGACGGCGCCGCTCAACATTCCGGTCCTGGCCACCCCACGCCTCACCCCCGGGATCTCCTTATGATATCAACTTAGTCTATATGGCCTATCAAGCGAAGGGTCCAAAGATTTGAATTACGTACCAAGCGTGGCGCCCATGGGACTGCCGTCATGTTGACCTACAAGTTTGTGGCGCAGGGCTCCATCTCGGCCTTCCGTTCCCCAAGCCGTCCCCGCGTCCCGCTAAGAGAGCTGTTTTAAACGGGCGTCCACGTCCGCGTCCGTGTCCGCGCTCGTTGATGTTTGCACACCTCCCTATTGCTCAGTGAACGGCTGCGGCTACTCAACGAATTTGTTCCGGGCACGCAGCCGTGGCCTCAAATCTAGCTGATTGATCTCGGTACTATTGTCACCTCGGTGGTGCCGTCTACTATGAATCAACCAACAACGACGGGCGTCGGCCGAGGTGGGTACGGCCGCGCCTGTATGACCTGTTTCAAAGCAAAGACTAGATGCTTGAGACCGAAGGTTGGAGCAGCTTGTGTGAGGTATGTGTGTACTTTCAAATGAGTTGAACTTATTTCACCTAAGAGGGCCAAGACTTCACCTAAGAATATACATGACCAGCCCCAGTCTGATGTATATTATGTTGACACATTTCGGCTCCATAGATGCAGTCGACTTGCAAAGGAGTGTGTAGCTGCGCCGGCCGGTCGCAGAACAAATCTTGGACAAGGCTCGACACAGGCTGGCTGTTCAAAAACTGCAAAGATCGAGCAAAAACTCGACAGCTTAGTCGCTATACTGCAGTCTCGGGTTCCTTCAACACTGTCCCAGAAGGAGAACCTTCTAAGTCGTGGGTCTCTTACTGGCGGGGAAGCCCACCAAAATGTCACCACTACTAGCATTGAGGACGCGCTCTCCTCCACTCCATTTTCGTCACCCACTTCCCTCCATGCGCCAACGGGAGATCCAGAGGCTTCTCGTATATCACAAATGGAGCGTGATATCATAAGCCTTTTGGGTCAGGATGCTGAGAATGCTCTCGACTTCTTCCGCTGCCGTATCTTGCCAGCTTTTCCGTTCATGCATATTCCAGCCTCATTAACCGCGCGGGCTGTGTGCAAGACATACCCAAGCTTGTGGCTTTGCATCATATCCATCACTAGCAAATCATTGGCACAGAAAAGGGTCCTGGGAGACATGATCAGGAAAAATCTCGCTCAGGGAATACTGGTGGACGAGAAAAGGAATATGGATCTTCTGCTGGCGTGTATTGCGTACATGGGGTGGTTGGTATCCCCGGCTCCACTTGAGGCTTGACCTGTGGATGAATGTAGCTGAGTATTCACAGGGTACACCATCACATGAAAGAAGAACCTCGTCTAACTACTTGGGTGCGACTCGCAACGACTGTTATACTCGACCTGCGGTTAAATCAGTCACCTGCTGATGAAGCTCGCGAATCTCAAGCCAATGATAGTGTTGAAAAACGGAGGGCTGTTCTGGGAGCTTATCTGACTAGCTCAATGTCCGTTGATTGCCCGTTTCGGCCCTTTAGACTATTGGTCCCTTACTAACTGTTGATACCAGAGTCTGCAACTTCCAGAACTCCGAGACGCTTTTTCAGTGGACACCATATATGGAAGACTGTTTGCAAGATTTAGCGCATGCTCCTCAATGGATCGGTGACAAGGTATTGGTCTCGCAGATCAAATTTCACAGGGTCATTGATCAGATACCGTGCTCTCTACGTGAGAAACTGGAACCCGGGGTTATTATTCCGTTTGCAATGGCGTTGCATGGCCACCTGCAAGAAGTTCATACAAATTTGTCTCAGGATCTCAAACAAAACAGTATGTAGGGTGAACAAAAGGATCCTTTTTTTTTTCATCAATGCTACCTTTCGCTTACTCTTGACTCTAGATATAATATTACTTTACTTCCACAGTGTGAAGCTGTTGGTGGATGAGATAGAGTTCAACAGTTATGTGCCAGATGCGGGCAAAATCAACATTAATGCAAATGCTTCGCCAGTAACGCAAATGCAACGGCTACAGTGTCTTCACAGGTGCCTCGGCTCAGTTGATGCGTGGTGCAGCACATTCTTTAGCATGTCTAGCGACGTCTATTTCGAGTCGCCTTTCGCCGTAGTCTCTCATCAACTTAGCCGGATTCTAAAGATGCTTGTCAACCTGACATTCTTATGTGAATCCGGCTGGGATTGCAACGAAGTGCGGGCAAAGGTCGATCTTTTTGATACGATTGAAAATGTCGCGTCTGGCCTTGATAGACTTCAATATTTGCTGGATGGCGACGACGGAGTTGAGGGACAATCGGTCAAGGCGTCTAGGGCACTACGACTCAACAAATCGACCATTCAAGCGGAGTTCCTTTCCCGACAACAAAGCGCTTCAGGATGTGCGGGGGCTGATGGAGGGCAACTCAATCCACCAGAATTGTTTTGTGGCAATGCGGGGTACCCTCTGAATATCTTTCTTGACAACCAATGGACATCAGAAGCTTGGGAAAGTGTAGAAGTCGGAGAAGGATGGGTAGCGAGCGAGTAGCGAGCGGGTACTAACATAGATTTGCATCTAATCGTTTACACTGTAACATGTCTGCCTAATTTAACTGAATAAAAAAAAGAGAAAACACTTCAAAAGTCGCTACAACATTATGATACATCAAAATTGTACTTGAATAAGCTTTTACTTGTTGGGTAACTTGTGGCAAGGTCTCCAAAAGTTCCATCTGATAAGATTAAGTAGCTCCGCATCTTATCAGATCCGGAGACTTTCTAACGATTCGGACCTCCGCTACATCGCCGAGTCGTGTCTCCCGCCCGAGTTCCGGGGGCCTGCCCCTTGTTGCCTTCGGCGCGTGAACGCATGAGTCACATTCATAATTGCCGGCTCGGCTCGCGGCGGATTTCGTGAAAGCCATTGTGCATTTGCTCCCAGGGGAATATAATGTGACTCTGCTCGCTGGGGAGAAGATTTGGCGGTCTATCGGCTTGTCGCTGCTGGAATGCACTAGCCAAAGGGGGAGAACAAACGAGCCCGAGAAGGGAGGGGAACTGAAGTTTTAAAAGGGAGTCCATCCCCAATCTTCCATCCGCCTAATTATGTTTCAGAGGTCTTAAGTCGCAACGATGACTTCCCTAGGAGAAAAAGGCCCAACGGACGTCGAAGCCGGTGTTCAAATCACGGATAGCCAACAAGATGCAATGGAGTCTCGATTGCCGGATCAAGAGGTTTGTTATCCTAAACAACTTTATTGTTCCCGATATCTTACTTTTGTAGGTCACCTGGGATGGCCCCGACGATCCAGAGAATCCCTACAACTGGGCCCTGTCTCGAAAGATCTCTGTGGCCCTCGTCTGCTCGACTAGTCAACTCGTCACAACAATGTCAGCCAGTATGATTGCGCCGGCCATGAATCAAATCCTAAAAGATCTTCACATGAGCACGTCTGCTGGTCAAATTGCCTTTGGTGTTTTCTTCCTCGGGTTGGGTTTCACGCCCTTCCTAGTCGCGCCCCTCGCCGAAATGTACGGGCGGAAACCGATATGGCTGATTGGAAACCTTTGGTATATTATTTGGAATTCTCTTTGTCCCGTCGGCTTCTCTGCGGCTTTGATGATCATAGGGAGATTTATGTGCGCAGCCGGAGCGTGCGTTGGAGTTACCGTATGTATTCGATCTCGTCCGGGCAGGCATAACAACTAGCTAACTAGCATATAGTTAACCGGGCCAGTCCTTGCTGACATGTTTCCTGCCAAAGATCGTGGCAAATCTTTGGCACTCGCCGGACTGCTTCCCTACCTTGGACCTGCACTTGGCCCGATCATCGGTGGTTTGGCTGCCGAGCGTCTGTGGTGGCCATGGCTGTTCTGGATCCTCTCTGCCTTTGATGCTCTCGCTCTTGTGCTGGGCTTCTTCATTATACGAGAATCCTACGCACCAGTACTTCTGCGACGCAAAGCCGAAGCCATTGCAGAGCAAACTGCTCCAGATGGGGTACCGAAGAAGTCCGTGGCTGCTCGCTTTAGCATTTTTTATCAAGATTTATCGGCTCGCATAGGTCCGGCTATGAAGCGCCCAATTCGTCTCCTAACTCACCGGCCAATCATCCAACTTATCGCTCTCGCAATGGCTGTAGATTTTGGGGTTTATACCCTTGTATTGTCGACGTTCGCTTCGCTCTGGATCGATCAATACCATCAGAATGAGACCGATGCCAGTTTACACTACATCGCCATTGCCCTTGGTGCATTTGCTTGCGCCCAAGCAGGTGGCCGTTTAATGGACTTTATGTGGCACAGAATGAAATCGGCGAGACCAGATCGCGAGCCCACGCCCGAATGGCGGGTTCCATATGTCATTATAGGGCTAATACCATGCGTCGCAGGAACGTTTTGGTATGCGTGGTCAGCAGAAGAGCGCGTGCACTGGGCTGTTGTTGATGTAGGTGTTTTCTTCTTCACAGCAGGCAACTTTATGTTCTCACAAGGTTTGTTGGCCTACAACGTTGACGAGTTCACGAGCACGAGGGCTGCTAGTGCCAGTGCAGCCACTCGTCTGGGGACATATGTACTAGGTTTTGTGTTTCCTATCTTTGCGCCAGAATTGTACAAGAATCTAGGTTATGGCTGGGGAAACAGTCTTCTGGGCTTTTTGTACGGCGTCATGGGCATCGGGATTATTGCAGTTTTATGGATTTGGGGCGCGAAGATTAGGGCCATTGGGAGGACAGCAGAGGAGGAGAAAGAAAAGATGATATAAACGTAGAGTGTCTTGGGTATTTTCCAAATTAATATATTTAGTCTCTAAGTTACTTTTTGGTCAGTTCTTTACGCAATTGCTACCTCGTCCACGTAATCAAGGTTGCGTCTTCACTAACAATCTTCTTACTTGTTTTGTATCCGACTTGTCAATCTGTTGCTCGTCTTTTACTGCTTCTGCATGGTATGAAAATTGTCTACGTTACGTAAGTGTTTTCGCTTTATGCTCAATTGCAAGAGACCTTTTTTGCTACTTGATCCACAGCATCATTACCCAACATGCCCTATGTAGGAGGGATCCATCGTAGCTGCACCTCTTGTTGCTTGCAACTCAGGCCGTATAGCTGTAAGTTAGATCATCTACAGGTAGGTAGGTAGCTTATATTAGGCACATAAAGTTGTGGTATTGTATTGGCTCTTATTTGCTTATTAAAATGCAACTTGAGCTACTGTACAGATATGAGAAATGAGAAGAAACTGCCATTTTGACAGCGCTGTATTTACAATAAAGGGAGATTCATTTCAACACGCTCCTAGTTAAATTAAAGAGATCTATAATCTTCCATATATAGTTAATAAATCTGGTCTTCATTACATACAATCTTAGTTACGTGACTTGGATTAAAATTAACTAGATTACAAATATATTCTTCTCGTCATTTTATCTACCCTAAATACGTCGGAATTAAGTGCAAGGCGGAGTTAGCAACAAAGATGGATGTGATATTAGTCATCAAAGATTTGGTCCGCAGCGGAGGCGGAACTGCGCTCCATTATCCCGCACAGGTTGTCTGCTGCTCCTTGATTGTACAGCACATCTTGGGGAATAGTATAACATCAGGTGTTGCACTTTTGACATGAACATAACTAACAACTCAAGTAAATGCTAGCCTCGCCATTAGACTAATAGGTCTAGGGCTACGAGATGATTGTGTACTTGCTTTTCAACTGTTTATGTTTGCTTACTACTGCAATCAAAGAGACTTTTATAACTACCTGTTTGTTCCACTTTTGGTACCCAACTTTGCCAACTTTTCGCCTTCGGCTTCGTAAACAAATTAAGCTAGTGTTACGGCAAGGGTAAAAAGTGGAGGAAAGAGCATTAACAGAAAAGCGCGAATATTGTCATATGATGAATTTATTATAACTGATGTGTACTGTATTAGAAATCAAACCGTTCCATTGTTTACTTAGGCCTCTGGATGCTCAAAGCATATGGAACTCCAAGACTATTACTGCAACTGTATCTAGACCATCTTTTGTCCCTATTCACGAAGTCACACACTAGCTAAACTGCTATCTACAAATTCAACTATGGAAGGTCCGAAAATATTCATGTCAGTAGCGCTGGGCGCTCCCCATCTCTAGTCACTCGTTGACCTAAGAACAGCACTGGAGCCACGGGGTACATTGGCGGAAACGTATTGAGCAAAGTTGTCGAGACTCACCCCGAGTTTCAGATAACTGCGCTTATGAGAAATGCTACCAGCGACTTTACTTCCAGATATCCCAACGTTAGTATTGTCCAAGGTACCTTCGATGACTTTGAAGTCATAGAAAATGCGGCCCAGGACGCCGAAATTGTCATCCGTAAGTCACGCAATCCATCATTCTGTGTCTCGCCCGCTGATTGAGCATCTAGATACCGGCGATATTGACCACCCCGGCTGCGCAAAAGCAATCTTGTCTGGGCTGGCCAGGAAAACGTCCAAAAGCTTTCTCATTCATCTAACAGGCACTGCTTGCATCTCAGATATGAATGAGCAGTCTTGGGAAGGTAAAGTCAATGAGCACATCTGGGATGACGTTCAGGACATAGATGAGATCTACAACCTCCCCGAGACCGCGTGGCACCACGCCATTGATCAGTGGATCACGGATGCCAGCAACGACAAGGTCAAGACGTTGACCATTTGCCCCCCAGATCTGTATGGCCAGAGCACCACAGTCGGTGGCAGGACGACATACTTGGTGCCCGAATATGTGGCTGCAATTATGAAATACAAGGAGGCGTTCTATCTAGGCGAGGGACAAAACGTGAGAGCTGTTACGCACATCGATGACCTTACGGAGCTTTTTGTCCTCGTTCTGGAAAAGTATCTGGAGGGAGGTCAAGATCTACAGTATGGTAGAGAGGTACGTGAAGCACAGTCATCCTTAAGCTTGAAATATCACCGACACTTGGCTCAACTTACACACGCAGGGCTTCTACTTTGCGACCGCGGACGAGGTGGCCTGGAAGTCGACCGCAGAAGCCATAAACAAGATCGGCCAGGAGCAGGGTTGGTTGCCTGCTGGCACCCGAACAGTGTCTTGGACCAAGGAACAGCTGGCTGCGGTGCTTCCCGACCGGTCTGCGCTGACATTATATATCTGGGGTTCCAACAGCAGGGCCAGGTCGACAAGGGCTAAGAAGCTAGGATGGAAGCCGCATGGGCCTAGTTTTTGGGAGACGCTGCCCCAGGATTGCCAGGTAGCTGCAAACAAGCAGCCGTTTTCTGCCTTGGGTATAGTATAAAGTCAGAGCTCTATCTGAGCTCTATCTCCCTAGTTCGTTAATAAGCAATGTCAGAGTAGAGATTCTATTATACATATACTGACTTTGGTAAGAGGGCACTGCAAATAGCTTTGGTATAGTTATAGTGGTGTGTATTAGTAATTCCTTAGTCGAGACTTCAATCAAGCCCATGTAGACTTCTTATTGAACAAAGAACTAAGTCCTTGTACAAACTGGAACACTCTCTCGATCATGTAAATACTCCTTCACCAGAATTGCTTTCCTAACACTCTCCTCATTGCATATACTTGTACTAATATCACCCTACGTCGGTGGTGGATATGAATGTGAGTCGATGTCAAAGGGGAGAAGCGATGGAAATCCAATGTTCCAAGGGTCTAAACCACTAATATGTTGACAGTCTTCGTTCAATGCGTTGACTGGGCCATTTGATGTTGCTGAATCTGGTTATTGTAACTTCAAGACTGATTTCTTGGGTTTCTGTGGAATTAGTATCGGATTCAAGCTGGGTAAAGGACTGTCGCGAACTCACTAGCTGCTGGAGGGCGCTGCTGTATTGATTGGGCTGAAGACATAGACAGCAAATATGGCGTAGGATTTGAGAATGAGTCTGACGGCCTGGAACCGGGACTCGTTTGGCAACCAAACTCTTCGCGCCACGCCCAGAGCTCGTCATGAAGTACACCGGCTCCAAGACGACTTTGCACTTTCAAGTTTGGCTCTTGCCCACGCGAATCGTTCGAAAATAATGAATAGTCCAGAGCTGTACCAAAATCTTGCCTCTGTGACTGTTTGTAATATACGTCTGGGGCAGTCGAAGGATCTAAAATTTCTTAAAAATGATGATAGTACTAGTCGAAAGATCTGACACTGTTAGTGATGCGCTCTTTCCTAGGTTAGGCTCATGAAACTAACTCTTGGAAGAGATCATCAATCTGAGCTCCAGTCAGTTTTGTATCATAAAGAGATTGTGGGCTGCTTGTTGTTGTATAAGTGGAACGCTGTGCGTCCGAAGGTTGTTGAGGATTGGCGTCGGCAGCTCCCTAAGCCCTGGCGCTCTCTGATGGGAAGTTAATGGCTTCATCATGTTGGTTCGGTAATCATGAATCCCTCTCTGTGAGTTAAGCAAAGTAGACGTGGGAATTAATAATGCTTGTGGACTGTGGCCATGAGAAGTTGTGTCCGATGGGCGCAATGGACCTAGCGATTGGTTTCCGGCATTTCATCCCGTTACCACAGAGCCTAAACATGTATAAGATCCCCAAACACGTTGTATAGAAGCCTCTCGCCAGAATTAACAATTTCTTGTCTATTCTCTTGAAGGTAGTGTCAATTTGACAACTGAGAGATAGCCGAGAGCAGTGTACACAAGGCCCAAAGCCATCTTTGAGACCATCAGATCGCAACTATAGATAACGTACGAAGAGAACTGTTGTCAAACATCATAGTTTTAGATTAGTGCAACGGCAACACAGCCTGTCTTCATCACAAATTCCAGGGTTGAGATCCTTACTTTCTCCTGTCGGCATTCTTTACAGGCTATTTTCTTTCTTTTCTGGAGATGGCGATGGCTTTTACTTCCGTTCACCTTCTCAACCATACCCGTTTTAATTATCGTGTCTGCCCGGCTCATACCCAGATTCTGATCGTGTGACTTCAATATTTTAGGATACTGGTTGATGGGGTTACCCATCCGTCCACTTCCACGAGCGCTGCCTGCGCTCCGACGATCCATTGCATCCATTGCAAAAGGAGGTGGGAAAGACGAAGATGGGGGTTATGGCTTCAGCGACAACGGCAGATCGTGGTAGGGCCTCCTATTATTCTCGATCATCTCAACATTGTTTATTGTGCGCCCTTCCGATCGCGAGGGTGTTGATGTTGATTTTCCATATGCCTAAGTTTCTGGTGGATCAAGACTTGATCTCGTATAAGGGCAATTGTGGCAACATTTCATCAGCGGTGGGCCCGTTCGCAGTAGATGAGGGACTGTTGAGTAAAACGCGAATACTACATACAGCGCCAACGATGACACTGCAATAACTGAAGTAAAAATTTATAACACCGACACACAACGTATCCTATATGCGCATGTGCCAGTGGACAAGAAATCGGGTATCAGCATCCCTGCTGGCAATGCAACAATTGCGGGAGTGCCAGGCACAAGCGCTCCCATCTGGAAGGACTACAAAGATGTAATAGAGATTCTTGAAGAGGCTGAAGACTAAACGTTTCCTTAGGCTATTAGTGGAAGTCGCTTCAAAGGAATCATTCCAACTAGACGCACAATAGACACATTGAATGTTCAAGGGAAGAAAGTAGATTGCCCGATCTGCGACGTAGCGAATATCTCCGTCTTCGTGCGAGCAACAGACGTCGGACTCATGGGGTCAGAATTAGCTAAATACATCACTGCAAATGCCGAAGTCATAGCACTTTGTAAAGAGCCTAGGGGCAAAGCAGCACAGCTCATTGGAATGTGCGCGGATTGGGAGTTGGTTCACGAACAGTCACCCGGCTTGCCCTTCGTCGTCCTTATCACCCCTCTGACACACGGTGCTGCTGATTTGACGGTCTGTGTGATATTTATGAATCGGTGTCATGATTCCATTGCGGGGACAGCAGCTGTCGGTGTTGCTGCTTGTAGTCGCATCCCGAACAGTGTGTTGTCGGAAATCCTTAGAGAAGGCATCAGCGAACGAAACGTTGTGTAAATCGGGCATCCAGAGGGGATGATGCCAATTTCTATGAAAACCAGAGCCGCAGATAAAGCATTAGATCTAGTGGAATTTGACATGTTGACCTTTGAACAAACATCAAGAAGGATTATGAGCGGAAATGTATTCATTGTAAAACAGATCTGGAATGGAGATGGGCGGACCAGAAAAGAAATGCTTCCCAAAAACATGCACCTCCTAATGACAGGCGATATCAATCTTCTGAATGTCGACAATTCTACTGAGTCGTTTAGAAGAGTGGTAGACTCTTTAAGCGCGGCTGACATCGTCATCTCAAATCTCGAATGTGTCCTGGGTATGCCAGAACAAGCATACTCGATTCAACACGAAGAGTTTTTTGCAAATCCCTTTGACGGTGCCGAGGCTCTCCATCTTGGGAAAATTGCGGCCGTGGGTCTGGCAAACAATATTAATTACGGTGCACGCAATATCCTAGGCTCGATCGCGACACTCGACAAGGCAGGAGTTCCTCGTACAGGGGCGGGCGCCAACATTGAGGCAGCTCGTAAATCGATGATTATCGAGCGCGGGGTTCGCAAATATGGCTTTCTTCAGCGCACTTCAGTATACTAGCCTACAGACCATGCTGCAGATGCGACTGGAGCAGCAGTGACGCCTCTTCCTGGCCACACTGCGTATGAGGCTCACATGTACCGGTATCACTCAAAACCCCCCCGTCGATCGCCCAGGAATACCACCACTTGTTACTACTTGGGCAGATCCTGAGTATCTGGCCATATTCACGGATGACATTAAATCCTAACGGCCGCAGGTCGATGTACTTATTGCAAGCTGTCACTAGGGTCTCGGAAAAGAAGTGTTGATCTACATGGAGCAGATTGCAAAAGCGGCGATTGACGCTGGTGCCGATGTCGTAATTGGGCATGTACCACATCATCTCCTTCCCATCAACTTTTATAACCAAAAGCCACTTTTCTACGGTCTCGGCAGCTTTTCCTTCCGTATGGGGCATCTGGGAGTGGCGCATGGAGACTCGGAAGCCTGGAAGTCCACGAAGAAAATTCGGCGGGAGCCGCAAAAGTATCGCTTAGATTCGTTAGGCATAATAAGGACAATGAGACATACTTGTCTCCCCCAGAAGACGAGAAGGATACTGTCGCAATGTTAACAGCAACGTCCCAGAAGTATGGAGCAACCCTTTGGGCAGATGGTGATTCAATCTATACAAAGCCTTCTTAGAGGGAAACACATAATAAGACGCTGTAAATCACAATACTAAAGAAGCTACAAATGTCAATTACTGTAATGAAGATGTTGGTTATAGCGCTTGTTCATTAGTCACTGACTCACCTTACAGTATGAGCTCACTAATTACTACATGCATATTGTTTATTTAGAGGACTTGAGACATACACGCGAGTTATAGAAAAGTATGGGTTATAGAATGAAAATGCACTTACATGCAGGTTATAACAGTCCTCCCAACCGAGTCTATTGCCACTTCTGCGTGTCTACAGCTTGCGTCTCAATTTCACTGCTCTCCTAGCCTCGGGGATTTTTTTTGCAGCCCGCTTGACACGCTTTGTTTGGAAAACAGTGGAGGTAATTCGGGATTCTTAAACTAACGAGTAGATTCCCTGCGCACTAACTAGCTCGACGGGTTAAAGGATTTCCCTGGAGAATTTTAGCTCCTCGTATTTTAGGTATAGAGGAAGCTCTTAAACAGGGTATGTGAAAAATCTGCCGAAGGCACAGGCTATGCGTTTCTCTCATATGCTTCTCCTGCACTTGACTGCATCATAGCTAAGTGAAACAAAGTTCGCAATGACAAAAGCACTTTATTTCCTTCTGAACAAACAACATTTCTAAGGGTAATTTGGTACATGTCTGAGCAAAGGCGCAGGTGATGCTGAGCTAAAACGTCTCCAGCAGCTAAAGGAGGAAGAACCGACCCGCATAAGCCACGTTCACTGACTACCGCGTGCCGGCTCCCGAATATTTCCGCCACTTCGAGGGCTGTCATCCCCGATTCGGTCAGGGAGTGGAAAAGACACCGCACATCATACAAATGACGGTGACAGACCGGAAACGTTTTCTTCGGTCGCATGCCGAGCACGGCAATAACGGCAATGTCGGCACTTTGGTGAATACTTCATTGACCACCCCACAGCATTGTTACCATGGGGTATGGGGACCCCAGATAGATATCTCCAGACATCATGAAAAGTTGATAGGTAACTTGGAAGAATCCCAAGGCGCGGAGTGACGACTAAGCCATGAAGAAGATATATCAAGTGATTTGTATCTCTTGAACAAAAACTACGGATAGGACATGCTCTTCGCTGTAGACTCTGAGGTGCCTATTAACGCTAGGAATTGTTGTTGGCAATGACGACCTAAACAACAAGAACAAGATGTGGAGCCACATACGGAGCACATATGGAGAAGTTGTACAACGGAAAGATGGGGCTGCGTGAAAAAATAAAATAAAATGCTGGAGATATCCGCAATTTTCTCTACATTCATTTTCCCCCCGTACTCTAAAGATAACAAAGCACTGCATTTGCTGTACCTGTGTTGTGTTCTCACCATGGCTCGCTTTCTCGGTCTCAGAGGCTCGAAGCTGAGCATGGCCACAATCATATTGATTGTTGGTCCGGCATATTTTACATTTGGTTATAATTTGGCCGTTGCCGGTGGCCTTCTCACTTTGGAGTCGTTTGTCAAGCAGTTCCCTCAAATGGACACCATTAATACTACTGGAGCTCAGAATAAACTAAACTCCAACATTCAAGGTGCGTCAAGTTCTTTCCCACCTTTCAATCTTGGTATCTAACTCTCTTTTTCTAGGCGCCGTATCTGCTCTATTTACCGTTGGTGGTTTCCTGGGTGCCCTATCCACCATTCCCCTAGGAGATTTACTCGGCCGTCGTCGCATTATCTTTTTTGGTTCAGCATTAGTTGTCATCGGCGCTGTTTTGATGTCATCCTCGTACTCTCTGGCACAATTAATTGTAGCGAGATTGGTACAAGGTTGCGGCACTGGTGCCATCACTGCCACTGTTCCTGTATGGCAATCTGAACTTTCAGGATCAGCCCACAGAGGATCTCACGTTGTCACAGAGGGGCTTTTCATTGCCGCGGGTATTGCTGCCTCTCAGTGGATTGACCTTGGCTTCTTTTTTATTGGTTCATCTTCTGTATCATGGAGAGTGCCTCTTATCATCCAAGTCCCCTTGCCAATTTTGGTCATGATCTTTGTCTTCTATATGCCAGAGTCCCCCCGATGGCTTTTGCTGAAGAACCATCTCAAAGAGGCACGTGAGATTCTGTGTATCCTTAGAGATGAGGATGAAAATTCGTCGGCCATTCAGAGAGAAATTGCAGAGGTTGAAACGTCACTTGAAATGATTGGGAGTGTCTCGCGATGGGACGTGTTTAAGATGGGTGAAAAGAGGAACTTTCATCGTCTCATGCTAGGAATCGGAGGGCAATCGTTCTCGCAACTTTGCGGTGTCAACTCGATTACCTTTTATGCAACAATTATCTTTCAGCAACGCTTGAAGCTGGATGCTATTAAAGCAAGACTACTTGGTGGCGGTATGACGACCATTCAGATTGTTGGAGCCCTTGCGGCTGTCCTGACCATTGACCGCCTCGGCCGTCGGCCCTTGATGCTTATGAGCTCTGCCGGCATGTGCATTACAATGGTCATCATCACAGGAACTACTTCAACCACCAATAACCAAGCGGCACTGATCGTAGCCGTTGTCTGCTTCTTCATCTATAACATGTCCTACACGTTCGGATTCTTGGGCTTGACTTTTCTTTACTCGACTGAGGTGGCCCCTCCTCATCTACGTGCCAAGATTAGCGGTTTCTCTAACTGCATGACATGGCTGATGAACTTTGTCGTTGTTGAAGTTACGCCTACTGGTTTCGACAATATTCAGTACCGCTACTACATAATATGGGCAGTCATTAACTTCTTCATATTCACAACTGTGTTTTTCCTGTATCCGGAAACAAATGGCCGAACATTAGAAGAGATGGATGAGATTTTTATGTTGTCAAACAATATTTTTGATAGCCGCAAGCTTGCCATGAGCCTCTCCAAGAGAGAATCCGACCACGAGTCAATAGCCGAAAAGGTCACCGCTCAGCAAGTCGATCAATTAAAGTAGAGAAAGATTTTTGCTTCAGAAAAATTACTACAAGTCAAGATACATATATGCCTTTAGCCATGTATGAATCCGAGTTCATTCATTTATGGCTGAAGTACGCCCGCCTGTTAGTGAAGCCACTTAAGCTTTTGAATTATGCAACTTTAACAACTACCTTGCCCATATGACCTCCTTCGGCAAGGTAACGTAAAGCCGTCTTGGCCTCCAGAAACTCAAAAGTCCGATCAATCACAGGGTGAACCTCGGTCTCCTGGTACAGCTGCAGCATCTCTTCAAACCTATCTTTTGGCCCACAAACAATGCCTTTCAGGGTGACGTTTCGCGACAACGCGAGTACGTTTGTGTTCATTTGTGAACTGGCATCTTTGCCAGATACGTAACCCACACAGCTGATCTGGCCGCCAAAAGCGACACACTTAAATGACTTTGCCAAGGTATCGGCGCCACCACATTCGAGGACGACATCGGCTCCTTTACCATCTGTCATTTCGAGTACTGCTTCGTGCCAATCCGGATTCTTCTTATAATTAATTGCATAAGTTGCACCTAGCTGTTGTGCCCTTTTTAGCTTTTCGTCTGATGAAGATGTTACAATCGCTAATGACCATTAGCAGAGTACCAAATGTGCCAGTGAGAGTTTCCATACTGGTTAGTTGAAGTGCATGCGCCATTTGCAATGCTGAGACAGACACGCCGCCGGTTCCTTGAATCAGGACAACTTTCCCCCTTCCTTTCAAAGGAGAACCTAGGGGCTGAAATGTATTCAGAGCCATCCACGCGGTAACCGCTGCGACTGGCAAGGTCGAAGCCTCTTCATCCGTCAGATATTGCGGAACTTTCACAAGACCTGCGCTCGGGAACACCCGGTATTGTGTGAGACAGCCGGGTAATGGTGCTCCAAGGAGAGATTCAAAGTCTTGCTCTTTCATTTGGCCGGTGAGATGACTCTGCTTAAAAATAGCCATGACCCGATCGCCTTTCTGGTATGCACTGTTCCGTGACACCTTGATCACAGTCCCACAAATATCTGAACACGGGACGATGGGTTCATCTTTGCGATCTGCGCTAGGATGGAATCCGAAGGTACCAGAGCACACTGGTCAACAGTAATGAGTATTTAGTCCTGAAATAACGATAAGGCCTGGCCACATACCTTCTGTATCTCGATAATTGAGACTGACACAGTTGATTTTGACTAAGACATCGCCATCATCGAGATCGCTTGGTTCAGGGGTATCCACAAGTTCTAGTTTCTCTAGACCATCTTGACGGGTAATCCATTGTTTCATTGTGAATAATCGTAAATCGAACTGAATGTTAAAACAACTACTGGCTTGGAAGATTGACAAGATGAGAAGGGCTTAACAGATGAAATATACACGGACACTTTTCACCGTGGTGACGTCATGACTTGGTGAAAACGCAAAGGCGCAGTGTCATTGCTTGAAAACAAATACAAATACACTTCTGGATAGACGTAGTTGGTACAGTTCTATGGTCCGAAAGGAACAAGCGCTGGTCAGAAGAAATGGTTCCTTCCTGGAAGATGCTATGATTTGTAAGTATAGACGTCATACACGGCTTATGAAGCCATCAGCGATAGCTCACTCAAAACAACGATTGTCGATTCTTTCATTCGGGCTAGTGTTTACCCCGGTTTTCATAAGCTATACACTAGGAATGCGTCGCATTCCCGCAGAGATAAATGTGGGCTTTCGTGCACACGATTCATAACCTTGATTTCATTTTCACGGCGTAACCACAACTTGAGGCTCCTGTCACCAAAATTATTTCAATGACATCTTGTGACCATGAAGGAAGCAATAGTTACTGGGCTCGAAGGTGATTCTTTAGAAGTGAAAATTCACGAATCCCCAATCCCCAAACCAAACTCCACACAGGTCTTAATCAAAGTGATGGTATCTGGTTCGAATCCGAAAGACTGGTAATGCTCACACCAATGATAATCGAAAATTCCGATTAACAACTTTCATTGACGAAACATGTAATAGGAAAGGACCAGCTCGTATCCCGGCACAGAACAACACAAATACAGGCGACGATATCGCTGGAGTCATCGAGGCTGTCGGTTCATCGGTTGTTGAGTTTAGGCCTGGTGATCGTGTCGCAAGCTTACACAAGCTCAAGACCCCACATGGATCTTATGCTGAGTATGCATTAGGCGAGGAACATAGTACGTTCATGCTGCCAAAGAACGTGACCTTTGAAGAAGGGGCGACGATCCCACTGGCAGCGATGACTGCCGCAATCGGACTGTTTAATAGTCTTGCTTTGCCGGAGCCTTGGTGCCAACATGAGACATTGAGAGAGCAGGTGAAAGGTGGCGTTGTGGTTTACGGCGCCGCCAGTGCTGTCGGATCTTTTGCCATCAAGCTCTTACGAAAGGCTGATATCCACCCCATCATAACTGTTGCCGGAAAAGGCATATCGTTTGTCGAAGGCCTTATTGATCGAAACAAGGGCGATGTGATTATTGACTATCGTGAAGGAGATGACGCTATAATCAAGGGGATCAAGCAGGGCATCAGGGATGGAGAGTCGTTGAGATATGCCTTTGACGCTGTGAGCCAAGGTACTAGCTACTTGAACATTTCAAAAGCTCTTAAGCCAGATGGGGCCCTGACGACGGTTACACCAGGTAAAACTTCCGTTTTTAGCTTCATTTCTAGGGCATTCTAACAAACAATGTGAAGGACACGACTTTTCGGGGCTTCCAGCTAGTATTCGTCTCGTTCAGACCAATGTGACCATGGCTCATACGACCTACAAAGACTTTGCTACAAGTTGGTTCAGGCTGTTCTATTACGGCTTGAAAGACGGGTGGCTCAAAGGCCACCCGTACGAAGTTATTCCAAGAGGCCTCGAAGGATTACAGCACGGCCTTGAAAGTCTGAGAGATGGTAAAGCAAGTGGAACTAAATATGTTTACAGAATCGGTACAATGTAAAAGTATTAGCTTGCGCTAGCTGAGTATATTAAACTTCAAATATTGCATTTAGCTAGATATGTTAGTGAACATTAGAATGTTTCTAAAATAAGACTCTCTAATATTTCCTTATGTACTATATTTCAACAAGTATTGTCACTGCAGCCACTGGGCCTTTACATCTGCTCTACTCAAGTCACATCGTAGGGATTACCTGTTAAGAGGCTGATATTGATGCGCGATCCCACAAAATAATTAATTGGAGCAACAATACGAAGGGAATGAGTGAAAACTCTGATGCGCCTTAAGATAATAATGGCCTCTTCTTGGGAACTGTGGTGATCAGCAGCGAGATGGAGTGGCTTGGGTGAATTATCCCCGAGAGCGTTTTTTAATCTTGCTTGCACTGCTTTCGAAAACTCTATTCAATAGAACCATGTAAACACTAGAAAAGCAGTAAATCTTATTGATCTATCGATTACTTTTAAGCTATCAATTATTCTTCAGCTATTAATTATTCTTCAGCTATCAATTACTCTTCAGCATATTATCCTCTTAGCTATTGACTGCCCTTCAGCTCTCCACTACTCCCTAAGCATCGACAGACGGCCGGCTACTATCTGCTCTTTGGCTTTTTCTTCTTGCTCCGATTTTCGCCTGCTTTTGAATGACCAATTCGATGACCTTATAACGTAAGAGCTTAGCGAGGACAGCTCGTTCGATAAGCTTTTTAATAATCACTATTTAATCCTGTCGCATACGTGGATTAATGTCCGGTAGCCTCTTTATGGCAGTGCCAATATGTTTGCTTTTCACAAAGCGCGTTGCTTCAGCTTTTCTTTGGTTCATACTACTGTTTGCGACGTTCTTTGCGCCACATTTCATTGCGTTATCAGAACGTTGTCCAGCTCGGCCGATTTTGGTAAATCAGAAGCGCGTCAACATTTCTACGCTTCCATAGTGTATAAGAGCGACTTGTTTCAAAGTCGTTATTTCTTACTTAACTAACTCCGGCCGATTTTGGAGACCTGATGACAACTTGGCTGAAGTCAGCTACGGACTAGTCTATACTACGTAGGCCTGGGTACTTGGTTGTTGTTTTCAGCTCTACTGCCGCTGGAATATTTGCATTGTGGCGGCGCAATCGATTGCAGCTAAAAGCGTAGAAGCTATTGATCAGCTTAACTCATTCACAACACAGCTAAAATGGGTTCGGAAACCAGACATGGGCATAGGGGATGTGATGGTATAGTGCTGCTTGTTTTTTTATCTGCAATTAAATTGTCTATAAATTAGGAACGTACTCTCTTGCACTCTGAGATGTTGCCCTTCCCTGCCTAAAGCCAAGAGAAATTGTTTTTGATCCATCACTGTTCACCAGCCTGGCCGGTTGTGCGTCCTTTTTGTACAAAATTCTACCTGCAGACGCTGCTATTTCGACGAGCAAGAATTAAAAGACAGCCATGCCTATTAACCACACATCAGAATGGGGAGATAAGCTTGCGGAGCTGGCCGTTCAGGAAACTGCGGCCCCCCCTCCAGCGGAAAATGCAGTTAATGCTCAACTAACGGACATTGACGGCACTGGGATCGCCACCCTAACAAGCAATCTGACAAAGGTCCCTAGGCCATACGGCGGCTTCGCCCTCATCTTTAAGCACGGCACAGAGTACAAGGACTTTGAGTGGCTCCAGTTCATCACGCGGCAACTTGTTGTTGATGATGCCGCCATAACAGGCAACTTAGTCATGAAGGCAAACACGACTTCCTACCAACTGGTAAACTCAGCGGTGGAGATTACAGACTATTACTTCGCATCGGGGTCAGAGCCCTCCAACTGGAGTACCTGCTGGAAAGTAGACTCTACTATTCTTCCACATCCCAAGCCCTTCTTCCGTGACAGTTACGAATACGCCATCTCCGATGGTCATAAGTTGACCGCTATTATGGACGCTCCGGGTGTTATGGCCGGAAAAAAACCGACAAAGGCAGAGAAGTCCATGTACGAAGATGTCCCAGACGGTTTGGTGGTAATGAAGGATGCGCTAGGTACCAGCGACGGAGTCTCTCGCGCCTACTTCTCGGACTACCTCGTGAAAAAGGTCGGCAGCAAATGGCGTATCTACGCCCGCTTTGACTTCAGCTTGACATGGGATGCAAGGGATGTGGACAAGAGCAATTTCACGCTACACTCTCTGAAAACCACTAAAACCTCGTCGCTGCTCGATTGCCACATGGCCGCTCTCATGCACAAGACGACGCCGGGCAAACCAGGCCTGGCGTCCAAAGAACCCTGGAAGGGCTTTCGTGACTCCATTCTCCAGTGAGCCAACTCCGGGTCGGGCGTGGGAGATATGCGGGGGCAAGACTATGGGATGGCACACGGATGGTGGCTCGTCCAGTTTCTTCACATGCCGAAGACCCAGGCACTCGACATACCCGTGGCTCACTCTTGTACCCTTTCCGCGATACAGAAGTAACCTAGGGATTGCAACAAAGAATTGTAGAACGATATAAGAGACAACGTAATAATATATTAAAGAATCACTACTACAATCGGTACAATACTTGTGATCTTAACATTCGAGGATCAGATAAACGATATCCTGGGGCAGTCCGAGAACCGTTTTACCTAGGCTTAAATGGGTAATTTTCAAGGAAGCCTGGGAATAAGGTTTGCGTGTTAAATGAAGTAATGTAGATTCGAGATAGTATTGGTATTTTCTGTTCATAATCGTTGTTACACTCTGACCTGCCTGAAGCGAGTTTGCAAGCTGTTTTCGTTGTGCGAAGGCTTCGTCCCGAGTTCAGCATGTGGGGGGTCAGTAAATCCATCTTATAACCGACTATCCATTGATCAGAAGGCGTGCACTAAGGCGATGCAAGCACCATGCTGCAGAAGAATCTCCAATACACTCATAGTTAGAGAGGATGAGCATAGACGCCAGGATCCACTCAACCGTCTCCAAATCCAGAACGTCTCGTGGTTCTTTACTACCCAAGCACTCTGTGACTCTGGATAATTCGTGCGCGATGCTTGAAACGACGACATCGCAGGCTTTGGGCACGAATGTACGAAGCAAGGGCTCGGTAGCGCGCATCAGGCTGCATGAGAGAACATTGATGACCAGTGATATTCCTTGTTTTCAGTTGACTAGTGTTTTATTATTCTCGTGGGAATGTGCGCCAAGGAAGCAGCGATGAGCTCTTGAACGTTCAAGACATTCTTTTTTAAAAGAAATAGACTAACACAGGATGTAATTCCAACAACTCCCACGGCATTCAGCGTCATGGTGACTATGTTCGCATTTCACGCTTGCATCCCCAGATGACAGATCGCCAGCCGTAATCGAAACCATGCCCAGATTCTCCAAAGTCTTTTCGCTTACGTGAATCAATCTTTGACACATCGAACCATTCGTTCTTGCCAACAACCGTGGTGCTTATAGAAAGGGAGTGGACGATTGTGTTCTTTGAAGAGATGGCGACGGGGTTGTTATCGATGCCTTTGCCAAAGTTACCTTCACTATATGCGCCAAAACTTAGGTTGTAGTATCTTACTGCGCGATATATCACAGTTTGTTTATCTTGATGAGTACATTAGAGCTTATAATCCGCTTTGATCAGATCCGCAGCCTATTCCGCGATAGCATATGCCGTACTTATAATGTTATCTCGAACGTAGCCTATGGCATATTTTTTCGTTTGCATTTTCTTCGCGTGTCCCTCTGCGTCTCCTCAGGGAATTCTTGGCAGATACTACCTTGTATTCTGTGAGACCTTTCTCGGATGACCTTAATTGATCCAAAGAATCGCCATCATAAGATTAGCTCAAAATGAGTTAATTTAAGATCCTTCCTGTTGTTCTATAGCTCTTTGAATAGCTATTGGTGCCGCCCTGTTCAACCTGCACTGCCATTGGCCTCCTTTTATAATGATCCATCTGAGTCGTCGGCTAGGCAGGCTTGCCTAAGATCATCCCAATGCTTCATTGTTTCAGGAGATATAGGTCGGGGAGGTTTTGGTACGTAGTTCTCTGGTGCATAGTAAACAACCTCCAAGAATTCAACATGTAGCGATTCATATCCGATCATTCCAAGATCTTCCAGATCGTCAAAGAAGCTCACCATAACGTCCCCCGTCGGCCTTCCGGGTACTTTATTTATCGCCTTTTCTTTAAAGAATCGTTCTCCTGCCTCGTCAGTGAACGAGAAGAAAAAAGCCAATCGCCTTGCAGTTTGTCCCTGGTATTCACAAGTCCCCTTCATCCATGCACGAAGCTGGGACTTGAACGCCGCCCAGGGATTTTCAGCTGGGACTTCATCATCCTCAAGGTGCCAGTGAGGCAGCCCTCTAAACGCTTCAATAGAGGAGATAGCTTCCTGATCTAAATCTGCAGGGAAATAGATTGTGAGGACCTCATAAAGCCTTTGTGGAGGGAAAATCGGGTTTGCGCGTATGATCGTCCCACTCCTCGACCAGGCAAATTCTTGGCTCCATGAGCGATGCGAAAGGGCTCCATTCAATTTGAGGAAAAGCTCTGAGGTAAGAAACTCTTCCCTGTGTTTGCTGCTTCTCCATTCTAGTAACTGGTCAGTCATTGGATATTTAGAAGATGGCATGGCATCCTCTTATATCGAAAGGTACGCTGCTTGCCGATAATCAACCACTCGATTCCGCTTAGTTCACGTGGACGGCCTCTAGCGATAACTATGCATGCTCGGAGTTTGCATATCTCTTGGAGGATGGCAAAAAGTTCATCCCCATTTGGGATGACGCCACTGGGGGGATCTTTGAGCGATATCCATTCTAATAATCTGCATGGCTGTTCTGTTGGAAATGGATCTTTGCCATTTGGTTTTGTGGTACTAATGTTGATAGCCTGCAAGTTCTTCCGTTGTTTTGAAGTGCGCTTTGTTGTAGTTTTCTTGGCATTTATTTTACTGGCTTGGGCAGCCGATCGAGTAATAACAGGCATACTGTAATGGAGGAACAAAGTAATAAAAAATAAATAGAAAAAAGTGAAGGAGCACTTAAAAAAGAGGGGTTGGTTAGATTTAAATAAATACCTACTCCTATTTGAATGTTCTGGCCAATAAATACACGCTGTATTAGGCAAGGCCTAGACACACTAAACTTTCTGAAGGCCATGCCGTGCCATGAATGTTCCCAGGATGCTAATAGTGGTAGTTACTTTATACCTATATACATGTACACAGCGTTTCTATAGCGGGCTGTATTGAAAGTACCCGGCAGCCTAGGTACCTGGCACTGGTACAGGCTGCTTCCTTGTTCCCAAAGTTATGTTATAACTTATATAGCTATTACAACTTACTATTAAAATATACTTCTGAATAATACAAAATAAATTTATAAGAATATTCTTTTACACCTTATAAACACTTTATTTTGCATTAAGACCCAGGAAAGAGGCATTTATAAAAATTAAATAAGTTATAGCTCCCTCTTGTTACTAAAGCTCGATTACTAAGTGTGCCAAAGAAACTTCAAATACTAAAGTGCAAGTGTACAAACCGCCCAGCTCTCCCCAATGGAGCAAGTCGGTGTTGCTTCCAGAATTTTGACAAACAACGCTTTTAAAAGGCGCGCATGTGCAAATTGCACCGTCGTGAAAACGAAATGCACGCGGCCTGCCGGTGACCATCACTGCGAACGATGCAGTCGCCTCGGAAAACATTGCGTCTATTTCGATCTACCTCAGACAAGGCGCAAGCAACGGATGACCAGGTAAGCCTTGTCTGCTCGTCCGTCAGTTGTCTTTCATGGCATAGTATTTCGTCGTCTGTTGATATGAGTCTAACTACATGTCTCATATTGCGCTCTACAGACGGCTCGAGGGGCTTGAGTCCAGGTTTGATGATTTTGTAGCACAGCTATCTTCGCCTCTGAGGGAAGGCAGCAGCAGCAGCTTCACAGATGACGCTACTTCATCGCCGAGCGTCAGGCCAGTTGACCGGCTGGTTCCAAGTTCTGCTCTTTCTCTGCCTGTAGCGGGTCGTTCTGGACCATTGCAGTCATCCTTCTGGAGATCGACAATCCCTCCACCATATCAGGAGATGCCTACCTTCACGACTGGCGCTTCTAGCGGCTATGTTGACATTCTTAGTCGAGGCATCCTGACCGAAGAGCGTGCAGAGGTTCTACAGTCGGAATTTAGGCTTCACCACACACCTCTATTCCCATTTGTTGTCCTAAGCTCCGAAACGACGGCAAATAAGATGCGCCAGGAATCGCCTCTACTCATATCAATTGCGCTTTGTACAGAACCACCGCTGCAAAGCTTCTCGGCGAGGAGTTCCAGGCTATAATTAGCTCACAGCTCATGAAGCAGATTGACAGTAGTTTGGACGCCCTGCAAGCTCTTCTGGCTTTCACCGCTTGGAATCATTATTTCACCGTGTCTCAGGATCATACGCAGCTCTTTATTCAGACACAGCTATGTGTTACTTCGGTCTATCATCTAAATCTCTATAAGGGAGGCGCAACAACTTCAACAGAGATCCGCGCGCTTCTAGGCACATACTATTTGTCAGCTTGGTAGGTGTTTCAATATTACCACAGCATTCGCGTCACAATTCTTTTTGCTATACATCTCCGACTAGCTAGCTAATTGATACCATTGCTACTGGAAGTGTTTCTAGAGCGCTTCGAAGGTCGCATGTGATGAAGAATAGCAAGCGTATAGAAGAGTACTGCGATCGCCTTGTGACGGTCCAAGAGTACGAAACAGACCGATTTATCAGGCCACTTGTGCGTTCGGAGTCACTATGTTGCCGACTTAGCGATACCTTTCGCTATGACAAGTTAGAAGCTAGCAATTCAATACATAGCAATGCAGCCGTGCGCGCCATGGTTGACGGTTTCTTGAACGAGCTAGAGCTTATTAAGATGCTCTCTACAACAGGTATACCCCCGAGGGCTCGCATACGCCCAATGGATTCCCTCTTCATCCAGATTTAGAAACCGAAGACTGACTCTCAACTCCAAGATGCCAGTCTCACTGAGATAGAGTTCAGCTACATTCAATCCTACATACAAGAAGGCGCATTCCACCACGAGCTCTTGGTTACTAAATCACTGCCGGCGGTTCAGGATAAAGAGCAGTCAAGACGGGAGGCCCATAGCGGTGAGTTGCCTGTTTACAGCCCTGTCAGAGCCACGATGCTATGGCAGATGCAGGATTCCAACAAGACTTGCATACGCCACTTTTTGGCCACAACCGAGACGACAATGCTTCGCATGCCACATACTGTGATTTTAAGGCTTTGTTATGTACTTGCCAGCCTTATCAAGCTCACATTTACCGGGATAGTTGGCTCTTCAATGCCGGCGCAATCGGAGGCAGCTTTTATTTCTTCACAACAATATCCATACAGGTCCAACATTGCCCATCCAATAGCGCAGCTCACATCCGAAAGTGCCGACGCTTTACATCGCATCGACGAGATGGCTGCAAAAGTTGAAATTTTCTTAAAATCTCCCTTCGCCGCTCTCAATGGTAACCATGCCATTGTAAATGGCTTTGCATTGAAGCTTAAGAGACTTTCCAGCGCATACCGCAGCAAGCTTCAGAATATCAACGCAGGATTGTATCCCTCGTCAGGTCACAGTGAACCTATGGTTGACTGCCTTAAAGATGGAAGTTTAGGACTAGCCCGTCCTGTGCAAAATTGACCAGCTTCAGACAAACAAGTCTTTTGATGGAAGACAGACTGAACGTACTCAGGAGAGGACAATATATGCACAGCCGCACTTCTAGACGCTTCCCGAAGAGGCGCAAGCATTTAACTTTGATGAAAGGGACTGGGATTTCATTTTGGCATCTTTCACTCTGCCAGTATGAAGACCGCACAGCTTTGAGTATTCTGATTTGTTGGAGGAGGCGCGTAATAAAGCAATGACGACTTTGAGTCGAGGCCAGAGAAAATAGATGAACACGAGCCACTTCGGCAGTCCACGCAGTCATAACACCTCGCGTTAAAAGAAGTTCTGTGGAAGCATCAATAAGGTTTCGTGAAATTCGTGAACTCTTAGTTCGTCTTGCATTGTGAACCAAGAAACATGCTTGTTAGGATGCCCGTGTAGATGGTAGGGCCTCCAGCCTCTGCGAGCATTTTGTATCGTTGTGCAAGCACGACTAGGTAGGCGTCGGGCCAATCATCTTGAAAAAGTGCCTGCGCCGCTGGATGTAGCATGTCCAGTGTGTACTGAGAGGGGATAATCCGTCTTACAGCGGCCTCTTGAGCCGCTGACAAAAGTAAGGGATCAATTTGCATGGCAATACCCCCAGCTATAGCAGCAATAACAACATCGTGACCCTTGAGGCTTTGCACCAAAGCTGGATGGTCATCGTAATCAACTGAGACAACTGAAGGCTTGTTTGGTGACGACAGAGGAAGTCCGGCTCTGAAAGAAAACTCTCTGTTCCGTTTGTCTTCGACCGTGTGAGAACAGTTACCTGGAAGACGTGATCGGCGGACTCGAGAAGGTTTCGAAGAAAACAGGCGCCAAGATTGCCAGATGCACCAGCAAGAACAATCTTCCTGACAGTCATGTCACGCTAGAAATTAAACAACAGTCGAAACACTGCAAAAGAAATCAGACTATAGCTCAGAGTCTACCAGCGTTCTGTATACCAGATCTAGTATTAATTTGACAAGCGCATGAAGTGTGTTCATGCAGGAGCAGTCCTATATCTGCCTTCTATTTATGCAGCAGTGATCATAAGACACTTTGCATTAGTGGTAGCGAGACCCACTACAGTCAACAATCACTAAGCCCATACCCTACTGCTACTTAGTTTTCTGATGCATCTAGAGCCTTGCGGCGTTAATACAAGAGCTCAGACGGACGGCTCCAACGGATCTTCCGAGCAGCCGACCCGATCTCCTAGTCTAAAACCTGCATAGGTGTTCAACCATCTTGGATCTGTGGAGTGGAACACTTACAGGGTAAGCAAGCAGCTTGGGAAAAACAGTTATCAGCACACAGAAGCACACAGAAGCACATATCAACCTAGCTCAACACCTGGTAACATTGCAATCATTATCCCTATGTGAGCACGTATTTATTACGAGACCTGTCTTATCTTCCAGTCTGTTTGTCAAGGGAAACTAAAGCGCGGCGGCTATCCATAGTTTTTCGTCTTGCTCGTCGGATCGGGCTGGGCATTTCGCTCCGTCGGCCGTCGGGCGTCGGGCCTTCCGTGCCTTGTATCTATTAATAGCATGTTTCAGGGGACCAATCAGCAAGAACTAGTAAAAAAACAAATGGGACTCAAAGCTGTAGGTCTCGAAACAACAGTGCCTTTCGGGGTCTCATGGATGGAGCCATGCTTCATGTTCACCAACTCCATTTGTAGGTATTTGTAAGCCATCCAGGATATTTTGTTGCTACCACCGGGGGTATCATTTGTAAGAACGATTAATAGTTGGAGCGACTGTTGAATACCTATAAGAAAGTGATATCACCCGTTCAACATATTACTTCAATCAACACAAGTCCACGCAGTTCCAGAAAGCACACCGTCCTTTATCAAATCACAAAGCACAAACATGGCTTCAAAGACCTACACTATCCCAAAGGGCTCTCTGATTCTTGTCACTGGCGCAAACAGCTACATTGGCTCGCATATAGTCGATTTCTTATTAGAGCTGGGTTACAATGTCCGCGGGACTGTGCGAGCCCCAAAACCGTGGCTCAACGAACTTTTTGAAAAGAAATTCGGCAGCAATCGGTTCGAAACTGTCATTATACCTGTGCTAGAAAAGGAGGGCGCCCTTGACAACACGATGAGTGGGGTGTCAGGAATAGTGCACGTCGTACGTACAGGTATCAAGTGCAGATAAAATCCATGCAGACAGAAACTAATTGCTTGAGATAGGCCAGTGACACGTCCCTGAATCCTGACCCCAATGAGGTCATTCCAAACGTCACAAAAGGGGTTCGGAATATTCTCGAGGCTGCTTCGAAGCAGCCATCTATCAAACGGTTTGTCTTGACGTCTTCGTCTAGTGCAGCCTATTTCCCAAATCCAAGCCAGAAAGTCATCATCACTGAGGGTATGCATGGGGATTTAAAAGAACACTCTTCCTTTGACGAACTTGTATCTAATCATGCTCCAGAGACTTGGAATGAAGTAGCGCTTCAAGCAGCTTACAGTGCAGCCACGCCACCTGAACAAAAGCCTTTTATAGTCTACGCAGCCTCTAAGTTAGAGAGTGAACGCGCAGCTTGGGAGTGGTTCAAGCATAGCCAGCCGAAATTCGAAATGAATACGGTTGTACCGTGCATGAACGTAAGTAAAACATCACCATCTCTCTTTCTTATTACTGATTCTCGAGCCTAGATTGGACAAATCCTCTCCCCCGAAATACCTGCGTCGACGATGGGTATAACTCGCAAGCTGCTTGAGAATGACGATACGGCTTTCAAGTTACTCCCTTCACGTGAGTTCTGCACTGTTTAACTAAAACTAGATACTGATAATGATAGAATCGTTCGTGGATGTGCGAGATACGGCACGTCTTCATGTAATCGCTCTTCTTGACTTGGCGGTTACATCCGAGCGAATTTTTGCTTGCGGAGTTCCCTACAAATGGGCTGATGTAGTCGCCATCTTTCGCAAAGCCCGCCCACATAGACAGGTTCCTAACCCACCAAAAGATGATGCCGTTGACCTGAGTGTGGTAGAACCTGGCAAGAGGGCAGAGGAGCTACTGAAGAGTTTTTATGGAAAGTCTGGATGGACTAAGCTTGAAGACAGCCTTTTGGCTGCGATAGTTGATATTGAGTAGCGGAGTAGATACAACTCTATCTTATCTGAAAGATGAGATGCGGTGTTCACGTTGATAAATACCACTCGATGCTAGTGACTAAACAATCGTTCAATTTAATAGGCAGTTTCGTACTGCTCTTTTACCCCCACTGGATACAAGAAGATAAGACTAAAGCTTTGTTTCCTTTGTTTCCATTGTGGTTTGAGATTACCGAAGCGCTTCCCGTGAAGTTATGGGAGGATCCCGCGCCATCAATAACGCCCAGCTAGTAGTGGAACGGTACGAGCCGATCTATCAGCCACTAGCAACCCCAGAATCGCTAATACAATGTAGTTAGATACCTCTGTCTTCTGGCTTTAGCTAGCTACAAAGTTTTAGCCAGCCACAGTGATGTGCTGAAGCTAGTTAACAGGTCTCTCATTGGTGTATTGACGAGAATATCTAACGCGTGCTTCACATTTTAGCTACAATCATTTTGCATGTGGCAGGCTAAACGGCAGAATATTCTTGAACAAATACAAGTCTTTATCATGTGAATCCTGATCAATCATATCATCAAGTCTCTCCAAGAATAGCTACATCCTTTCTGGGCATTCTGTAAGCCAGTATAAGGTCTTAAGAGCTCCCAAACAAGCACAAATTCTTGAGATTTGCTTGGGACGATCTTTTGCGTTACTACTATAATTTTCAAGGGGTTCCTAGATGCTAGCTCTGGCATCTTCTGCTTTACGTCGTTTTGAGCTTTCATACTATCTTCTGATGTATGTCGTTAGTGGCAGCTCTAGTTACGGCCATAATTAACGTCAAATTGAGTTTATTCTGAACCCCAGCCTCCGGCCTGTCGTTTGTAATTGCACCAAAAGTAAGGGGCCCGTCTCCCAGACCTGCAATCGGATTATCCCTAACATTAATTAGGCTGTAATAAATTCCACTAACCATATCTCTGTACTAAATCTCTCATTATATCAAGGACCCTGTTAAGCTCATTAGCTGCTAAACTAGACAATAGGCTAAGAATAACTTCACTATGTGCGAAGTGTCTCATTATCAACAAAAAGCGCTGATACATGTGTATCAAACCTCCTAACTTGAAATTAGTTACATAGATCAGGAAATAGGAAAAGAATTTTTGAGTATCTCACAGCCTATAGAGGTCTAGGCGGCCTTCAAAATCCTCTTCCGGCGGCGAAATCTGGACGTATGTATTGTAGGCAGCAACGTACTCATCCCCAAACCTATTACAAGCTGGTCGCCACTGGCCAAACTCATCTTCAAATTCAAGTGCTTGAGCATGGATAACCGCAAGTGTTTCATAGGAGAACGTACATTCGTTGTGCGCGAAGAAGCAGCACGAATCAAAGACAAGAGGCTGGTCGCTGTCGAAATCAATCCCTGCATTTGCGTACCAAAGGTCTCCATGAACAAGTGAAGGTTTCACTACTCGACCGTCACTCTCGAGAGGCCTTAGGAGCCTTGGGATGACCTTTTCGAACAGAGCACGGGAGAGGACGTCGAGCTCCTCACTAGAACCTTTCCTTTCAATCTCCAGGTCAAGCGCCTGTCTCATGGTCTTGGCGAAGAATGTCTCCCAGCTATCTTCCCATGCCACAAACTGAGGTAGGTTTCCTGCGTAGGTGGTGATGTGGAATCCGAACTTGCCAGTAGGCGATACGCTTTTCTGGTGCAGTGTTGACAGAAGAGCGGCAAATTTGTGAGGGTCAGGCATATCGTCAGTCATCTCTCGAAACTCGCAGAGGAAGAAGTGGGTGTCTGCTATCGTCCTGTAGGTGCCGCAAGCGATGGGCCTCGGGACAAAATCTGGCAGAACGTTGTGCATCGCGCTCATTGAGTGGAATTCGCCCCTGGTCATATTCATGCCTAGTTCTTTCGAAATGACCTTGATGAAGAAGGACTGCGGTGTACCATTGCGGAGCCGAACATCGAGGCGACCTGTCTGCGCCCAGAAGCTTACGCCATGGTTCTCAGTTGATGTGACCTTGCATCCTTCCGGCAGTTCTTAGGAGGCAGTCAATATAAAGACGATCTTGGAAGTTCGCCAAGAGCTTGTAACTTACCCCTCAACACGGCTGGGTCTATTTTGATATTGCCTTCCCCGAATTCAAGGCCATCTGCGCCGTTGTAGTTCATTTTGTGTCAAAGAATGTGCTGAATCTATTTAGCGTCCCACTGGTCAGAGATCATCAGGCTCTAGGAGACGTGAGGTTTATTATAAGCAGCTTTCTAGATACCCACTATCATAGTCGAGTAGCCAATTGCGGGCAAGCTCCCTCTCTCAGTGGCTCGAGTCCTGCTGAATCCACCCACCGCAGGACGCGATCTCGAAGGAGAATGTCACGGGGCGACGTATGGACGCCGATTCTCGCGAGTAACGCCACACAATACCACTGCCACGAATCTTTTCAATTCTAAGTTTCTTTTTTATCAAACAGTGGTAAGAAGCATCCTAGGCGGTGTTAATCAATGGGTAAGAATTATCTAAGGAGCAAGAGCTTCTTAAGACACACACTAAGGCTGCAGCTCGTCTTAAAATAACGATAAGAAGGTTAAAATAAACTAGAGCCGAGTAGTCGGACGGGCCGTTCGGTTATTTCGGCAACCTTATTCTTTTTCTTAGCTAGCCCTTTCTTAGTCTTCAATGCCCATTCATTGAGATCTTGGTGATTCTGTCACGCCAATGTTCAACAGGGAACACGACCTCAACACCGTTTGCCTCCAGTCTTTCCTGCCCGTCATTGTGCGCGATAAATGTTCCTGGCTCCTTGATTCTCACGTATACAGTCTTAATGGCGCTCTTAAGTCTCAAGATCCTGGTCACGCAGGTCATGTTGCCGCTAAGTCTCTCGTTGCATGGCTCCATGGTTGTGTACAGTGCCGTGTTGGTGGGAAGAACCTCATGGATGCGTTCCTCGGAGAGGTTATGCTCATCGGCGATCTTGATAAAACAACACTGCTCGGCGTGTGTGGTGCCTAGATCTCCCTTGTAATCTCGCGGATATTCAAGCGAGTATCCTGTCGATAGGACTTTTCCCTTAGCGGCGTCGACAAGTATGGCTCCGACGCAGAACTTATTAGCAGCTGGTGGTGATTTTTGTGCCTGAATGAGAGCAAATTGCATAAAAGCCTCATAGTCCCCAACCGCGAAGGTTGGATTCGTTTGTGGATCCATAGTAAATGGTTCTCTGAGAAAATATATAATGCGCGGATAATGCTTCTAATAGGCTAAATTAACACAGCGTCATCAAGTAATCGCAAAGAAGATATATGTCAAAGAGGGTTTTCTTAAAATCTTGGGTGCGCGATTTTCTAGGTAGATTCATGCTATTATCTACCTAAGCCTGTGTGACAATAACAGGCGGTTGAAGCAACCAGCTGATTGGTGGTTTCGAGGGAAGGGAAGGGCTCACCACCTGCTACGTGCTTTGATCGCGAGGTGGTTGAGCACCACCACGAGTCTCTCCTAAGACAACTCTTATTGTACCATTGCCCTAATATTCTTCTGGCAGGACAGACCATCGTGCCGACGCCACCTTGGATGAGTGAGTCTATGCAACCAAGATTAGGCCCCCATGCACTGAATTCTGCGGACTATAATGGTTAATTCTCACCTCCTTAACCTCCTAGGAAACTTTGATCCTATCAGATCGCTGACTGTACTGGTTCTTTCTAAAAGAGCGGCGCATAAAGCCCGACCTACATTCTGACAGTTCCTCGAGTAGTCGCGACTCGCCTAAGAGCTCGAGGAGCCTGTTTCATTCGTCAAAAACCCTGCCCAGGACGTCAACTACCTCGGGCGACCAAGCGGAGGGCGTAAATGGCCCACTTGGATTGAGTCTCCTCTATTCTCCGACGGCGCCGGAGATCGACTTCATCTTCGTCCATGGCTTAGGCGGCAATTTTAGAAAAACATGGAGCAAGTCGTCCCTGCAGTCTCATTTTTGGCCCAAGGAGTGGTTTTCCAAGGACCCCGCATTCAAGAACATTCGCATCCATAGTTATGGGTACGATTCTTATTACTTAAAGGGCAAGGGGGACTGCTTGAATGTACACCACATCGGCAAGTCATTTCTAGGCGCGATCAGCACTTCGCCATGCATCGCCAATTCCGGGACATACATCGTTGTCATTGGCCACAGCATGGGTGGCTTGGTGATAAAGAAAGCATATATCCTTGCCAAACAAGACGCAGTGCACAAGGCGCTGGCTGGGCGATTCGCCGCATTCTATTTCCTGGCCACGCCACACCGAGGTGCCGACTCAGCAAAGATGCTGAAGAACCTCCTCAGGGTTGCGTATGATCGTGCTTATATTGGTGACCTAGAACCGACCTCTGGGGCGATCCAAGTGATCAATGATGAATTTCGGCATTTTTCAGCTGGCCTTGAGCTCTGGTCGTTCTACGAAACGCAAAATATGAAACGGTTTAGCTCGCTCATCGTCAATCCCGAGTCGGCTGTCCTCGGGTACCATGAAGAGAAGCAGATACCCATGACTGCTGATCACCGCTCGATATGCAAGTTTGACACACCTGAAGACTCCAACTACGCCCTCCTACGAAACGCGCTTGCCTCTACTACGAGCAAAATTTCCACGGCAATTCCGGAGCTGAAGCTGAAGCAAAGGCGTGAGAGGATCAAAAACCTCAAGACATACCTGGAAGTTACCGACGTCTTGGACGATGATCTTGCAAACGTCTGCGAAGCTCGGATGCACGGGTCGTGCGAATGGCTTTCGACCAAAGCCAGTTATGTCAAATGGAGAGATGGGGAATCCGGAAATGACAGGACGCTATGGGTCAAGGGCAAGCCGGCAACTGGAAAGTCTGTTCTCGCTGGCTATGTCATCGATCAGCTCAAGGAGTCCAGCCAGGCATGCAGTTACTTTTTCTTCAAACACGGAGACAAGTCGAAGTCCAACCTAGGTCGTTGTCTAAGATCTCTAGCTTTTCAGATGGCTAGCTCCAATGCCGAAGCTAGCGATGCCATCCTAGAGATGCAGGTGGATGGTGTTTGCTTAGATCGCGTCGACGAACGTACCCTCTGGAGAATTCTCTTCCTTTCTGGCATTTTCCGGGCCACATCGACTCGGCATCACTGGGTCATAGACGCCCTGGATGAGTGTTCCAATCCTGCGGTCCTTTTACATGCCATTCTTTCCAACATGGACGAATCTATACCCCTGAGAATTTTCGTCACAAGTCGGGATGCAGTCGATCTGGACTATGGTTTCTCGGTCATTCCACCCAACCTAATCCAGTCCTTGCTCATCTCGACAACAGACACAGAGTCAGATCTCAGGCTTTTGGTGAAGAAGAGGACACAGACCCTAGGCGTCGTGGGACCTGACGATCGAGCTATATTAGCCGAGAAGATTCTAGACAAATCTTGGGGCTCATTCTTGTGGACAATCTTGGTGCTTGAGGAACTCCTACGCTGCCACAGCGGAAAGGAAATCAGCCAGATTCTTGAAGATGTGCCGAGAGGCATGGAGTTACTATACAAGCGGACTTTAGACTATATGTCGCAAGCCGCTCGTGGAAAGGAGCTGGCCAAAACCATTCTCATGTGGGCAGCATGCGCGGTTCGACCTCTGACAATCAGCGAGCTAGACGGTGCTCTGACCCTGGACATCCACGACTCATTCCCAAGATTGGAGGAAAGCATTGCCGCTCTCTGTGGTCAACTTGTAGTCGTTGACAAATATGGGAGAATTAAGATGGTACATGAAACTGCCAGAGAATTGCTTGTAGCCGGCGGACTTGAGTCTGAGTTCTCCATCGAGAAAACTAAGGCTCACACACGGATGGCTCAGGTCTGTCTCAAATACCTTGTCGGGGAGGAAATGAAGCCTCCGAGGAACAGTCGACGCCGTTCTTTGGCAAATTTACCAGCAACAAGACTGGATTTTGCCGCCTATGCATACACAGCATACTCATATCATCTCTCGAAGGCTGATCCGTTGGCGGCAGGGACGTTCCAGCTTGTCGCGCAGTTCCTGAGATGCAACGTTCTCACTTGGATTGAAACGATTGCTTACTTTCGGAATCTCAATGACCTCATCCGCACCTCAAAACGTCTTAAAACCTACGTCAATGCGTGCGCCATTGAGCGTTCACCGCTAGACCCTCGGATACGAGCGCTCCGACGGTGGACCACAGACCTTGCTCGGATTCCTGCCATGTTCGCCAATGCCCTCGCGGTATCACCGTCAGCGATATACTCGTCGATACCCCCGTTCTGTCCCACCGAGTCTATGGTATACAACACCAGGGGCTCAGGCCGGAGGCTTGCAGTGCTTGGCGCGCCTAACAAGCAATGGGATGACAGGCTGCTGTGCATCGAATTCCGTCAGGGTCAACCAAGGACGTTGAGTTATGGAGACGAGTTCCTGGCCGTCGGTCTCAGCTCAGGAACTGTTGTATTATACTACGCCACATCTTACCAGGAGTTCAAAACGTTTAAACACGGAGAAGCTGTCAACTTCATTGCTTTCAAGACCAAAACTGACCTCATAGCGACTTGTGGTATGAAGATGGCCAAGGTTTGGGACATCAGAAGTGGACAATTGGTGCACAGCCTCGCGAGCCCTCCGCGTCCGCTAGGGATGGAATTCGATGGGGAGACGCTTTTAATTGCGAGCCGCAACAACTACGTCGCGACTTGGAATTTGGGACACTACGCCCGGCCAGAGTCAGCGCAGAGGCCATGGTTACCGATACGCCAGAGACAAACCGAACGCCTCCACGTGGGACCCCATACGCACTGACACTCTCTATCAGCCACAGAATGCTTGCTGTCGCTTACAGCGGCCAACCCATTACGTTGTGGGACATGGAAGAGGACGCCTACGCTGGTAGCTGTGGCAAGAAACTCTCCAGCGGAGAGACCAGCACACATGTCGTCGTCGCGCTTGCTTTCAACCCCAATCCTGACATTAGCCTTCTCGCAGTAGCATACCTCGATGGTGATCTTGCCCTCCTTGACCCCTTTGCCGATCAGCAGCTGGAATGTTTTCGCGCCAACTGCCAAACCCTCGCCCCAAGCCCCAATGGGCGTCTCCTCGCAGCGGGTGGTGCAAATGGGATTATCCACGTCTACGAATTCGATACGTTCAAGCTCCTCTATCGGGTCAAGTCATTCAACTCATATATCAAGCAGCTTGCTTTTACCAGAGACAGTATGCTTCTTGCCGACATTCGAGGCGCCCAGTGCACTGTCTGGGAACCTGAAGCTCTGTTGCGGGAGTCCCTGAGCGATGACAGCAGCGGGCCCACTTCCACTACAGTAGTCGAGACGGTTTCCATGGAAGCCAAAGCGAAGATCACTGCCATGGTGGTCCATCACACGTCCGAAGTTGTCTTTTGCGGAAAGGATGATGGATCAGTCGTATTGTACGAGCGGAAAATGGCAGCGAGCTTAGGGACACTCTACAGCCACAAGTCGCCAGTCCGCCTGTTAGCCTGGATTGAACGGAGAGACGCCCTCCTCAGCGTCGATGCCTCCAACAGGATCTTCCTACACAGCATCCAGAAGTCCGGAGACAAAGGTTGGGTCGGCGATCTGACGGTACTCTTCAAGTCCCTCCTTGACTCCGAGAAGGCAATCATAGATGTGCTAGTAGGAGAAACGGCAGCGATGTTTCTGGTATCAACTCGCGAGTCTGATTATCTGTTCAACTTGGACAATGGTAACTATGAGAGAGAGCGGACATATCCACAAATACCAAGCATCCGCAAATGGCTCCCTCCTCCAGAATCCTCTCTACATCTGGTTTGTGTCAACAGCGCCAAAGTCTGCGTCTACTGCTGGAGTGACTGGTCTGAAATTTCATCCATTGCATTGTCGTTGTCCAGCGACACGACAGAGCTCAAAAGCGCAATCCTCTATTCGCTCGGTCAAAAACAAAGAATCTTGCTCGACTTGCTACATCCGAATAGCTCCGTCAACACCAACAGGATTGCGATAATTGATGCAGACTGCCTCGCCGTCGGAATCATGGATAGCAGCTCGCTAGGGAAGCAATTGGATACTGTGACGACGTTAGATCAACTTGCCACGGATGAAAACGAGGAGAATACGGTCACGACATCGAGTCCAGCTCCTCCGCTTCGTTCACGGATGACAACATTCGAACTAAGCGTTGCCCATATCATCGGAATTGACGTATCGGGGAAACTTGTATTCTTGAACCGGTGTTTTTGGGTGTGCTCTATTGATCTCGGCGAGAGCGGGTTAGAGATCGCGCAACGCAAAGATTCCCCGACGATCGAGGTCTGTCAGCACTTTTTCGTCCCTTACGATTGGTTCGCTGGGAACAGGGACATTGTTTGTACCTTGACAAATAGAGATATTATATTGACTCGGAGTGGCGACCTGGCGGTGATTATGGGCGGTCTTGACCATGCTGAGAGAGCGAGTATAGAATTAGAGACTAAACTGAAGGGATATATCTTACCCCAAAACTAAAATCGCGGGTAGAAGGCGAAATATAGTAGTGTATGTTTCAGATGTCTAAGACCGTTGACTGCGCGGGGCCACGTCTCAGTGGTGGCGAAGGTCGACCGAAGCTTGTGTTTGACCAAGCTCGTCCAATCACCCAGAACTCCACTGCCAGAAGTTCGGATCTGTCGTGGGTTATAAACTCCGAAATACGAAGGAGCTTGGGATGGATCTTTTCCGAGTAGAAGCTTCTGCACATTGACTATATCGAGGACGACTCTTATTGTTCCGACTGCCGCCTCCACAAACTCTCCAGCAATAGGTGATCTCTCACTCGAGACGGGAACAATCACCCACGTGGACAAAGAAAGGATTTTCGTAGAGGACGACTGAAAGATTCAAGCGATTTCCAAACTTCAAACTTGTTGAGAAATGGCTAAGCATAAAACAGAACTCTTTAAACTTGGGGTAAAGCCAGGAAATCAACACTGCTACATACCTAGTGGGGTACATAGGGCAATCAGCTCCGTGATCACACAGATCAGTAATAGCAAGATCGGCCTTTGGGCGTATTTTCACGCTTCCAAAAAATTCTCTGCAGGCTGTTGTGGGAATTGCTGAAAGGCTCTCATATTGTGTTTCGTAGTGGCATCTAAGCACTTTGCAAACTTTCGTCGCTATTCTGCCCACCTACATTGCGCGCTTACCGTTTGAGGTTGATCCCTTTGGCGGTAACCAGGTCTGCAACAGTGTCTGTTTAGTGGCAAGGTCGGTAGAGTAGAACTAGCTCCATGGCGTTAATTTGTCCGCCCAAGTTGTCTTTGAGGAATATTGTAGCTAAGTTCTTAGTGTCTGGAATGTACCCTTCAAAGTACCGAACCCTACCTTAATATATTTATATGCCGAAGATCAAGAAATACTGCGCTAGCTTAATCGATGCCATTTAATCGATTGCTATTTAATAACGTCTATATCGTAACACTAGGCCATTTCAAAGCAGTCCTATCTGCTGCATTAACATTCCTATCCTTGCAAAAAAGTTATACTTTATATAGGTTCTCTCTAGTCTCAGACTTTTCAAAAACCAATCATTCTCTGTCTTTACCCAAGTCTCAAAATAGTATCCTCCACCCCTCATCTCAGCGTAGTGAGATATTATTATCTGGTCTTCCATGCTCCAAATAACCCTTACTTCGTCCGATCCCACCATTTCAAATTCAGCGTTTCCGATCATATGAAGTGTTTGAGCGTTGGTGAAGACTTTGCCGAAATATTCCGCAAAAGTGTGGATAGATATAAACGACAAGCGTTTGCGCCCAACTGTCATAATTGATCCATCGGGATTGTAAAAGCTTAGTTCAGCATTTGGTAATGCTATTAGCTCAAATTTGCTCCATTGCTTGGTGTCTATGTAACGGACATATTGAGATTTCTTTTGCCGAATAATCTCTGCAATTTCCGTAGAAAGTAACATTTTAAGAGGATTTTACTGTTCAGCCCTATGGAGGAGGGATGGTTATATACTGACAGCGATACAGATATCTAATAAGCGAGATATTATACACGGAAGAGCAGCATTTGCGTTTTATTATATAAATGGACCAGGAAACTTCCAGTCACGCGGGGTAGTAATCAGCCTCGGCTATAAAAAAGCGGCTCAGTAGCTCATTCGCTAACGGTCGGCGTTCGGCACGATACAAAAAACATCTCCGCAGCAAGTCGGCGATGTTTATACGTGGACCGTTGGCAGTGGACCAGCAAAATGCAACGCCAACCCTCTGTGGAGCGGAATTGGAAAGATTGCACAAGGTCATGTCCGCCATAATGGTGATTGGAAAAATCACAAAGACTGGTACGAACCGGGCAAGCTTGCCGACGACCCGAGACTGGAAAATGAATATGTCAGGCTGTGCCCGGACAGACTCTGGATCGTATTGATGGTTTCTCATACTAAGCTACATGACTAGACTACACGACATGAATAGCGATAGCAAGGCTGGTAAATATTTGAGCTCTTCCAAATGGAATAACCGGAGCATCTTGATAAATCGTTTCTTCTTCTTCTTCTTCAGAATGTGTGTGGATTCATCCCGAGACTGGAGAGGTGTGATGCTGGCTGAACAAGCTATCCGATCCCTCGTCCTCAGCTGGAAAAATAACAGCATCATTGGGGCCAGTTTTGGGCCGACCGACACTATATATAGCGGTTCGTTCTATCCTATGTGATATATAGACTTGATATTATTGGGCGACTACTTACATGTTTGCTTTCGCAGGATCCGAACGGAGACGGGGTTCGTGCTGCAAAACCCGGTGTTACTACATAAGGCAGCTGATGAATGCAATAGATGGAAGGTTACATGGTAGTTAATCTAGACAATGGGTCTGTCCGAGCTTGGTGGAATTACGGCCCCGATGACGACTGATTCAATGATTGAAAGCTCGTCAAGGGTGGTGAGATTGTCTCGGGAGTACCCCATGTGAATCTGAAGACTTTGCGATCCCCTGATATCAACGGTGATGGTAGGGCGGGCTACGTGTATATCGGTGAGGGAGGCACTTTAAAGCACTACATGAATGTCGGATCTGTTGGCGGACAGGACGTTATATTCTACGCTCAAGGTGAAATCGCCACCGGTGCAGTCGATGATATGTCAAGGCTTGTGTTTGCTAATGTGAGTATCTATTCTATCGTTGCATTGTCTCCTAGATACTGACATAATTACAACGTCAAGATAAATGGCGATGGAAGAGATGGTACGTCTGTTAGCACACTGTAGAAGTGCGTAGAACTGGCGCGTAGAACTGGTGCTGACACAAGTAACAAACCACCTCATCTGGGATGATGACGGTGACCTTATAGGTTTCTTGAATCAACGTGTAAATTGTGAAGGTGTTCCGCTTTAAATCAATCAAGGTCCTGCCAAGACCATCGCCCAGAGCATTCACCATAAGCCCAGCTCCATTAGACTGGCTGGCATGGACAGGTACGCAAAGTTTGCATTTCCGATTCAGACTCAATTCATGCTGTTATTGCTTTGGAATCGCTAATAGATTAATATTTCTCGTTATTGTAGAGATGGAAAAGACGACTATGTCTTCATCGGCGATCATGGTGCCCTCAACGTCTGGTAATCGCGGCACCATTGACAACAGCATGACCATTGATGGTTTACGGTTTGCCAAGCTTGCCGTAAGCATTGTGAGCCTCTAACATTGTCGTTACCCACTCATAATTGTCACATTGACCACTTTGCGACGCAGGGTAAGGATTATATTTAGCTCGACCCAAAAACGAGCACTCCAAATATTTTGTAAGTCTATCTTCGCGCCACGCCTTTGGAGCGACATATTTCTAACAGGAGAGCACTGCAGCTCGAACTTGGAAACAATTCGTCAGACTCGTCGGGCTGGTTTTGGTACAATGTCCTTACGGGGAAGTATGCTGCATCCAGCACAGCGCCTGCTAGCCGAGTTCTGTTTGGGGAATCGACAGGTAAGTCCCATCACACGAGAGAACGGATCGAGAAAGGGCAGCACTGATGTCCTGTGCTGATGCGCGCCAGAGATGGATTCGACGACTACCCTACTCTTGACCCAAAGACTGGAGAGCTTAAGGCCTAGTAAATACTAGGTCTTATAGTTTCTTTTAGGCTTTTTCTTAAATCCGAACCCATTTAGTTATAAACTAATTTGATTTGACACTTTGGTTTCTTTCTTTTCTAGCTTTCTTTTATTTTAAAACATATCCACGTACAAACGCAGTCACATAATGCAAAGATGGCTACTACACCAAAAGAACTTATTGATCAAACTTATACCTTTTTCCTTTCAAAAGGATCCCAGGACAAGTCACATATTTTGCAAGAGGTCCCCTTTGGACTTTGTGATAATTTGACAGGACAGCGGAGGAGCAGTCAAAAGTCTAGAGCAGGCTGCGAAAATTGCAAACAGCGTCGAGTCAAGGTTCTTTACTCTCTACATCATGCATCTCCGTCAAGGCTGACGCCAGGCTAGTGCGACGAATCAATGCCATGTTCTAGGTGCGTTAAAAGAGGTCAGCTTTGTCGAACCAAGCGACGGCTGCAGTATGAGATAAGTCCGTTGGCTACAAAACCACTGGTTAGATCGGCCATACCTGGAGTTGGGTCAACCAATGCTGGTGTAAATCTCCTACATCTGGAGTTGTTCCACCATTTCCTGACGCACACGGTGTCAACACTTACTCTGACCCCTGATGTGTGGCGTTCTTGCGTTCCTCTATCGTTCCACTTTGACTTCCTGGCAAATATCATGCTCTCTTTAGCGGCAAGGCATATTGCATTCCTCCGTTCGGAGAGCAATCACTATACCATCGCTGCTGCTCGCCATCTTGGCTTATGCCTTGCAAGTTTTCATGCAACACTTCGAGGCGACCTCGGTGGTGTTCAGATCGATGCCTTCATAGCCACTTCTCTGCTACTGCTGCACACGGTGTGGACAGAGTTTGACGTCTGTCTTACCAGGCCAGACGGAGTACAGGTGTACGATCCAGCAAGAGACAGCATGTTTGCCTTTGCCACGAGCCTAAAGGGGATGTTTCTACATGTTTTACCTCGCTGGCCTGGCAATCTCGAGGAGTCAGCTTTCCTGCCCCATCTTCAAAAAGATTCCAATGTGAGCCTTAGAAGTGCCTTAAAGTCGACTGCTCTAGATCATGCGACGCCACAGCATCCTCATGACGGGGGACTTACAAAAGCCGCCCATCTAATCAACATCCTCGATTCCTGCGTTTCCATACAAAAAGCCCAACAGAAAATGGCTTTGGACGCTGTACTCATCTCAAACTTGACCAGGTCGATTCTCAGTTTTCCAATACAATGTCGAGGAGCCTTCGCATCCATGGTACAAAAGAGCGATCCGCAGGCATTGGCGCTGCTTTGCCAATTCTACCGAGCCGTTAGAATACTATTACCGCGTGAGCAGGGCTGGTGGGCTCAGAAACGAGCTAGAGCTTCAATACAGGGTTTGTTGGAGGATATGCCAAAGGACGCTGTTGGGATAACGGCGAGGTAGCAATTTGTATCGCAAATAGACCAGAAAATGTCAGACATGCTTAGAATTCGAGGTGGCAAGAGGAGCAAAGCCGCGTAGTCATTCATCGTTGATCTCCATCCCAGGTTCTGTTGGAGGTGATCGCATCTGATTTACTTCTCGGAATTTGGGTTATCTCCATGTACTATCTCCATGCGCCACTACGTTAATCTTGTATTCAGGAACGCTTCTTCATCTAAGTCACTAGTGTATTGGCCGCACTTCCTAATCAAACTCGTATCGCTTAGAATGGTTTAGCCCCTCGGCTCACAATGCTTGCTGCTTCAATTGATATAAAAGATCCGAGTCAAGCAGTATTGGCACATCCGTTCAATTTCAATATGCTTTCATTGATACCATCACAAATTCATGGAATCTTTGACCGAAAGTTTCTTTCGACATGACTGAATTATCTCTCATCAGCACTTCAAACAGCAAAATTGCTTCTGCCTTTCCATCTGGCCTCACGGCTGTCTTCGTTGGGGGAACCAGCGGCGTGGGTGAATACACGCTGAAGGCTTTAAGCAAATACGTACCAAGGTCAAAATTCTACATAATTGGTCGCTCCAAAGAGTCTGCAGACCGTATTATAAGAGAATGTACTGAGCAGAATCACGAATGCTGCTTTGAGTTCATAAATGCCGACATTAGTCAGTTGCAACGCGTCGACAATGTCAGTCGCCAAATTGTGGCCAAAGAAAACTCAATCAATCTACTTTTCCAAACACAAGGAACCATGGCTTTTAAGAAAAGTGAGTATATTATGCTTGTGCTTTGAACCCGCGATTAACACCGATGCTAGCCACTGCCGATGGACTTCCTCTGACGGCCGCTCTCGGGATTCATACACGTATACGCTTCATCCAGAACTTTCTCCCACTTATACAACGCGCCGAAGGGCTCAAACGTGTTGTCACAGTCGGAGCGGGTACATGCGAGGGTGGCATTGACCTTGATAATATTCTCGCTGTTGGTGCCCCTCTCCTTGTATTCCGCGATCAATTAGCCTCTGTAATGACACTTGCACTGGAGCGCTTGTCAGAGGAGGCGCCTGATGTCAGCTTTGTGCACACGTGCCCTGGTGTCGTGGATAGTGGCATCTCTCGAGATGCGGAAGGATTCAGCTTGAAAGTTATGCTCTTCGTTTCTAGCCTACTCAAACCGCTGGTTTCCACCCCTCCGGCTGAATGTGGAGAAAGACACGTCTTTGCTGCAACAAGCGGAGTTTATTCGCCCAGGAAAAGAGTCCCAAACTCAACCGCTTTCGAATTGGCTGGTCTACCTTTGTCACGAGGTAGTACAGGAGAGATTGGCTCCGGTGTTTACTCCGTGGGGCCAAAGAGTGAGATTCTCCCTGATAAAGCTATCTTAGTATTGAAAGAGTTTAGAGAGGATGGGACAACAGAGAAAGTTTGGAGTTATATAATGGAAAGCTTCGAGAGCATCCTTGGGACGTCAAAGCCTGTACAATGATTTCTGAATGTGGCCTCAACACAAGCAGAAGCAGAGAGCACGGAACACAGGCGTCGTGGCATAGAAATACGCCCATTAGATTATCATGAAGCGCCATCAACACCAAGCTCATTGACATATTTCTATACTGAGAAATTCTCACATGATTAATCAAGATACAGAATACAATAGAGATTTTATAAGGCCTTCCTCTATCTGTCGGATTGCCGCTATCGCTTTTTTGATACTTCCCTTGAGAATATTCTTTGCCTTTTTTAAACTATATTAATGATTTAATTAATAAAGTAATATGAAATATAATTTTTGAGTAATAAAATTTACCCGCGGCATCTCAGGGTCGCTCTTGGATCCTCCGAGGTGTTTGGCATGTCTACAAAGAGAGTTCGGAAGCTGGGGATTAGCGAGTATATTGTTCAGACTCTGAATTCTTGTTCTGCGCGTCAGCCGTATTTCGACGAGATCTACCGCGCTTTGCCGTATGGATCCAAGATTGTTTTCGAAAATATTGTGCCTTTCCCCAGTCAACCGCAAATTCGAATCATTCCAGATAATACATAGAGTGAAAGGCTTCTACCAATTGAAACGCTGCGAGATTTCTGGAATTTACCGCCGAACGGATGGCCGGCATCAATTCACATGAACAGCCTCGAAGTTGTGTTGCAGATCAATGAGAACGTTGCACTGGTTCGAGCCCCTAAAATTAGAGGCAGCACACCGTTCATCTTCAAGACCAATGTGCGGAGCATGAAGCACTTTTATCATGAGCTGAAGCTTCTGCTTACGATGGAGAACTATCCGGGTATAACCTCCAAACCCTTACGCGTTGTCATCTGCAACGAATCGGGTATTGATAGCTCTCAGGATACGGTTGCTGGCTTCCTCTCAGAGTACTATCCGAAAGGCAACCTACGCGATGTTCTAGAATCAAAATCGCCCATAGCTTCAGTCTTACAGCTGAAGTGGTCTATCCAAATTGTCGAGACTCTGCAGCACATCCGGGCTAGCCCGGCCCGGTTTTACTCCGACCTCAAACCGGACAACTTGGTGATATCTGGATTACGTCGAGACATCATCTTTATAGATTTCGAACAGGCGGGAAACTGGGACACTTTCCAACCCCCTGAGACCTTCTATTTGACCTGGATGGAAAAGCTCTCTGCTAGGAGAGAGGTACCGGAGGAGCGCCGGAAAAAGTACAAATCCCTTCTAGACCTCAACATACCACACCCAAGCTCGAAAAAGTGGGCTTACACTAATCCGTCAGTGGGATACTTTGACGCCTGGACAAATCTTTCGACACGAACAAGAACAGGCAATGGTGTTCTCGCTTGATAAAGTCTTGTGGTGCATATTTGAGGGTTGTAGTCACACACGGAATTCGATCGACGAAGAATATGACCGAGAAGTTGACCATGAGTTCCCCGAGTTTAGAAGGACGTCGGAGCCACTACAGCAACTGATCCGAAAATGTACGTATGGCGCACCAGAATACAACTCAACTGAGCAGTTTCACCAGGTGCGCGATGGACCAAGGGTTAATGTTGAATCTTCGGCAGGGAGTGAATGGAGTTGTCATGGCTCACCAAGAGAGGTCTTGGAGGCCGCAAGAACTTTGTGGTCTGATCGGCTGTCACGCATGGAGCGATATGTGGAAGCTAAAGGTCGTTGGATGCAGAACAGCCACCAGGAAGGCGATGTACAGCTTTTGGGGTTTCCGTTGAGGCCAACATTAGCCGAGGCTCTCGAAATTTTGAAGAATGAGCTTCGTGATACAGTCTTTAGAGCATAATAACGATAAATTCGACCATATAATTACTTGAAGCTTACTTCTACTCATGGTAGATATATAATTCTCTCATAGCCCATAGAGGACTGGCTTCACTCTACAGAGTCGAACATCAATGCTCGTACTTCCACGCTCTCCCTGCCATCTTTATCCCCAAATCCGAGAGGCTGGAATGAACTATGTAAGCTGACTATAATGGACCCTGTCAATCGATCTATTCCACGACCAATGACTGGAGTCTAAACACTTACATCGCACAGCGGCATCTTTGTCGGTGTCGTGAATCTTGAGCATCGTTACCTCTTTAGGTTTCTGGCCCGAGAGATAGTACCATCGGTGCTCCGGGTTGTAGGTGGAGTAGTATGTCTCCCCGACGTACTTACGGCGCACCAAGTCCGCAGGAACGAGATCCTGCAGCTTTACTGTACTCGAGCTGTACATGGCTAGTGGCTAATTTCTTACCGTGCTCAGTGGTTTCCAAACGCTATGAGCTTTTGGTTAGGCCTGGTCGCGCAGTCGGGGAAGAGAAACCTATTCTAGCATCTGCACGCACCTCACAATACGAAATCTCCGCTTCAGTAGTTCTTCGGCTTAATCGCCCATATGAACCCGGACCCTTGTTACAGCCCCACCAAAGCTTTGGTGTACTATATCTGTCAGTATGACTTCTTTCTTGGCAATTCGTGGAGCACGCTTACCCACGTGAGGATGCGTAACTGGGATCATAGCGTTGAGCCCATTGTCTGGGTTGATAATCCTGCTTACGAACTCCTTGATGTTCATGCTAATTCGGAGCTGCAAGTCAGGATAGCGTGGTGTCAGGAACAGTTTATGGTCTCACGGAGCGGCAACAAAGAAAAAAACAACAAACCCGCCAGTCGAACACTTTGACGACCCCAATAGCTCTGCCATCTTGTCTTTCTAGCTCTTCTCTGATGAAGGCCTCCGCAGCTGCGATGTATTCCTCTTGTATGCGGTCGTGGCCCATATCTTCCACTTCTTGGGCATCAATGCCTTGCCAGGCGTCAGGACCGTGCCAGGTTCTCCAGCACATCCCGTTGCGATCAAGACTGAAGTCACCTTCCCTGTCTCGGACATCTTGTACTGTCGTACTGTGGTCCTCGAACTCTTGGTTGTGGCACGTGTAGGTATCTGGGTTGGTCTCGGCTGAAGGGAGATTGATAAGAATCTCGTATGGCTTCTGCTTCTCGTGGCTATGGATTGCGGGATTGAAGTGGAAGTAGGAGAACACAGCCGACTGTGGCCCCGAGGGGGATTTGGACAGGCTTTCGTCTTCGGTCATTGTTTGATACTGTAGAGTGCGGTTCGAATGGAGGGGCCTCATGTGTCGTACGCCCTTGGGCAAGGGAAGTGGCCCAAACTTTCAGCCTATTCAAGGGGAGCCCCGGAGACCCTAAAAATTGCTCCAGTTGAGCCGCATTCCTCTGTAGCCACTAAGCGTCTATACTCTGGCGTGTGCGCCGAATTCGCCTTGTTCGGCCACGGAGTCCTGCCAGAGACATGGGATGGGCAGCCACATGGCAATTGTATAAGGAGCAGCATAATTAGACACCTCCACTTCGCTGTAAAAGGTCCCAAGTTAGCTGATGTGGCATCCAATGAGATAGGCGCCGTCACCTAGTTGCGGTAAGTGGAGAAAAAAGCACTTAAAGTTAAAGAGGTACCGAACCCTGTCTGGCTTGTCGGACAGGGGTCTAGTGCTCTACCTGTCAGGTACCAAGGGTACTTCTCCAGCCTGACCCGTCGGTGAGGGGCCGTGGGAACTTCATGCAGCGTGGTCTCAGCTGTCCCCATGGATGACTACGTAGGTGATTGAGCTTTGTGCCCAACTGCAGCTACAGCTCCTGTAGGCAACCTCGTCACAGTGAGCCAACGCGCCGCCGCCCTACTTTTTTTCATTTTTTTTTCATTCATCCATTCCTACCCCCGCCACTTGCCTCTATCCACTATTCATCGCCTCGCTGCCCCCGCTTGTTCTACTCTCAAATCAGCTACACATCTACATTTTCATTCCAGGCCACCTATCCAAGCTGCAGCTTTATCGCCACCCTGTCCACGGGCCCAAGCAACTGTGACTCCCACTTGTCATTTTATCTGTCCTTTGCGATTTTTCGGAGCCTGAAGGAGACTCGCAGTCCAAACTCTCGCTGCTGGTGTCCGTTGGCGACGTCGCCTTTTGGTCACCTTAAAACGTGCCCTCCTCAACGACAACTCGGAGTTTTTTGACTCACCTACCCTCCTCATATGTGTCTTTCTAGGGAAGTGTGGGTTCTAGCTTTCTTCCTCCTCGCCATCACCATTTTGCTTACGTGGGACTTTGCTTGGGTGCGAGCGCTCTTCACTCGTCGCCCCAAACAATGTAACTCGCCCCCTCCCCCCCATTGCAAGGCTTTTCGAACCTGTGACTAATCCTGCCCATTTACAGTTCAACCCATCGTCGACATGAGCGATCTTCCTACCCGGCTCGACCATCTCGGTCCCTCCATCGAGAAACTCATGAAGATCGGCGGCACGCCAGGTGCCTCAATCGGAGTGCTCTATGGCGACAAACCTGCCTACGTGGTGCAGTATGGCGTCCGCGATGTCGAAGCTGCGCTGCCTATTGACCACCAAACGGTATTCACGGCTGGTTCCCTTACCAAAGCCCTTACGGCGGCTGCAATGGGCATCCTCATCGACGAGGGCCAGGCTACCTGGGATACTCTTGTCAAAGACGTGCTGCCATCGTTCAAGTCCAGAGATGAGACTCTGCAGAGCCACGTCACGTTGACCGATATTCTATCGCATCGCACCGGCATGTCTTGGGCAGATAACCTTTGGATTGGTACCGAGAGTAACGTGCTGATCAGCTCTGAGGACGCCATGAAATACATCAACAACCAGACCTTGCTCCTCCCTTTCCGGGCTCAGTTTGCGTACAGCAACCTTTGCTACGAGCTCGCTGGCCACGTCATTGAGGCCTTGAGCGGCCAGTCATATTTCGACTTTGTGCAGACTCGCATCTTCGATCCTCTAAGTATGAGCCGAACTTTCTTAGACTCCACCCGCCAGCATCGACAATCGTGCGTCGTGCTACAACACTCTAGACGACCTTTCGACTGTTCCCATCCCTTGCGCCAAGACCGGTGATGACTGGTTCGGCGGACCTACTGGTGGCTTGCGCTCCTGTGTGCGCGATCTTCTCAAGCTCTACAGAGCCTTCCTGACCAGCTACAACGATCAGTTCTCCAGTGGGAAGTCGTCCACAGAAGGCTCCCCGTTGAAACAAGTCACACATTTGATGTCGGCCAAAATTCCCATGGACCAACCATCACGAAACGAAGCCTCGTACGCTCTAGGCTGGGGCCGGGTCCAGCTGCCGGGCAAGATGGGCCAGATTGGAATTAACCCTGGTCTTCTTCCCAACGGGATGCCAACCATCGCCAAAGGAGTTCCTGGGCAGCTCGTCATCTTCCACCAGGGCAGCCTTCCCGGTGCCCTGACTATTGCCATTCTTGTCCCCGACAAGGATGTTGCTATCGTGGTCCTCACAAATTCTCTCGCCCTCAACGATGTGCCTGACTGGATTGGCCAGCTCATTCTCGAAGAATTACTCGAAGTGCCCCCCTCTGAGCGAACTGACTTCATAAAGTCAGCAGAAGCTTGCGTTCCCGAGAATCTCAGGTGGTATCCGGAGCTGATCAAAGAGCTTAAGGATACGCGAAAGAACGATACTGTGGCAAGAGACCTTGGAGAGTACGTCGGGACGTATTGGGATGACATCCGTACTTTCAAGATCGTGGTCACCTTGGAGCAAGGCAAACTTCACTGGGCCTTTCAAGGCCTGGACTCGGAGAAGTTTGAGCTGAATCACTATGAAGATGACACATTTCTTTGGCTCGCACCGCGAAACGAGCTGTCGCGCCGAGGTAGGTGGGTTGGCTCAGATCAAGGGCCAGATTTCTGGAAGGCCAAGTTCAAGGCGGCATCCGATGCCATGGTAGACAAGTTGTATTGGTCTCATGATCAAGGCGTACCGCCTGTGGAGTACACGAAAGAGTAAGGTAGAGGGGGAGTGGGTGCTTAGACTCTCCAGGAATAGTAGCTAGGGACAGATCTTGCTGTTCTCCATAGTTTGCGTTGTTGAATCAAGACTATGCGAAAGAGCTGATAGTTGATCATCCGCATTTGATGTAAGGAACTTGATTTACTGCATAGTATGTTATATATAACATTTCTCCGGTTGATACCATGAGGCCACTAAGTGAACGCCTCTAAGGCTTTTAAACAATCCATTGAAGCGATTGAAAAGAGTCTTCGGTTCCATTATGAGGCCTGTGATTTGATAGATGGGGTAATCTATAGATCCGACGTAACGAGAATAGTTGAGTACAAAGCTTTTTAAAAGGGTATATGCTCTCACTAGGCATGCCAATCACCGACCTTTATATAGAGCAGATAGAGAGAGGGAGTCAGAGATAATTCCATATCAATTACGAAGCATATGTAATCCACAAAGCTCCAGGATGTGTCTTACCTTCAAACAAGGTTTATGTGTGGACGTCGTATAGCTTAGGAATGTAACAGAATCGATACAGTCAACAGTGACTTTTGCATTCAAAGTATATTCTCAAGTCTGCCTATTCACTGTTCTTGTAGAAGGCAAACTTAAAGTTACTGCAGCGAGTATATGTCTTAGATGCTTGTAGCAATAGAGTCTCTATATCCAATGCAGCTTTGGGGTTATGAGAACGCCAATTATGTGGGCGATTCATACTGGCAGCCCCCAGCCGCCGGGGCGTGCTCAGCATTTACGTTCCTCTCTCGATAGCTTGTTCATCATGCGGCATCTAAAATTCGCTGGAGTTGCTTATTGAGTGAGATGCCAGTCTCCAATGTGTGGATCATTTCACCGTGGGTTGTCTAAGGAGTGCATGAATTGTAGCGTTATGGCACAACTCATTAACGGCCGCGTTAACAGTCGTGAGAATCTCTCGGTGGGGCAGATGTTGGGGGAACTTGGACTGGCAGCAAGTAATTTGACAATTATTGCGCTTCAGAAAATTAGAATAAGTAAGCGCTATAATTTATGAGCGATGTGTACATTAACATTGCAGATACAAGTCAGAAATCACAACTCGTTTTCTAGGTTATACATAGCTTTATAAACCAGGTAAGCAGTTCCAGGTTCGGATGCCTAGGGAGCTAATACAATAAAATGTTAAACTCCGAGAAGGAACTTGATAGGCCCCCAAATTCTCCACTGCCTATGGCCGTACGTACTTTGTGAACGAGTTGTTTCTCTTCATATCAGACATTGTAAATTTTGAGGCGTTGATTGATGTTAAGCCTTGAGAAAAACGATTGAGAGGAATGATGAATATATATAACCCTGCGTATTCGTGATGTCACTTTTCCTGATCCTATTTGAACAACTATTTATATTCTAGGTCGCAAAGTACCATACTATGCACAATGTCTCCCAAAGTCGTCTTGCTTTCGGCTGAAGTGGTTTCAAAATTGCCCCTGAAAGTATGATACGGTCGAACATAGAAGCCTCTTGGGTTCTCAGCCTCTGGTTTCTGCTGGCTGAGTCGTTTAAATATTTTCTTCATCCCTCCGGAGGTTCGCGCTTGCTTCAAACATCTGCCAATCCTTGTATCGTCAGCCCATTCGTTTTGGAGATTTCCGTATACTTTTATGGCCAGAAGAACTGTGGCAGCGAGGCCGGAAGCGAATGCGGTTGCGTAGGAGCTCCCGCTGGAGTTCTTGCCCTCGTCAAGCTTCGGATGTCCAGGGAGGAGAAAATCTGGACCTCCATGTTCATTCTCCGGAGCGCTTATGCCATGTACTGTTGCAGATCCGATTCGGATAACCCCAGGTAGGCCTATTGGCACTAAATCTGGGATCCTGATAGTAGGGCCTCTGTCTGGAAGAGATCCGAAAAGCACAATATTTCTTCGCAGAGCTTCTGCAATGAGAGAGTTGAATTCGTCTTTGTACTCGTCAACATCCTTGTCTTTCTTTGCCGGGAACGTCCAGCTCATGGATATGACTTCTACTTCCATGGCTAAAGCCCATTTCAGAGCCTGTTATTCAAGAAGCTGTTAGCGATCTTGAATAGAAAGTAAAGGCTTCATTCTTATAATACCTTGCAGCAGGACTGTATTGTGAAGCCTTGTTCTTCGAGCATCTGTGTATCGTCCAAACGACCGATAAAGAGCTCGGCCCAGGGGCATACTTCCCAAACACAGGTTGCCATTTCTGTTCCATGTTCGCATGAACCTGCGAAGTATAGTTCTTTCTCTTGGCAAAATGATTGTGCCTTGTAATTCTTACCCCAAGATTTGATTAGCCTGAAGCCATCATCAAGAATCGCTACTCTGACAGTCTGTTTTGATCCTTGATTGAGCAGGCCTATGAACTCTTGAAAGTCTTTGAGTTTCGCCAGCCAATCTTCGGAACTTGGCCTATTGATGATTATTAGTTGTGTATCTACTAGATGACCCAAGTCAGATGGAAGCTTACGTCTCTTCGCTCATGTCATTCGGGACATCTTGGCCATCTCCTGCCGCACTTCTCTCCGCTCCTCCCCGGAGAATGGAAGAATTTTTGTCAATGTGAACAAAGATATTTTCCCTCTTAAGCTTTTTGCAATGATCTTGAAGACTGAGTTTAAATTCTTCGAGATATTCTTCACAATCATTCGCATCTTTTTTGTTCTGCAACCAGTTAGTTTAGATGAGGTGTAAATGAGATCCCTCAGTTTACCTTAGGACAAATCTTAATTGTCAATTTTTCAAGCTTGACTAGATCAGTATTAAGAATCATTCATTGATGCGATCTTCACTGACATGTTGTAACTTAGCGAGCCCAGAACCACTGGCCCAGCCCCTGAGGACAGCAGTGTTCCCAGAAGACCAAAGGTGAACATGTCGAGCTTCAGGAGCTGCAAATGAGACGGTTTCGGTACATATATCAAATTTCTTCCATTTCCAAATCTCGATCTCGAAATCTCGAGACTTGTTTAGCCCATTGCCTTTGAGAGCTTCTCGAATTCCGGCGTTCGTGTGTGGCTCTGGTCCGACGTCGTCTATGTCCAACCGAAAGATCTTCTTTGTGCCTGAGTCCCACAACCATTCAAACAGGTGAATATATGGATCAAGTTCTGAATGTTTATCATTATGGGATGGCTGGCTTTCCAATGGCGAAGATTGCTGCGAGCTCCAGTATGGCAATTTCACAAATTCCAATGTGGTCTCGAATTTGAGTCCTGAGTTATTTTTGATGGTTTCGATGTAGGCTTTGTTGATTACTTCCGAAATGCCATCTATATTAAAACAAAATTGATTCTCTTTTCAGGATTAGCAGAAGCTGATATGTAAGGCTGCTATTCTACTATACCTGATTTAATATCTGAGTACAGATATCGAATCTTGTCCTCTGAGGTAATGGTGTTGGTAAGTTCTGCAGTCTTGACATCCCACATCTTTCCTTCATACCCGATACAGGCCTTTTTAAGTAACTCTTCAGCTCTGGCCTTGGCTTGCATACCCTCCGGCGTATTGTCAATGGTTATATCCTTTAATATCTGATAAGCAGTTTTAGGAACATTCCCAGCCTTCGCAGAATGTCCTGATTCGATGAATATCGACCATGGAGCTCGGTTGATAAGTAGCTGAACAAACCCAAATAGCATCTCAAAATTTATTTGTGCTTTAGAGTAGAGTCGAAGGGCTATCTGAAGAGGAGTAAACTTGTCAAATGGAGCGAATCCAAAAATCGAATCAGGACAGAGACTAAGAAAGACCTTGAAAGTCTCCAAGCGGTCTATATGATTCATTGAGGAGTCTCTATCGAAATTACGATCATGAAGAATTGCTTCCAAACATGCAAGAGAGCATTCTTGATGATGAAGTGCTGTTCTTAAACATTGCTGTAAATTTTTGTTATAGTCCACCAACTGGTGAACGTCAATCTTGTCGTGAAGACAAGTATTGGATGAGTCCTGGTGGATAGACTCATCTGAGCTCTGGTCGGTTTCCTTTGAGAAGTGTTCTCTGAGTGCTGTCGGAACCTGCCATAGAGGGCAGTTTACCTGAACGTCTTGACAGTCAACTTGAAGCTTCGCATCATCGTATAGTGATGTAGGAAGTAGAAGATCAAGGACGTGAAAAAGAACAGGAAGCTGAAATTTTGCAGCTTCACGTATAGGGATATTCTTAGAGTTATCTTCAGCTGTGAAAAACGCAGGATCTCGGAGAACCAACAGCTGAATAACTTTCAGAACCTGAGGGGTGAGGACGAGAGGCATTTCTTCGACAGATGACTCGGTAATGATCTGGTGAATCAGATTTCGTCCACTGCGGTTCGTCTTGTATAGATCCTCCTCTTCCAATCGGCTTGTATCAACATCTCCGTGGAAAGTCCAATCCTCGATAAGAGAATCATGAAACTTTCCAGCTTTAATTTTTTCCTTGAACTTGGCTTGAAGTATAGCTTTCTCACCATGTGACTTCTGATTTCGAGAAAAGATCTTTGTGTTGCTATCTCTTCTTTTCAACTCTAGAATCGAGTTGGATGGCCCTGGCGTTTCCATGGTATTGGCGTAATGAGCATCAATGTGGAAAGAAAGTCATTGCGTGGAGTGAATCAATTAGCTATGTTATAATCATCTACAACAGGTAGATAAATGAATGATGGCTTTCGTCCATCTGTTTCTTTTGCTCATGGGGCGCTCAGAGTGGCAATTTTTACACGAAATGGCATCAGACAGGGGGTTCGGAGGAGCAAATGACCGAAAAGTTGTTTTGCAACGTGGTGCAGCCCCATTGGTTAATCAAAATACAGGGTGGTGATGAGACTGGACGAATCAGTCGACTTATCTTGGTTCCATTCTGAAGCCTCGTTGTAGCAGTGGCGATCCTATTCATATCAGGCTCGCAGTTGCATATGCCATAACCGGGGTAGATAAGAGGCCAGTTCTTCCTTTTTTTCTACAATTCATAAACATCTCAAACAATTGCAGTTATTATCTTATGCTGCTAACGACCAAAATGTCGGGTATAAGCGATGAAACGGCATCGGTAGTCGACAGTCAAGATGGATTCTCTTTCAACTTACAGCTCAATGCGGTAAATGAGAATCGTGGGTTCCACAGGAAGAATTATAGAGGCCAAATTCAACGATCAAACGTCATTGATGACATCTGTCAAGGGATGCTACTAATGGGACGCATCGATCGTATCATACATGGTCGTGAGACTGAGGACGGGAGCCCGGCTACCCTTGTTATTTTTGGGTTTCGATTTCATGGTGCCGACGAAAAACGTCGATTTAAACAAGCTACTATTACTATAACGTTCCGAGACGCGAAAGAGCGAGACGATTCAGATCCAGAGGTTGTCAATATGTGGCCAAATGGTGACTTTACTTTGGGTCATCCTACACGCGTTGATGTTGTGGATTCGGACGGAACACAAGCTGGGCTGGCAGTATCTGGAAATAGCATTCTGCAAGTGAGTGGCAATGCAGCGAAAAATTGGGAACAACAGAGAAGCTATACAAGAGAGACCCGGTCATTGTTGACAGGATCTATCATGCTTGACATGGGAATCCGGAAGTACGGAGAAAACAATGCTGTCCGCATCACCGTCACTGAAGACCCCCTGTCATCATCTGGGTTAACGACCGATTTCAGGACAGCGGTATTGCTAAAGCGGAAGAGGGAAGACGACAAATTTCAAGCAACTGTCAACATAAAAGCAAAAGCACACTTTCTATATAATGCTATTCAAGGTATGAGAGACATTTCTGGTTTTTCACCTGCAAATGATCCGATCACTTTCCAACCCGGGGTACAATATCTTGGACCATTCAGCCTAAACGAAGAGGTAGACGCAAACAACCTCAACGAGGCAAAGCTGGCTCATCTCGCAGGGATGGCGGACACGGTTCTTGTATAAGGGTTACCTTCTTATTATCATAGGATTCCATAGTAGAATAAGCAGGCTTTGTTGATGTCACCATACTATTTTACACTTCCTTAAGTTCATTGGTCACCTGAAACGTGGATGTAGTGCAAACACTTGCGATAGGTACATATATAGTCCGCCCGCTCCATCTTGTCACCGAAATGTTACCGAAATCGATAACTATAGGGTCACATTAATACCTAAGCTGAAACATTCTATCCATTTATAACTTGCCACATTTACTGACCCCGCACGCAAGGTCCACAGTGACATAGTGAAACCTACAAAAGTACAGTGACTCTATATTACTTATCTAGACGTCCTACAGCCCCTAAATCTCTACCTAATATGCTCTAGGACTAATACAGATAATTCAAGATAAGCCTGCCTAATTTCTCTTATAAACAATGGTTATAATATTATAGATATATGAAATTGCTAGCATTAAATATGACTAAATTTAGTTAAATGCTAGGCTTCTAATATGGTGTTGTGTTACAATCTAGTATTTTGGGGGTTGGGAAGAATAGAAACTATAGTACAGTTATCTTCTATCGTACATATACTTCGTACCGTATTTCTTAGTATTAAACTAAAAGCTTTCCATAGCTCTTTTGAGGTTATCGGCGCGGATCTAGAAAGTCTTAATTGTCGAAATACCAAATCAGCCTCGATTTCTTTTCAAGCCAGTCCAACTTCGACTCACCAAGGACTTCATTTTTTTGAACTCAGCAAGACGGATTCTGTGCCCAATCTCCAATAAAACTGTCGTTTCTATTGGTCAAGACCTTGATATATGCCCAATTCCGATTGATTCGTGCTCAATCCAGATTTTTACCATGGCAGACATTAAAGAAAATGCAAAATCAGCTGGAAAGAGCCCGGCATTCAAGTTCTTGTGAGTAATGTCAATATTAATGAGTCGTTTCACAAAGTCTAACCCATAAATATGAAAGGACCTTCTTGGTTGGTTTCCAAGATGTCGCAGATCATGCAGCAACATCTCCGCTTCTTGGGAAAATAAGGTCATTAGTGCCAGAGGCCCACATCGTCCATCACAGCATTTACAGTCAAGGTCCAAACTCGGCCCCCCAGCAAGATGATGTTCATCAAGAAGATGATTTTTCTGATGGTAACAATGGCGTTGTGAAAAGATCAAGCCTTGAACATACAATGGAGCTTTACGATCTTATCTCGCCTGCTTGGATTGAAAAAGAAGCCTTAAACCTCCTCATCTGCATCCGCGAAGCAAGCACTCAGAAGGGCGCCAAACGCAGTTTTCCAGTACTGCTTGCAGGCTATGGGTTTGGGGGCGTCATTATGAAGCATGTAAGTTTCTTATGCATTACCTATCATTATTGGAAAGCACAGACTGAACATGGTAGGCTATGGTCATTGCCAATTCTACTCCAAGCTTTTACGATGTTGCAATCAGAGTTAATAGCCTCGTCTTTGTTTATACACCAGGACCTCTTAGGCAAAGAACAAAGTGGGAAAATGATCTCATCGAGATGTTGAACATAACACAAAAAGACTACCATGGCAGATTGTCCCAAATCTTCCAGAGTCTTGTTGACTTCGTGTTTCAATTGACCTATGTATTTCATCGATTCACTGGGAAATACCAGATCACTCACTGGGTCAAAAGCACTAGCGAGGGCGAGTTATACACAAACAACTATCCGCACTATTTAGAGAAAGTGGTATCTTTGTCTTCGGATGGCACGAACGATATATTGAGGTGCGCGATAGAAAATCTGGCTCAGCTTGAACTACTCAGAGACTCTTTTGCGCCTCATAACTTATTACTGGATCAGTCGAATGGTAATTCAGCGCTTCAATTTTAGATGCCTTGAAACGCAAAGAAAAGTGCTAAATTTCGTCACAGATTTTTTCGGAACGGATACAATTAGCCATATGTATTTTAATGCCCTTCATTCATTCTCGCCATCAAAGTGGATTATTTATAGTCCCGGTACCATAGACGAATACTCTGATTTCAATGACTTAAGAGACGTATACAACCCTCTCTGCAAGGAAATTTTCCTGGACAAACTTCATGGGGGATCAATCCAAGTTATCGGCCCTAAAGGTCACGGGAAGTCAACTTTCATGAAATTTGTCTGCGAAAAGATCCTTCAAGAGTCTACCGTTCTGGTTATCGAAAATTTTCTCTCCGTATCAAAAGAAGGAGTTACTTTATACGATGTATTTGCAGCCATCATTCATCAGATAATTTCGCAACGGCCTTCGTTATTTCTAGCTGCTCAGAATGCGATGGCTGATATTCTTGGTCAAGAGCAATGGACAGACAAAGCTCTTGAATGTCTTTTGTCTTCAATCTTACATCATTCACAGAAAACCCATTTTCTAATGGTTATTTATGATTTCGAAGATTGGCCAAGCGACGTGCAAGCTTGGTGGCCAAAATTCTCGGACCTACTCGCGGATTCTCTCGGCTCGACATGTACCTTCCTTATCAGCAGCTACAACTCTATACAAAACTTCACCCATAACAAGCTTCTATTCAGCATTAAGGAGCAATCCTTACTGACAGAGCGCTTCATCACTGCCAGAGTGAAGCAGTTCTTCGACAGAGGCCACAGTTTGATCTCAGACAGAGATGTTCTTCGTAAGGACATCGAAAGACAATGCCTCTTGTCAGCAAAAGCTTTTGAAGGGTCTTTTTGTATTAAAAGTTCATACTTAAGTTCAGTGTTTCAAAGGCTTACGTTTCATTCACTGGCTGCCATCAATGAGTCCATCGAAAATGTTGGGGCCACTGAGTTTGATATTTGCAGAGACCATCTACTTGTGCTCGGTAGCAAACCTCGCATAATTGTCTCATGGGCTACTTCAATTCTTTCTTGGATTTTGAAATCAGTTAGACCGTTGCATCTTGAAGAATTGGCCGCAGCTGCTGCCATAGGCGAAGGCCGATCTACGGTTTTAGAACTCCGAGAAGCTATTTCTATGGATATGGAACGTGATCTTCATAACCATCTCGGTGGTTTTGTGGTTGTGGAGCGAAAATGTGCCAGGATCATCAGCCCTCAGATAGTCCAAGATCTTCTATCCAACGCCAGTGACGAGCAGTCCACACAGCAGTTTCACTTACAGACCAGTCAAAGTTTAGTGAGGCTCGCTCTCAAATACATAACGATAGTCATTGAGAGGGAGTCAGGTAACTCTTTGAACAACTCAGTATCTCAGATCTCCAGAAGCAATCGAGAACAAACAGAATTGGAACCAGACCCCATACTTGGATTTGTGGATTACGCTTGCCGATTCTGGGTAACTCATTTCCATCGTATTGAAGCTTCTGATGAACGGTTGAAAGATGAAGTCATATCTTTTCTCAAAAACTCGAAGGTTGCTAATCGGTGGTTTGAATTGTACCTTCTCTGCCATGGATTGAAGCCTTGTGCTTCCAAGAAAAATGCTATCAGCACAGTCCCGCTCGCCGAGATAAAAGGCCTTGAGAGTACAAGCACTCCAGTTACGTTTTCAGCTTTTCAGCTGGCCAGCCATTTTGGTCTTTTATCTCTTCTCCCTGATCTTATACTCGATGCTCAAGTAGTAGAAAATTTGGAGATAATTCACGTTCGAAGAGGCTATTCAGAACACGATATGGCAGTAGTGAAGACTGGACTGGCAGATGCCCTTTCTTCAGCTTCCCAAAGCCTTTGTTGCGAACAAGATGAAGTAACAGGCAAAAATAACATGCCAATACACTCCGTGTACAAGCGGTATTCGCTTCATCAAGTAGCACGATTGGGAGATTTTAAGGCATTTCAGACAAAGTTTCAATGCTCGGCAGACTTGGCTCAGGTAGATCAAGATGGGCGCAGCGCATTGCATATGGCTGCCATTTGTGGCAGTCTCGACATCATGACTTTCATAATCAACACGATACATGAGCAGAGAGCTGATGTGTTGAATGCTCGAGATCAATACAATGAAACGCCGTTGATTATTGCAACGAAGATGGGAAACTTCGAAGCCTCAAAGCTTCTAGTAGAATTGGGGGCTGATGTCAGCATCCGAGACGCAACAGGAAAAACGGCAGTGCATCACGCAGTTCTTCACTGCCCACAACTACTCAAATACATCCTGGCAGCCCATAAAGCCTCGTTCTTTCTGCCTGATGACAATAAACGCACAGGGCTTCATACTGCCGCTCATTTTGGCAGCGTTGAATCAGTTTACGCCGTTTTAGGCGCTTTTGCGTCGGAACCACAAACTCTCTCTGACGCTCTGAATGAATGCGATGCGAGCGGCTTTACGCCCCTTCACTACGCCGCAAAGAACGGGAATGAGGAAATTGCCAGGCTTTTTGTTGAGGCAAGGCAGGGGGCAGCACTTCCAAATGACCCTCAGCCGGCTGAGACGTTGGCTGCCAGACATGGCCATCTGAAGACTCTGTGTATCATCAAGCAAGATGAGCTGCATCTTGGAAACCAGTTGCTCATAGAAGCTGTTGACGCGGGCCAATTACTCATAGTCCATTATCTTCTCGAGAAGGATATATCAGCCGATCAGGAAATCAACAATAGGATCCCCATTTGTGTTGCCGCCGCACATGGTTGGGATGAGATTGTAAAAGACCTTCTAAGATTTGGTGCAAGCATCAACTCGCTGGATTCCAACCGACAGACGCCGCTTCATCATGCTTCCAAAAATGGCTTATACGATGTAGTAAAGACGCTTCTAAGCTCCGAATTTCGTGATCGTGCCAATGTGGACAACGTGGACTCATTGCGACAAACGCCCCTCCACCTTGCGGCAAAATCCGGACACGAGCGAGTGATACAGTTACTCCTGACACACAAAGCCGACATTGAAGCTGAGACTCGCCAATGTCAAACGCCCCTCCATCTTGCGGTCGAACACCCCAAAGCAGTGCAAACCTTGTTGGACCTAGGTGCTTTTTTAAACGCTCTAGATATTCTAGGGCAAACACCTTTGCAAAAGGCCATCGCAGACAAACACTATGACTCTGCCAAGATTTTACTGAAGAAGGGAGCGATTATTGATGTGACTGATCGAGATGGGGAATCGCCTCTGCAAACTGCCTTGGCAAACGATGATGTCCCAATGGTAGAGCTGATTATCGATTCTCTTAATCTCGACCTTGATAGCGACGATGCCGATGACGATTCATCCGTGGCAAGCTATTGTCTACTGGCAGTCAAATTATCCGCAAAGCAAGTGATCAGATGGCTACTTGGCCGGTTTCCAAATATGCTTGATTGGAGAGATGAAGAGGAGCGTACTTTATTGCATGAGGCACTCGAATTTGACTCTCCGCAAATAGTCGATATTCTGATTGATGAGGGGTTTGACGTGAACCAAGTCAGTTATGGCGGAACCCCATTACATGTGGTAGTGGACATTGGTCAGTTAGAGAATATGAAAATTCTCATCCAGAAGGGGGGTTCAACGTTATTAATCGATAAGGCCAATGATGAAGGGAACACGCCTCTTCATATAGCAGCCGAAAAAGACCGTGCTGAAGCCATTTCATTTCTGCTGAGCGCAAAGGCAGACATAAACAAGCCTGGAGAAAGAAATGTAACGCCGTTATTCATGGCGGCCTATGCTGGTAGCGTCACTGCTGTTCAAGAACTTCTTACACATGAGGCAGATCCCAACATCTCACGCGATGACGGTTGGGCACCCCTACATGCGGCAGCTGACAATGCTGAAATTACTCAACTTCTTGTAAAATCGAATGCGAATGTTAATCAGCAAAAGAGTGATCTTTGGACTCCTCTCCATCTTGCTGCTTTTTGGACGGCGACAGAAGTTGTTGAAGTCCTTCTCCAAAATGGCGCTGATCCGAACATTAAAGATTCAGATGGAAAAACACCACTTGACTTTGCGCATAATGAGAATATCAAGAAATGTTTCACTAAATATCAAGAGAAGATAAACTATAGTAACTTATAGTAAAAGAATATTAAATATCTTGGATATAGTAAAGATTAAGATTTATATGTAGTAAAGAAAAAGTAAAAAGAATAAAGTTATATTAGTTACTATATATCAAAGAATATTTTATTAATAATAGTAAATACTTAAGTAATTATAATAAGGCTAACTATACTAATATAATTAGCTAAGGAATTATAAACTTATAACAAACTATATACTAGATAGTTAGTATAGGGTAGATTCCTAAGGGATAAACCTAGTAAATAATTCTAGTTTTATGTTAGTAAAGCGGTTAGGAAACCTAATAGGTAATATAAGTAATAGTAAATAATATTACTAAATAGTAAAAGTGTAAAGTGTATTATAATCTTAATTTTATATTAATAATTATATAATAATCTGTTCCTAGATCCTAGGTTTATTATAGGGTAAGGGGTTCCCAAGAGATAAATATATATATTTATATTAGTAAATAAAATAGGATATTTAGTATTAAGTATATTATATAGTTATATAGTTAGTAAATAAAAGGTAACTTATATCTGGTACTATTATTATATTAATAATTAACTATCTAAGCTATTTAATAAGTGTAAATTAAATATTCTTATATAGTAAGTTGTTTTTATAAGGTTAACTAAGGTTAATATTAGCTTTTATTAACTTCCTGTGACAAACTATACACTAGATAGTTAGTATAGGGTAGATTCCTAAGGGATAAACCTAGTAAATAATTCTGGGTTTATATTAGCGGAGCGGTTAGGAAACTTAATAAGTAATATAGGTAATAGTAAATAATATCACTAGATGGTGGAAGTGCAGAGCGTGTTGTAATTTTAATTCTGTGTTAACAACTGGCTATTTAAGTTATTTAAATAAGTGTAGAGAAGTAAACTTATATACCTAGTTGGTTTTGGGCTTGTGAGGCTTGTGAGATGAGTTATATAAGTTGTGGCTTGTTGAGCTTGTTTATTAAGTTAAATAAGTTGGACCTAATTAGTTGATTAGTCCTTAGTTGATCTAGTGGATTTTAGCGGGTTAGCCTATGGTCGCGACTATAAGAGTTGGGTTATAACATAATGTCCCCCTCCTGTTGGTCTTGTCCTTAAGACCTAACTGTTTTAGGTATAAGTAACCTACTTCCTTCCTGGTAAGTTCTTTTTTTTATTTCCTTGTAAAGTACTTGTTCTTTTACTAATTCTTATTATACTAGTTTATTTAAAGCTAAGATCTAAAAAGCAGGAGATATATAAGAATTTATTTTTATTAGTTTTATCTTATTTAGTTAAAATAAATAAATACTCCGCTTATAAATCTTTTAGATCTGACTATTTCTTTGCTAAGGGTGAATTATCTTGTTGTTTTGCTTATGTTAAGGGTTAGAAGTCTTTTTATAACGTGAAGTAATTGTCTGCTGCTTAGTTCTGAAAAGTTACTTTTTAGCATATTTGTTTAAAAGAGGCTGTTGAAGCTGTAGAAGAGGAGTATAAATTGGAGTTAGAGCGTCTTTAAAAGACTAGTGAGAAGGTTAAACGCCTTTGTAAGCAGAAGAAGTTATAGTATTAAAAGATGGTTTATGCTGTTAGTTAGGGTCTTAATAATTTGGATGAGTTGGATAAGGTTAAGCAGGAGGAGTTGGAGGCTGCTTGTTAGGCTGCCCTGCTGGCGCCTAATTCCAAGGCCGGCCTGTCCTAGTCTGTTAATACTGTTAATTAGTTTAAGTTTAAACTGGACCTGTTGTTATTTCTACCCCTAGAGATTAATGAAATTCCCGTAGGATTATCTAGGTGTTCCTTTTAAGTTCTTACTCTAGGACCTAAGAGTTCTTATTATTATTATATCCTTTCCATTTAGTAAGGTACTCTCTTTCTTTTGTTATTTTATTTATTTATATATAAGTTAGTTTTTTAATTTTATATTCTTCCTTAATGTCTTAGATAATAATTTTATTTATAATTAGTTTGCCTATCTTTTTATTTACTAGTGCTTTTTTAAGTAGTAATATATAAAAGATAGCTATTTTAAGCTATATGTTATTAGGTAAGTTTAATTTATAGTTAACTTTACTGATTTTTTTTAAAATTTTAAAAGGTTTAAGTTTTTTAAAGTTTAATTTATTACTTAGCCTATTTATTCTAATATTTAGTAATTTTTTATTATGTAAGTGTTATAATAGGTAGACTATATCTCCCTTTTAAAGGGTTAGTCCCTTAATCCTTATGTAGTCTATATATTCTTTTAAGTATTATTTAAAGAATTTAAGTTAGACTTTAAGTTCTTCCTGTAATTTAATTATATTTTCTATAAGAATATGCATATTATTTGCATTTGGTTTATTACGGAGTGGTCTATAGGCTTCTAGTGTAAACCTGTAGTTAATATAAAATAGTATAACTCCTATGGTTTCTGTTATAAAGCTATTATATTATATTTATATAATTAGTAGTATTTTAACTTAGTTATTTTACTAAAGATTAATATAATATTATAAGTATGCTTTAATAACTTAGTTTATCTGTTTTATTTATTTATTTATTTATGGGTAAAACGCTGTGCTTAACTTATAATAGGTTTCAAGTTTAGCTATTAGTTCTTACTAAAATTTAAATGTAAAGGTGCTTTCTTTGTCTAATATGATTTCTTTTAGTATTTTATGTTTAGTAAATATATATCTTATATAAAAATGCGCTAAGTTTTTAGTATTATGCGCCTTCTTATATAATAGGAAATATGCTTATTTAGAGAGTTTATCTATAATAATAAAGATATTATTAAAGTGCTTTCCTATTAATAAATCTTTTAACTTAGGCAAGTTAATAATATAGTTAAATATAATAGTATACTAATTCCTTTCTAGAACTAGGATTAGTTATAATATTTTATATAGCTAATGCCTTTTATCTTTTATTTTCTTATATATGTTGTATTTTTTAATAACTTCTAAGATTTTGTTTTTTATCCCTGGGAATTTATAGTAGTATACTGTGTGGTTTTATGTTATTTTAATACTATAGTATACTGCTATAATTATACTATAATGTAAATCTTAGATTACTTCTAATTATAATTCTAGTAGTACCTAGATTTTCCCTTCCTATTTTAGCAAGCCTTCTTTAATAGTTACTTTTTCTGGGAGTTTATTTAGTTTTATATTTAATATATATTCCCTTATTTTATTAAGGATAAGGTTATATTCTTTTATAATAAATAAAGTGTTAATTTATATTTATTTATAGTTGCTATTACTGTTTTTTCTTAGTACTTAGGCTTTAATTTCTAAAATTTCTTTAAAATATTCTTCTTTTTTACTTAATGCATTTACTTATCTATTAGTAATACTATTAATATAGGCAAGTTTATAGTTAAAGTCCAAGAGTGTCTTAAGATATTATATTTATTATATAAAGAGTTTTTATATCTAGGTAAAGTATATAATATTATAGTAATTTATATATACTTTAACTTTATATTTACTTCTTAAATAATAATGTTTTTATTTTTTAAATACTTTAAGAATTACTATAAATTCTTTATTATAAATAGGATATCTTAATTCTAGTCTATGTAGTTTTTAAGAGAAGAATACTACTAGATGATTTTTCCTATTTTTATCTTTTTAAATTAGTATTCCCTTAATAGCAAAGTCTAATAAGTTAGTTTTAATCTCTAATAGTTTATTAGGATTATATATAATAAGTATAGGTTTACTAAGGAGTGTGTTTTTTAAGTTATTTAAATACTGCTTAGGGTTAGGTTAGGGTTAGGGTTAGGGTTAGGGTTAGGGTTAGGGTTAGGGTTAGGGTTAGGGTTAGGGTTAGGGTTAGGGTTAGGGTTAGGGTTAGGGTTAGGGTAAGGGTTAGGGTTAGGGTTAGGGTTAGGGTAAGGGTTAGGGTTAGGGTTAGGGTTAGG